GGGATGACTGTCTAAAACAACTTAGAATAGCCTAGAAGAAGTGTAACTGGAGCCAAGGACTCCTGTTTTTCTCTGGGAAGAAAATTCAAAACCAATGAATAAGGCAGTCTTCATGGATTTGCTAACCCTTTCAAAAACTTATGTTACACGAACTGGAGAGTGGTAAGCCTATTTGACAGCCCAATCCAAGCAAGCTGAATCCTACTTTTATTGTTTTCTGTATAACAGATAGGCCACATTAAGACCAGTACGAAGCTGTGTTGGAGACACCTCCCAGAGGTGTCAAATCAAATTTCTTTCACATTTGAATGGGGAAAGTAGGTTTTTCAGCATACTCTGCAGCTGATATGAACTTCTTTTAATCCAACCTAATTATGACTTTGGCACTGATGCTGCCATTGTAACCCCCAAGTATTTCTTTTACTATAACAACCTTGAAAGCTGGGGGCAACACTTCTGGCAACTACAGAAAACATATCGCAGTTTGTCAGCCAGGCTCTAAGACCTGTAAGATGAAAGGCAATCAAAAGCAATATCTAAGCCAGCAATGCCCTGGCAGCCAGGAGGGCCAATCGTGTCCTGGGGGCATCAGGCAAAGCATCGCCAGCTGGTTGAGGGAGGGGATTGTCCCACTCTGTTCTGCACTGGTGAAGCTTCACCTTGAATATTGTGTGCAGTTTTGGGCACAACAATGTAAGAAAGATATTAAGCTCTTAGAGAGCATTCAACGGAGGGCCATGAAGATGGTGAAGGGCCTTGAGGGGAAGCCGTATGAGGAGCGGCTGAGGTCACTTGGTCTGTTCAGCTGGAGAAGAGGAGACTGAGGGGAGCCCTCATTGCAGTCACAACTTCCTCATGAGGGGAAGCATAGGGATAGACACTGATCTCTTCTCTGTGGTGACCAATGACCAGAGGGAATGTTGTGTCAGGGGAGGTTTAGGTTGGATATTAGAAAAATGTTCTACACGCAGAGGGTGGCTGGATGCTGGAACAGGGAAGTGGTCATAGCACCAAGCCTAGGAGAGTTCAAGAAGTGTTTGGACGATACTCTGAAGCACATGACTCTTGGGGATGGTACGGTGCAGGGCTAGGAATTGAACTTGATGATCCTTGTGCATCTCTTCCAACTCAACATATTCTGTCATTCTGTGATCTGTGAATTTAAGTATGTCCTTTAAGAGATAACTTCTGCTTTTTTCCTGCTTCTGAGATATCAGGATAGAAAAATACATTATTTAAACAGATTGAGACCATTAGACAGTACCTGGTTTCCCAAAGAAGAGATGGGTTCCTTTAGTCCCAAGCCATGACTGAATCTCTGGAGCTACCAAAAGCCCTTTGGGAGAGTGTTTGTGTTATGTACAGTCAATGTTCTCATACCTCAACGTCCTTACATGAGCCGCATGAAACTCAGGGTTTAGGAACAGTGCTGGCAATTAAGCACCACAGTCAATTCAGAGAATGAATGTGATATCCCTGATATCCAGACACCTCTGGTGAAGTGCTCCTCAAAGCAAGATGCCTCATAGCATCAACATGCTCAGAACTGTCAGCACCAAAATATTTCAAATGACTATATGCTCCTTTACCCTCAAGAGATCTCACTGCAATTTTTATCAAATTGAAAGCCATTGTGGCTACTGTTCATTTGGTCAACAGCAGATTTGGCACTGTACTCAGGACTAGGGTTCCCTCTCCAGGGCATAACATGGAGCTTACACACAACTAGAGAAGTTTCCTCGGATAGGATGCTACTGAGACACCTTTCACCTGTCTGGGCAAGCTCTGCGACATGGCAGTTATAAAAGGAAAAGCTGCTTGGCTAAAAGGCTATGTGGCAGTGAACAAAAATAGTCTCTATCAAAGTGGGGGGAAAAAGTGTAACAGAATAGCAAAGAAGCACACCAAATGCATCCACACTCCAAGTATTTACCCAGTGCAAGAGTGGATGTGGTGGCAATGAGGTCTGATTCATTCTCTGCCCCAGCAGCAAGCGAGGGATGGACCTGACAAACTGTACTGTGAGTCATGAAGAAGATGTTGTTACCCAGGAATCAGCGACCTTGAACAGGCCATGTTTGCTCTATCGGGCCTTACACTTTATGTCAGAGAAGCCCATTTGTTATTAATGTAATCTATAATTTACATAATCTCTGTGAAAGGCAATGTGTATGTGGATCAAGGAGTGGAATGTATGGATCCTGACCAAGAGACTATTGTATACGGAGGAGTCAGAGACCCACATTTCAGCTGACCTGAGAAGGTGCAGGGCTGTGCTGCACTGTGCTGTGTTGCATGTCCAGCATGGCCTTCAAGCCTGTGTTATGATGCACAAGTCCCTTGGACAAACTCATCCAGCATGTTTTAACTGAGGAGCCTGCAGGCAGCTCCCACTCACCACTGGCGATTACATCATCTCCCTGGCCTTGCCTGTATCGAAAGTCCTGCACGAATTCTCATACAAACATCCCTTATGAACAGAGTTTTCTTATAAGAAAGTTCAGTAGTAGCTACAACAACTGAAAAAGGAGGAACCTCTTTCCACATATGGGATCAGCGCAGTATGCCATGGGAAAATACATCTGGGGTCCTGAATGCAGAATTCCCACTATCTGAAGGGACACAAGTCTTATTTGCTATCTACATTCCTCTTGCTGTTGTATCAGCTATTTTATTAAGACATCTGCTGCTGAGACATTCTTACCGAGACTCAGAAAGCCCCCACACTGCCTCTTTCTGCCACCTCGCCCCCCCACTCCCTGGTACAGAATGCAGTCACTGTATTCTCACCCTCCACTATTGGAAAAATACTTGGCTGTGTAACTTTTTCACTGAGTCAAACTTAATGTGAGGGGGCAACCACAGTAAAATTCCCACAACAAATGCCCTGTATTCCGTGCATGTGAAGATCTCAAAACCATAAAGACATTCATGTCTGTCAGAAGCCTTTTTGTTTATGTTTCCAAGGAAAACTAGAATGGCAAAAAAATGACCTGGTTTATAGTACAGGCTCTCTCCTCTCCATTCAGCTTTTATTTCTTTAGCCTGAGTGAATAATGATGATCTCCTAACTATTCAAATATATAGCCATCAATATTTTTTTATAAAACACCATCAAAAATTTCTAAACAGATTTAAGATTTAGTGAATTCACAGACTAACTCAACGGGTTCTGGGTCTACCTATCACTTAGGTTACCAAGCAGCATAGCACAGGCCCAAGCCACTTCAGACAGCAGTGTATGTCCTACTATGTCTCAAGAACTAAACAGAGAATATGAGGCCCAAAGTATCTCAAAATATGTCAATAACAAAGCAGCCTGTCAATAGAGAGATGTTCCTAGACGAAACAGAGATCATGAAATAGGAAGGAGACCGGACACTGCCTTCGGATTCATGTCATTGCCTATGGTCACCTAGAGATGGACTGAAATACACCCCCGTGAAAAGTCCTATGGGTTCTTTTAACTGATCTTCAGATACTGCAGCTTCAGCAGCAATGAGCTGTGAGAGCCCATCTTGGGCAGAGGGTACTGAGTCAAAAGCCACCTCACAAATACTTGTATGTGCTGTTTGCAAAGAGTTGCCATTGAGAGACCATGGATAAAGAAAGCAGTCTGCATGACCCATGGGATGTGATTGATTTTCACTTTTTGTGTACATATGTAGGCAGCTGAAGAGAATACAGTTTTGATCTCTGAGTCACTTCTGGACTTTTTGTGGCTCTTGAAGTTTCAGGGCATGGTTTTCCACCAATTCAATGAAGGCAGGAGTAGGACTCTTCAGATGTCATAAACTGCCTATGGCTTTAGTTGGTGAAGCTGGAAACAATATATCCCTTACCTTTTTAAATGAATAAAAGTATTAGATGGACTTGCCTACATTTACTTTTGTTTCCTATTTGTCAGCATTCCACTACTTTCAGCTCAAACCAACTCAGGGTAGAAAACCTTGAGGTAGAGAATTATCTAACCCTTTTCAAACAAATTCCTTTCAAAATATTTGTGATTTTTCTCTGAAGATATTCTTACTGATAGCCATTCTTATGTTAAATGTGCCTTGTAGAAGTTGCCTATTACTTTGACGTTCAAGAAGTGATGTTTTACATTAAAATAACTATTAATTGAAAATACAGCCTCTTTTGTCACTGCCACATGGTTACCTCCTGGTAACATAGCAGTTACCAAAATACATCTGAACTGAGCTTAAACTCTTCTTCTCTCTTTGAGAAAGTGTAGACTTGGGGATCTTTTCCAACCTAATTGATTCTCTGATAACATGCAGCAACCAGAACATCATTTATTTTTGGTGTCCAGGGTCTTCCTGATGTCTCTGCAGCTTGATCGATGACTGCCAGTCAAAGCACTTAGGAAGCTGAAGGCACTCACTCTGCGGTAATTTTGAAGGTGATAAAAATTTGTTTTCTTTCCTGTTTAGGTGAATGAATTCCCTCATCTTTTTCGACACAAGGTAAACGCTCCTCCTCATCCCGCAGCTTCCCTCGCCCCGCCGCGCCTGCGCTGCCCGCCACGCAGGCGGCCTGGGCGCGGGGGGCGGCCGCTTCCTGCCGGGGTGCGGCGGAGCCGTGCCGGGGGCTGTGCGGGGCGTGCAGCGACGCGGGCCGGGCTGAGCCGAGTTCAGCCGAGCAGAGGTGAGGGGCCGGAGCGGCGGGAGGCGGCTGTGCTGCCGGTCCGGGGCCGCCAGTAGGGCGGAGGGGGAGGACGCGGAGCAAGGGCCGGAGCTCCGCCGCCCCTGCATGGGCGCGGGGACCGATCAGCTGCGTCAGGCCAGCAGCGGAGTAAAGGCAGCTACCGCTGCTGCCCTGTGTGAGCCGGTGTTATTTGTTTTAATTTGGCTTGGTTTTAATTTAAAGCTGGTGGTTTTAAGGCTCCATGAAGTGCCGTGTACGTCGCACGGGAGCGGGGGGTGGGGAGGGGCGGGTGTTGGCAGGTGTGCTCACTGCGCTGGTTTGGTAGGAACACCATTTCAAATCGAAAGTCCTTAAAAATGAGCCAGAGGCAATATATGTATGGGAAATGTGGTCTCAGTGCTCCCTGCGATCGTATTCTGTTGTGTAGCTTAGCTTACCTTGACGTAATTACTTTGGGTGAACTGGTATGGAGCAGATCTGAAGGTGTAACACTATAACAGCCCTTCTCTGGTTCAGTTGCATTAGCAGTGCTTGTCCTTCTTATCATCAGGATGGTTTATTAGATTTGCATGGCAAGGTTTCGATAGAGAGGAGGCTGTAGGAGTGGCTTTTGTGAGAAGCTGCCAGAGGCTTCCCCTGTATCCAACAGAGCCACTGCCAGTCGGCTCCAGGATGGACCTACCTCTGAGCCTGCCAGTGATGGTGGCAGCACCTCTGGGATAATGTGTTTAAGAAGGAGAAAAACTGCTGCATAACAGCAGGCCAAGGAGAGAAGTGAGAATATGCACCAAGGTACAGAAGGAGGGGAAGAGGTGCTCCGGGTGCTGGAGCAGAGATTCCCCTTGCAGCCCATGGTGAAGACCATGGTAAAGTAGGTTGTGTGTCTTGCAGCCCATAGAGGTCCGTGATGAAACAGGTATCCACCTGCAGTCAATAGAGTAGCCCATGCTGGAGCAGTTGGACACCCAAAGGAGGCTGAGACCTCGTGGAGAGGAGCCCTCACTGGAGCAAGCTCATGGCAGGTTTTGTGATTCCATGGAGACAGAAGCCCACACTGGAGCAGGTTTTCTGGCAAGACTAGGGACCCCTTGGGGGACCCATGCTGGGGCAGTTTGTTCCTGAAGGACAGTGCCCTGTGGAAGGGACCTACATAAACTGCTTCAGCAGCTTATGAAGAACTGCAGACCTGTGGGAGGGATCCCATGCTGGATCTGGGGAAGAGTGCGACTATCACCTTATTTCCTGACACCCCATTCCATTCAGGGCAAAGAAGTAGAGAAGTTAGTGAGTGAAGTTGACCCAGGAGGAAGGGAGGGGTAGGGGTAATGTGTTTCTAGATTTGTTCTTATTTCTTATCATTCTACTCAGACTTCATTTGTTAAAATTAATTTCCTTGACTTGAGTCTGTTTTGCCTATGATGGTAATTTCTGAGGGATATTCCTGTCCTTTTCACCACACACAAGCCTTTCATCATAGTTTTTCCCCTTTTCCAGTTGAGAAGGGAAGGTGATAGAGCAGCTTGGTAGACACCTTGCAGTAAACCAAGCTCAACTCTCGACAGGTACTTATCATTCACATTGATTATGTTGGGAAAACAAGCCAGGCTTCCTTTCCCTTTCCAATACCTTGTATTTTCTTTCTTTATCCTGTGTGCATGTGTTCGGTGACTTCTTTGGGGTGGATGTTTTTTGCCTGCGTGGTTGATGGTGTATCATATCCTTGAGTCAGATGGGACCCGCAATCATTAAGGTTGGAAAAGACCTCCAAGATCATCAAGTCCAACTTTTGACCAAACACCACTATGTCAACTAAACAGTAGCCCAAAGTGCCACACCCAGTCATTTCTTCAGGGATGGTGACTCCACCACTTCCATCCTTGTAGGTTTTCAAGACTTCTCTGGATTTGGCATAGAGCAAGATGATCTAATCAGACCATTTTTGATGAGAGGATTAGACTAGAAGATCTCTGGAGATCTTTGTTCCTAAACTGTCTGATTCAGTGATTCTTATTAGGAATAATAAGCACGGTAATGGATTTACCAAGGAAAAATTATTCCTGACCAACCTGATTGCCTTTAATAAATGATAATTGGATTTGCAGGCAAAGGTAGGTGTCATTTACCTCCATTTGAACAAGACTTTCAACACTGTCTTTCACCCTGTTCGTGTGTCAAAGATAGGATATATGTCTGCCCTAGGCATGGACAAGAGGAACAGGGTGATGGGACCCTCAGGAATTTCAACAATGACAGATACTGTGTCTTGGCCCAGCCCTTACAGTATGGACTGGGGATGGGCTGTGTGAGGAGCAATTCTGCAGAGATGGCCATGGGCCCTGGCAGGCCCTGTGTGCCCCAGGCTGTTGCCCCAGAGCTCTGTTAGGGTGGGGTGAAGGTATGTTTACAGTAAACTGAAATATCTGAATATTTTCTGTGGCCATCAGTTTCACTGGTGTGCAACAGAGTCCTGATTTCTCTTCAGTTTAAATTCTTGTGTGCTTATGGGTACCTGCATATTCTAACTCACAGAGAAAGTTTTCATGTCAACTGTTCCAGCCCCTAACTACAATTACCATTTGCAGTCTCCCAGGTGAGTGTTTTGTTTGTTTCGCTTCTGATTTTGCATGAAATGATGGAAAAATTATGGATAATTTTTGCATTTTAAATCATATTTTAGAGACAGTGGACACTCCACTTGAGCTGTCCCATTTTAAAGTCAATGAGATGTATTTAAAATGCTTTCAGAGTACATACATGCTGTGCCATATGGAACAGTATATTTGCTGCATCTTTAAGAAATGTCCATCACCCATTCTTTGTGCAAGATCAGTGAGTATTCAGCCTTTACTGGGTTTAAGCCCAAAAGGCAAAGTGATACGGTAGCCTTTGGAGGGGGAAGAAAATGTTTTAGTGCTTGCATCTGTTTTTAAGTACAACATAATTTTTTTTTTTTCTGGGAAATAGCATGCTGTCTTTCCTAGTCCTAAGTATATTTTTTTGATCTCTCTTGCAGGGTGAAATTTAGTGTCATATGACAGAGCCAAAATGCTGGATGACATCAAGAAGCGATTTGAATTTCCTAATGCAGTTGTTCAGTCACAGGTAATTTTTTAAAAGCATTAAACAAATGAAGTTGTCTATGGAAGCATTTGTTCCAATGCCTGCTGCCTAACTGTGAAATGTAATAAGGGAGACTTCTGGGGTGTGTCTTCTTTTTCTTTTTTTTGTTTTCTCTGGAGTCAGAAACCCAGGGTATTCTTAAGCTGCAAACAAATACTAATTGCCTTCTCTGTGTAATCCAAACATTGGCATAATTTCTCATCACTACAGAGTCTCTTCAGGAAAATCAGAAACTTTCCATGACTGGATGTTTGAGTAGGACCAAATGGTTTTTGGTGACCCTGTGATCTCAAGAGAAGCTAGAAATTACAAGATGCCATGTGTGGGGCTGAAGTACTTGACAATACTTCATAGAACTGTCTTTAGGACTGATTTGTTTTCTTCCTGTGTGATGAGAACTGATGAACTACTCCAGTCTTGTCACTCATCAAAGAATAACTTTATACAGCTCAAAAGACCAGCCCCTTTATCATCAGATCCATCTGTTGGCTTCTGAGCATGTTCACCTGACATTCTCATGTGTAAAAAGCGTTTATCATAATATTTTTAATGGACCGGAAGGAATAATAGAATTAATAGAGTTTGGTCAAAAAATACACCTTCCTTGCTTTGGCCATCTCTCATTTCAGTGTTAAAAACCTATCTCTTCATCTGTAAATTCATTGCTAACTTCCCTGTTTTCTTCTTCCTGTTCAAATTCAGGATTAAATATGTAGTCATTCAACTGGTGGATTAAGTTGATATGAATGCAACCTGGTGCCTCTGTTGCCTTTTCATTTCAGCTCAGTTTGCATTGGTTTAACAACAGTAAAGTTTGAAGGGAGATCAGTTTGTCATCAACTTGGCATTTAGGAGAGAAAATCATGTCCCTGAAAGCTGGAGTTCATCTAAGGTCTACCAGAGTGTCTCATACTGCAGATGAGTTTACGTCATTACTAGCCTTGATGGGTAGGACTCAGCATCTTGGAAGAAGCTAATTTTTCTTCAGTGCTGAAGAATGTCCCTGTGGTACACTTCTGTTGCTGAAATGTCTTGGCTCATCACTACAGCTGTACATGATTAAGGTCTGCTGATGCTGTCCAACTGCTTTGGTTGATTTTGTCCTCTGCTTTGATAGTTTCCACTTGTATTCTGTGTCCCCTGAAAACCATGCTGTAATCTTCAAACTGTCATCAGGTCAGGATTTAACTTCACGACAGATGTGTTTCTGGGACCAACCAGGATATCTGCTCTGCAGAGCATGTAATCTACACATGATCAGAAAAGTGAGAAACTTGAGCATAGATAGGCTAATCTGCATTTTTACTTTCCTGTATAGCTAGGTCACTGCAAAAGCCAGTTTCTATTGATAAGCCCATTTTCATGTGTAATGAAAGTGTTTTAAGGATGTGGGTGTGAATTAATTTCTGAAGTTCCTTATAAACACGAAAAAGAAAAAAATAATATAAGATTCACTTGGTAAGTGCCCTAAAAGAGATCTAATCTGCCTGGAGAACACGTTGTTGCTCTTGCAGTGGGATAGCTGCAGAGAAACAGAGGTGTCTGACTTGGTCCCATTTTCTCATTCTGATTTCTCAAGGGTAAGATTTCCAAATAATAACCTGTCTTTTTAAATAAAATGCGCTAGAGTACATATCCACACCTATGAAAAGCACAATCTTTGTAGCCTACGAATGTTCAAAGTGCCGTCTTTCCCAGAAATATGAGCCCTTATCTCAGAGTGCTGTTGTTTGTCATGACAGGCTAGCAACTAGTACTTAAATGAGGTGGAAGTAAATAATGAAAGGAGAAGGAACCTGAAAATATTTAAAATAATTTGTTCCTGTCTTTTTATACACTAACAAAAAAGAAATGTTAGTATTTTTTCTTTCTTGCTGACCTAGTTTTTTGCCAAAACTAATGATCTGTCCTTACCAGAGAGGAGTGGATGCAGCAGCTGTTCTGGGCAGATTGATAGACTGAAACGTTTTTGTGCTCTTACTATGAAAACATGTCTTTTTCTGTCTCTCACAGAAAGTTTTTTTTGTGTAGCAGTGTCAATAATTTCTGAAACAAGGCAGAGTAAAGCACTAGAGATGAGTCAGAAGACAAAACACTGGGTTCAAACAACCTGATGCCTTTGAGGGTATTTCAGTTCACATTTAGATTTTTAAATGCAGTTTGAGGAAATCAGACATTCCTTGTATTAAAATAGAATGAGGAGCTTAATCTTCAATCTCAAATGAAGAAATTTATGCTGTTATTTAGAAATGAAGCATTTTTTTCTGGATGACCTTGAAAACTTAAAACTTGTTCATGATCTCTGCCACTGAATAGGTTAATGAGGAATAATGTTAACTCAAATGCCTTGTTTAAAGGAAATTAACCTTTTCTGGCAGGAGCTGTGCTATTGGATATGCGGAATGCTTAAGGCATGATAGTATGTTTATGATCAGTGTTTAGCAAAACTTGTGATACAAAACTTTGGACAAGTTGCTTAGATTTGCTGTGTTCTGCTTCCTCTCTTGATTCTGTTTCCCTATGTAGTAAAGGATGTAGTAATTACCAGTGCTGTTAAGTACATGGGGATCTGTACAGCAGGGGGGCTGTAAATGTTTATTAAAGTTGATGCATTAAAATACATGCAATTCCTAAGTACCTATGTACCTGTTCAAAGAGACCTTTGGATCTGTGTGGAGCCCTATGGAAGTTTGTTTCTTTTCTGCCTCAAGACAACAGTATTATGGAGATTTTAAACCCTAAAATATATTTCAGCTTCCATACCAGTAAGATTTCAAATCATAATAAAATGATCACATGCAAGAGCATTGTAAAGTCTTCTTAATGGAGAATTTAAAAATCGTGCATGTGGTTTTTATTTATTTTTATTTCATTTTATTTTATTTCTTTTCACGCATCTGCATGTGGTTTTTATTTCTTTTTCTCTCTTAGGCGGTAGGGCATTTGATTGCTGCAATACTGAAAGAAAAAGTTTCTTCGGAGAAGATCAGACAGGCTTCTGCCCAGGTCTGTGTCATTCTTTCCCTTGCGTCTCCTCTCTCATCCATATATTCCTATTCTACGTGCTTTGTCTACATTTTGATGTTCTCCATTGTGTAATTTTAACACAATTCCGGAAGTTAGATAAGGTAGTCATCAATGTATGTCTGGGTGTATGGGTAGAAACAATAAATCTCTGGGATCAGAAGAGCAGTTTTACTTCCATTAGAAGTCTTAATGGCAGAAGTCTTAATGCTGCAGAATACTAAGATCTAACTATGTTCAGTTTAAGAGAGCTTAATTTAGTTATGTTTCTGCAAGTGAAGTACCATATGGTGAGACATTGTCACTTGAGGTGGAAATTTGTTTACATCACTATAAAAATTTCAAAAATATGGCATTTCACATATCTGTGTTGGTGTTACATTTCATGTTAGCTAAGCAGAGCTTGTATTTCTTTGAGAGCATGATGTAGAGGTATACTTTGCATTTTAAATGAGTCAAGCTCACTTAAGTGCATGCCTTGTTAACTGAGAGGCATGTGAAATTCTGGCATTTCTGCTTCTCTGTTTTTCCTCCCCAAAAGCTTACTTATCCAGAAATTAATAGAAAATTATTTGTAGATTTTTCATCCCAATCTGATTCCTTAGCCCCCACGAAGTAGCAAACCCAGACCTGAAAAGTGTTGAATTTTGGTGTGAGGGAATTTTGGAAGTGTGTAGTTTATCTAACAGAAGCTCTTCCACTGTCCTGATCGTTACCACGTTCCCCAGTCACTTTCTGTTTTGAGCTACAAGCTGATTCTTCCCCTTCCGCTGCCCCATGAAAGTATTGAACTGAAATACAGCAACACCTTCTAAAATGCTAAGAAGTAGGAGATTGCAGTGGTTAGACGTTGCAGGCTCCCTTTTTTATTCAAGGGCATTTTGCTGTTTTCAATTGTTTTAAAACCTTCCTTGCTCTCCATTTGGAAGTCATAAAGTTAGCAAACTAGTCTGTGAATACAAATTTACTGTGGAAACAAGCAGTAGTTTTGATGGATACTGCCAAATCTTTGTGCTTACTAGCAAATGGAGAGAACTTCACATGTTGAGTAAAGTCGACTTTGGATAGCCCTTATCTTTGGACAGCCTTCCTTTAGCTGTCTGCACTACACCTTGCTGTAGACATAACTTGTCATACCAGTTCCTGAGTTGCTTCCAATTGCATCCTGATTTTTTAAATCAGGAAACTGATGATAGCCTACCTGTGGATGCCCCATCCCTGGAAGTGTTCAAGGTCAGGTTGGATGGGGCCCTGAGCAACCTGATAGTGAGTGGCATCTCTGCCCATCACAGAAGGGTTGGAACTAGATGATCTTTAAGGTCCTTTTCAACCCAAACCATTCTATGATTCTACCTGCATAGGCACAGCTGAATAATTCATCTGCCTCGCCTTTTTCTCAGAGACAGTGAGTCCTACACCCTACTGTGGGAGTAGAAAAGTGGAAACTGTCCTGGGAAAGACCTTTCTTAGGAATAGAATCTGTATCCCAGCTTCCTCTCTTGTGCTCTCTAAGGCTTCAGGAGCAGCTGTTGAGCTGGTTTTTATTTAAAAGTGCATTTGAGATGAATTAAAGCCTTCTTATTGCCTTTGTCCCATGCTTTTGCCCTCAGACCCCTGCTCTGAACCTGCTTTGGGAGAAGTGTTGCAGTGAGAATGTTGCCTTGCGAACAGCCTGCTCTGAGGGGTTGGTGGCGCTTGTTGCAGAGAAACATGCTGAGCTCGACTACATTCTTCATGGGGCTCTCAACCTAATTCCCTCAGCAAGGTAGTATTTGATTGTCTAATTTTGTATCCTTTTGGCAGCTGGTTATCAGTCATCACTTTTCCCTTGTAAATACAGGGGAAGAGAAAAGATTCTGTAAGTGTCAGTATCTTCAAATAAACCGTGGCATTAAGGACTGGTATTGCCCTATCACTCTGCTGAAGCACGTTGCTTTCATCTTGGTTGTGTGACAGTGTGGGTCTGACATAAGAACTCAGAATATCCTATGGGTATAAGCTGAAATTGTTAGCAGTTCATACTGGTGCTCTAAACTTTGAACTGTGAGCCTCAGAAGTCAATGCATTGCCTAGTTTTGTTGCCTTTGTCATTGGGAAGGGGAAAAAAAATGGCAGGAACTTCCATTATGTGGGAGGGTGGTGTGGTTTAAACCCAGCTGGCAATCAAGCCCCTTTCAGCAGATCACTCACCCCCCCACCAGTGGGATTGGGGAGAGGATTGGAATGGTAAAAGCCAGAGAAACTTGTGGGTTGAGATACAGATGGTTTAATAGGGAAAGCAAAAGCTGTGAATTAATTCACTGCTTCCCATGGCCAGGCAAGTGTTCAGCCATCTCCAGGAGAGCAAGGCCCCATCACGTGCAATAGTTTCTTGGGAAGACAAACACCCTCACTCCAAACTTACCCCCCTTCCTCCTTCTTCCCCTGATTTTATATGCTGAGCATGATGCCATATAGTCTCGTTTATGGTCAGTTGGGTCTGTCCTGGCTATATCTCCTCCCAGCTTCCCAACTTCCTTGCCAGTGTGGCAGTACAAAAAGCAGAAAAGGCCTTGGCTCTGTATAAGCCCTGCTCAGCAGTAACAGAAACATTATCCTTATTATCAACCTATATTATCTATATTGTGTTCATCACAAATCCAAAACATAGCCCCATAACAGCTCCTACCCCAGCCAAAACCAGAATGGGGAGAAATAACTTCCTAACCAGTCTGTCTAATTAAAATTGGTCAAATAAAGTCACCCTAAGAATTTGTGTTGAGATTAGGAATGCTGTGGTTTGTTTCCTTGTCTGCTGAGGAAGAAATCACTTTGCCTAACACACTACAGCTACTTCTTCCTACAACATTCTGCAAATGTAGTGCTTACATCTCACAGTGGTGTTTTAAGCTGCAAATGCCGTTGTGGGGGGAAAAGACACTGTACGTAAAATTTAGAAAGGGGAAGTCAAATGATGATCAGGAAGATGTGTCCATTTAAATCTGCCAACTGTGTCAAATTGCTTTTTGCTAGCCAGCTGAATTTCTGCACCAAGCTGTCTGATTCTCTTGCTAGACTGCTAGAGTTTTTTTAGCCAAGCCAGCTATTTAGTGCTATATCTGTCATATATTATGCTGGTGTATTCAGCATAGTGGTTGGAAGAACCATGCTATTCAAGACATGTTCTTCACCCCTTCTCACCTTCACATAATCAGTTTTAGCCAAAAGTTTCTCATAATCAGTCTGAGCCAAGGTGAGCTTAAGTTTGAGTAAACCAGTGAAACGCTAAAAAAATATTTCTTACCTTATGACTTGCTTGTTGACAGCTAGAATTTTACTGTGATGATGCTGATTCTGTGTGTGTTTACAGTTGGTGTCTATGGATCCCTAGAAAAGGTTTTGTAAATGTATTTTTATAATATGGATAATTTCTGCAATCCACTGTCCTCCGAATGACAAAACTTTACTAGTTTGGTTTGGAGGAGTCTGCATTGTTAATAAAGAGGTAAAAGTACCTGTGCTAAGACTGTGAGAACCTGAGTCCTGTAGGGTAAGATGGAGTAAAAGTTTGATTAGCTGTGGCTTGCAGACTAGGAAATGTGAAATTCCCGTTCAGCTTGTTGCCGTGGGATTTATGGTGCTTCAAAAAAATCTCCGGAGCAGTTAATTAGGGGTGAGATAAGGAAAGGGTTTATTATGCCAAGGCAAAAGATGTTACATGGCACGCCCGCTGTGCCCCAGATGTTACATTTTATAATACCATCCATCCAATCCCAAATGTGTCCACCCTGTGGCCTTTACTCTGGACCCCCCAGGTCCACCCCCTGAAAATGGGTCTGGGGTGTATTTTGGGACCACCTACTTCATCACCTTCACCATCATCAGAGCACAAAGGGTACATAGTCACCCAGTTCTTGACTTCATTTTGATGTTCAGGCCCTGATATGGCTGTTCTCTAAACAGTCTAGGCCTTGCCTTGACAAAAGAGTAAACATTTCTATTGTATTTGGGGGTAGGAGTGATATAGGGAGCATAGATGGGGTAAGAGGGTTAAGGAATGTGTAAACAAGGGTGCTACAGGGAAAGGGATGTAAGGGATGCTGCTTTTAGAGTCTACTTATAAAACTTACAAGACTTAAAAATATTAGAAAAATAAAAACCATTAGGGGCTTAAGGCATCAAGCTGAAGGTTTGTTACGGTAGCAGCAGTTTATAAGGAGATGAAATGTTAATGCAGCTTTTTACTTGTCCTAGTTAGGACAGCTGAGACCAGTTCATCACTGGACGGGTGTAACCCAAAACTGTGTATTCTATAGCCATCCATGCCAATTCCCAGAAACTGTTATCAATGAACCATTTACGCCATCTGCACATAGAGCCTGACTCCTCAGGCTATAAACTGGGTACTAAGAGGCCTGCGAGATAGGAGTTGCTCTTGTCCTCACACCCATTAAGGAACCCCCCGCCCTGAGGGAGGTACTGAGCATTCCTGCCTGAACTGGAGGATATATAATCTTGGAGTCTTGGGACCTTTTTAACCACTCGTGGGATCCAGAGGAAGACTGCAGATCAGTGCTCTCAACCAGACTGCAGACCACCACTCTCGACTGGACTGCAACCACCACTTTTCAACCAGACTGCAACCATCACTCTCGACCGGACTGCAACAGCACTCTCACCAACAGGTTTTCCCCTTTCCTTTTCCTTTGGACTCAGGGGACCCAAAGAACACCACTCTGTTCATGCCCCAGGGTGCTGGGTTATATATTTGGGTTTAGTGGGTTAAAACCAATTGTTTGTCTGTAAAATTGTACTTATTGTATTATTTTATTAAATTGTTCTTCTGACTTATAATCTCTCTTTTGAGTTGAGTTCATTTCCCCTGCTGGTTTACCTTTAAACCAGCACATTACTTCAGGAAATAAAAAGTGTAAAGTGGGATATTTAGGATTGAGTTAACCTAAAAAACAAAATCAGAGTTATGTATTGAAGGGACTTGGATCTGCCCCATTTCTACAGCCTTCTTTGATTTTTTAAAAAATTTTTAATGTGTGAAATCAACACACAACTAATTACTGTATGCCAGCAAATTATCCAGGAACCTTTAATGTATTTTTTGCTTCTTTCCCACCGCCACCCTCTCCTTCCCCAAGCTGCTACAATTCAAACTGCATCCACTATGGATTGCAGAGGGTTTATGTTGCCTAACCACAGAAGTCTATGGGTTTAAGAATGTCTGTAGCCTCAGCAGCTGATTAAACTGACAATTTCAGGTTGGTTCTTTTCAGTAGTGATACTTTTTTTATTATCTTGGCTTAGAATTGTAGCCTGCTGTTTGTCATCCTATTCCCTGCCATATTTTCATGTAAGATTGCTCTGTGGCTTTGCACTGCTGCGTGCACAGTGTCTCTAAAGTAAAATAAATATGGAATTAGCAGCCAGTGGCAGCTAACAGAAAGGCATTTGCAACCGCTGAGCACTTTCAGTGCTGAATGGAGTTCGATGTATGTTTTATTGGAAAGACTACTGGTGTTCTTGCTCCTCTTCCTTCTGTTACAATGAATTTAGCAGTGGCTTAGAGTACCTGCTGGATTATATTTTGTCAAGTGTATCAAATTATGCACACTAGGAGGCACATATTGCTTTGTCAGAGATGAACATCTCATGCTTATTTGAGGTGACTTGTTTTGTGGTTCACACTACCTGCTCACTACACCTACTCTTACCTCTGTGGTACATCACTGTACTATGACTGACTCTTAGTATTAGTTTCCTCTGATGCCGTAAGAGTTTAAACTCCATAAAACATTGTATTTATGTGTGTATTTGTGTGTTTTTGCGTATAGAGGAAGTATATTTACATGTGTAAATAGATACATGTGCATTTTTACATGTTCTTAAGATTGGTTTGCAACGTTCTATGTAGATGATGATGATAAAACTCTGTGGCCTGTGTTCAGTAGTGAATGAGGATAAATAATCAAGTCAGTCTTCTAAACCACCTGTCAAACAATTGGTTATTGTAATCCCAAGAATTTCTATGTGTATATATGTTCTCAGAATGTTTTTATCACCTGTAGAAGGTGGGGGGAAGTCCTTGCAATACACTGTGCCCCACTGTATTGCATGTGTTCGGGAGATAAGCGTAAAGCCTGAAGCAACCATTCTCTCCCCACTTCCTGCCTGGGAATTAGGATCAGCAATACAGGAGTTTCAGAACAAGAAAGACAGTTTTCTTACTGTTTTATGGTTCGTTTTTCTCCCCTTGCTGCATAGTTATCCAGTTGAAGTGGGAAATATGCTTGCAAATTCCCATTTAACTGGCTCTTTCTAGCAATGAAAAATCTAAAAGGTTGTTCTCTCCCTGCCCTCCAAAAATATCCTTCCTCCTCTGTGTTTTACATTGACTACACTGGGATTTAGAAGGCTGCAGCATACCTTCCTGTTTTTTGCTTTGAAGCAGTGTTCTGTCAAACCTAATGTTTTCTTGCATTGTCAGATTTCATCATTTTGAGAGCCAGGTGTCACAACAGCCAGTCATTTTAAAGATTAAAGGCACATCTTAAAACTGGTCCACTTCTGGAAGAAAGAGAGAAAACAGAAGGATGTTCTATCAGTTTTGATCAGGGTCAGTGTTTTCCAGCACTGCCGGTAAAAGGGTGAAAGGCACAGAAGAGAGAATATAGTACTTTGCCTGTATCTAGAATATTAAACTAAGCATTTCTTGGTGGGGAGATCCACTGTGGGACTCTCTAGGTGTTCCCTGGTGTGCCATACCAGCTCACAGGAAAGAGTTTGTCTGCAGGTGGTTACAAAAAAGTAGTAAAAGGTTTGACAGTTAAAAGTGGTATTTGCCTGTGTGTTCCCATTTTCTTTTACGAATGATGGGAGAGTGTCTAAGTTATGTTTCTACCATGATGAAATCCTTTGCCTTTGCAATTTTTGAATCTTCAGTAAAGTGTTTGTAAATATTAAGTTAGACTATTTCTTTGTGATTAGATATTGTTGCCACACAGTGTTGTGTTGATGTTGATCTGTGTTGATATTGTGTTATGTAAGCTCCTGTCTTTTGACAGTGTTCATGTGAAGCTTCCTGTTCTTTTATAGAAATTGCTTAAATCTGTTCGGAATTTTTCGTATAGCTTTAAAGCCTAAATGTTTGTATATCTATTCATAATTTTGGAAGACGTTTATGGAACATACTGCACTCTAGACCAGACAGTTACTATTACTGTATCTCAGTTTGCTAATGTGTTAAATTAGGATGATGGTTTGTTTGTCCTATGAGAAGGTTGTAAATTCTCTGTAATTTCTTTTTCCATCTCACCTGCAGTTTTCCTTTCACTAGTGGAGAAGTGGAATTACAGATAAAATAGATTTCTCAGATTTTTTTCCTGATAGGAAGGGAAAAAAGGAAAACAGTAAAAAAGAAAAAAAAAAAAAAAACAAAGCCCAGCACCAAATTCTGTTTTTCCTCCCTTATCTTGTTCTTTGAGATAAACGTAACTTTTTGTCAGGTAATGATCTATTATAGTTGTGTATTTTAATAGCTCTTCCTCTTCATTATGTAAGTAAAGCGAGGAGTAATTGTGTTTTATTAACATGACTAGTAAGCTATCTAATAAATTTTTAGGTGATGATGATGCAATTGTATAGCATGTTCTGGGTGAAAAGTCAAAGAACCAATCATGACTTTTTTTTTCCTCTGCTTCTACATTTGCACCTTGTGAAAGTGCGTTTCATTATAGAATCCAGGTTATTTTCTTGAGAAAGGGATTGGGCTGGTTCTGGCGTGGTCTTGTTGGAAGAGTATGGAAAGCACTTAATTATGAAGAGGAGAGCAAAAGTTTGGAAGTTGTCTTTGTAAGCTCAGCCAAGCTCTGATAAGCTCTAGACTTCTTTTTACTGCATTATCACCACCTTGTGGTGGACTTGGTTAATTTCTTTAGTCTATTTCCAGGAGAATATGGGAAGACCTATCAAAATTCCATTTTGATAGTGATACATGAACTCAAAGTTTCTTTAGATTCCCTGAATGGTAAATTAAGTAACATAGGAGAAGGGAGATAAAATAACTTATGTATCTGTTTTGTACTCCTGAGATCAAAAATCAGCACAAACTAGACGTCTCAAGTGTCTTTTCTGAAATGTGATTTCACTTCTGAGACAGTGGCGTTGTTGAAATTTGTGTACCATGCTTGCTTGATGTTTACCTGTATGCTTGCACTCAGAGAAGCGCTAATTTTCTGGTTTTAACATATTAAATGCATGAGTTTGAATTGATCTGGGGAAAGCAAATGTACTTGTAATATATGGTAGAAGCAAACCATCAAAAGTTTTAATTGATGCATTACTTATTTTCTCTGCTATTTTGTTCATTATGTGAAAAGGAAAATAAAGACACGTGGGTGCACGACTTGCCCAAACCTATGTAGGCAGATGTGAAGAGTCCTTAAGAACTCCAGGCTTCAAGTGTTTTGTTCCCTCTCTTATGTAAGAATCAACTAATGTAACTGTATACATGATGCTATTTCTTTTTGTCAACAGGAATGTGCATGGTTTAGTAAAAACTATTTGCAAGTTACTACAAATTCAAGCTATTCAACTGGGAAAAGATGGAGATGAGTCTGTTTGGAATCTGTATGGAATCAGGTTAGTGTCACGTTAGTTTTATTTAGATATGATAATATCTAATTTCTGATTTTCAGGAAAAAAAAAAAGTTAATACTGGCTTTCAGTCTTTCTTTTTCGTGTTCTATTTTGTTTACGTGGTGTAGGTAATCAAGTGCTGGCACAAGTTGCCCACAGAGATTGTGGAATCTCCATCCTTGGAGATACCAGAACCTGACTGCATGTGATAATGGGTAGCTTTCTGACTACCTGCTGACTATGCTTGAGCATATGGGTTGGACTAGATGATCTGAGAGGTCCCTTCCAATGTAAATCATTCTCTGATTCTATGATTATTTTTTTGGCTGACAGTTTTAAGGAGTTTTCTAGTACAGGGGTAAGATTGTGCTTTTCGAACTTATGGTGGCAATGGCAACATGAAGGCTGTATGCAAGAACACAATAAGTATTTTAAGACTGTGAATTACTTCCCTCTCATTTGTTTTTCCTGCTTTTTCTTATTATCAAAGTCAAGTTCCTCAATGTCTTTGCTGCAAAGATGATATACATGTAAAAATAAGTGACTTAAAGATGCATCTAGACCTACTTATCTAGAGCTGCTTGTCATGCAATTGCAGACTTTTGAAGGGAACATCTTAATGACTTCATTCAGCTCTTGAGAAACCATGAGTCAGTACTGGCATTAGCACCCTCTATTATATCTTCTGGAGAACGTTCCAGCTTAGTAGATGTCATGAACATTTTTCAAGTGTCTTTTTATGCAGTTAAGAGATATCACTGTAGGAGGCTGTAGCTATAATGGCTTAAGGATATAAAATGCATTGTTTAAAAGACAGGAGTCATGTCGTTAATTAAGCAAAATGAAATAGTGAAGAAAAGTGAAACGGGCTTTGGAGTGCTGGATATGCTTGCATTCCTGAAATCCTTTGTTTTTCTAGGTATATTGGGTCTTCCTACAGAGTCTCCTCTTATAGAGCAGTTTTAGTTCAAAAGGCAGATAATGAAGGGTACTAAGATGGAACTCATTTGGAAAATTTCTTTTTAGTAGTAAAATAAACATATTTAAAGTCTCCTGGTAGAAGAAGCTAAGTTAAAGCAACCTAATCCAGGCTTTGTGTGAAAAAGAAGGTAGTAGGATGTGGCTGGAATAAAGAAATATCCTCTGCCCAGTAGAGCGAAGGAAGGTAATTGCTTTTTTCCCTAACCACCTACCAAAAGAAAAAGTACTGGTAACATACAATGAAGGTGAAATTTGGAACATTCAAAATGGTTTGAATTAAAGTAATAGACAATGGAAAATAAGCAGCATACCTACACTTAGTCAGTACGGTTTTTGTTTTCCCTTTTGGTTGCAGTCAGCTTTAATGAAGAGAGATGTCAGATTGTTTGATGTAAGGTCAGGGCCTTGTGCTTTTGAAACCTGATTTCTGGGTTTTAGTGTACAGAAAACCCTATCCATTCATTGTTATGTAACAGTTTTGGTAGTTGTGCTCTATCAAATGCCATTAAAACTTGATTTTTTCTAAGAAATAGAAGAATGTTTACAGTAGCTCACGAACAGTAATCTGCTGTTACAGTGTTCATGTATTATGCTGTCAACAATGCAAAAGTATTCCATGTGGAAATCATCAATGAAGAATCAAAAAGCTCCAGTATGTTCTCAAGTGGTTTGCTATTGTCACTAGTATTACAGGGTAATAAGTAGATTTGGCCTAGGTCAATTTTAATTCTGAACAATAGAATTTGTCTTATAATACAGCTTCTTATGATGACATAATATCATGAACAGTTCCTGAAAAGAAATGAAAGAAAATAATGTCTTGCAGATTTGGGCATTTTGTGGTTGTTGGGTTTTTTTTGTTGTTGTTGTTTTTAAGTGTGGTTGGTTTGTTTTGGTTTTGTTTGTTTTATTATGTTTCTCTGGGATAGAGTTAGCTTTCTCCGTAGCAGCCATCACAGTGCTGTGTATTTGCAGCCAGAACAGCATTGATAACACACCAGTGTTTTGGCTACTGCTGAGCAGTGCTGTCCTCCAGCCCATTGCCATCCCTCTAAGGCCAGTAAGGTAGAGGTGGTCAAGACTTCAAGAGGGCACACAGCCAGGACAGCTCACCCAAACTGACCAAAGGGATAGATCTTTCATACCATACAACGTCTACTCAGGAATAAAAGCTAAGAGGAAGGAGCCTAGAGTGCATTCATTATTAAGACGTTTATCTTCCAAAGCAATGGCTACACAGACTGAAGCCCTTCTTCACAGGAAGTGGCTGCACATTGCCTGCAGTGCAATGCTTTCTTTTCCTTTGCTTTCTTGCATAGCCTTTGCTTTTCTTTAATAAATTGCTTTTATCTTGACCCGAGGGGGGGGCGGGGGGGGGGCTCCTGTCAGCATTTTTAATGCAGGTGAGCTATAGTACACTTTGGCTATAAATTTTTTGTGAAAGCTATTTAACTTTTTTTTTTTTAAATGAACTAGTAGTTTACATTATTCGTAATGATTCACCATGCATGGTTTTATTGTTTTAAAATTCTGGAAAGCTGCCAACTTTCTGAATTCGAAATTCAGAGGAGGTAGAAAAATGCTTTAAAAATGCATATTTGATGGAGCAAAAGGCTGTCCCAGCATTCTGAAGGGACCAAGGTCACATCTGCATCCTCAGAAAAGTATGTTGACTGCAGACATTGTTTCCTGATACAGAAAAACAGTCTGTCTCTGGATTTGTCCTTTGAATCAGATTGGAGCTCTGTTGTATTCAGAGATGTAACAAAAAAGTTGAGATGACCTAAAAGTTAAAAATTATTTGTGTTTTACTGTTACCTCTCATACAAGATTTACCTTGTATGATTTATTTATGTTTCCCTGACCACTTACATATAATGAGTGGATAACTGCTGTGTCTGGTTGTACGTTTTGCTTTATCCTGAACCCACTGGCAATAATTTAGGGTAGTAGCACTGTAATGTCATTTAAAGATGTGTGTCTTACAGTGCTGTTCTGGCAATTCCTAAGTTAGTGTTGACAATAAATCTCATCTACAAACCTCATTTTTCCTACTGCTATTAGCATTATCAGATGCACCTTTTTTAGGCTGCACATTTTGGTGTTTCATTATTAGTTCACTATGGAGCTTAGCTAGTTTCTTTCATCATCCAGTTTGGTGCAGTTATAGTAGTTTCAGAACACTCAAAATCTGTCCAAAAAGGCTTGCTTTTTTTCCTCTGTGGTAAGCCATTTTCATTTTGGACTTGATGTGTCGCATGTGCTGACTTTAGGAAGGTTCCACTGCCTTCAGTGTCATAGAAGCATTTAAGTGATGACTGAAGACATATTCTTCTGATTAGGAAAGGTAATTAATTTTTAAAATGTGACAAAGGTATTGAAATAAGCAGCTGCTATAACCCTATATGTCTTTACAAGGGCTATTCACTTTCAAGGTCCTGGCATGGTTTTCTGCTTCTTGCATTCTGTCATCTTGGAAAGCTGAAATGAAGCAATAGCCTTAGCTTTTCTAGTCTTTGTACACAGATTATAAAAGACTGTAACTTCAGTAAAATATTTATAGTTTGGAAGGAAGTACAGTAGGTAGGTGCTGAAGGCTTGTACCTGTGCTTGGAAGACTGGACAGATGATGTGTGACAAGTGGTTCAGATTTTTCTGTGGATATTGCTTGGAGCTCAGTACTACAGCCTAGTGCTGCTACCAATTACTCAAATCAGGCTTGAACAGTGATCCTTAGATTTTATTTAATTTAAAAACAAAGAATGAGACCAATACTTTTTCAAATAGAGATATTCTGTTTCAATCTTGTTTCCAGAAGTTCTGAGAAAATATACTCTCTTGACAGTGTAGCAGTCTTAGCAAAGCTGGTACCGGGAGTTGGTAAAACCAGGAGGTTAAATTGTCTGTTATCTACAGCTGCACTTATTTTGAACATAGCAAGTTTTGCATACTTCCTTTCTGCATTAGAGATAAAAATGTTATGTCTTGTGTTTCAGGAGCATTCCCCATCCGTTAATCACTGTCCTTGAAAACAGATCTGACTGCTGGCCAATTCTACTACAGCAGATAACATTATTTTTCCATCAGTGTCCAGAGAGGTAAATGAATGAATAATTAAAAAGTAGCAAATGTAGATAACTGAATCATATAATTGTAACTGTTTTTTTGAAGGCAGCTGCAACGAGCTGTAAGAATTCTGTCTTTTGTGAAAGATAATTGTAAAATTTAATTACACCATTTCAATGTTTAAAATAATTGCATAAATAATTAATTACTAGCATAATCCATCAAAATCATTTTTATAGCTTTTTATTAACTGTAGATAAAGTTTTTATGGATATAGAATAATTGGTGCAAAACTGATAGCACCTTTGGAGTTACCTTTTTTAAAATAAGCAATTTTGCTTATTAGCTTTGTCAATTTTGACTGCTAAGTCAAAAAAAATTAATACAGTGCAGCTGTGACTCATCTATACAAAGTGATGGGATGATGACGGAAAAGTGCAGATGATTACGTCTCATGGTAAAAGAAGAGGTCTTGAAAAACAGTGTATGCTTCTTAATTAAAAAAAGTAGAAAAAATCACACCACAGTCTTATTATAAAACATCTGTAGCAATGAACAAATACCCAAATGCCAACTATTTCAACATTTCTTCGTGCTTAACTTGAAGGAACTTGCCCAATAGAGCTTCAGGATAAAATAACAAATGCTGTAGCAGCCTTAAAGCTAAATGTTTTCAGTGATTTTACACCTATATCTGTGCTTTTCAGATAAAAGTATCCCTCTTCTGTTTTCTGGAAGACTAATAACAGAGTAATAGTGCAGAGAGATTGGCTTCCGTATTCTGTTGCTATGAGTAAAGAAATAAATTTATTAATTTCTTAAATTTCTAGTGGGCCTAGACTACTTGATCAACAGTAAGACTTTCGAGCAAAAACTACACAGTCAATTTAATTGATCAGAGTATTTTTGAAACTGCACTTAGCACATTTGTTCTTTCACTCAGCTACTAAATGGATGGGACTCATGAAGAGTCTCATCAGATGTATGAATGATGGAATGAAGTGTGGATTTTTTTGCTAGTGGCTTCTTTTGAATTAAAAGGAGTTGTTTTTACTGAAAAGGAAAATATTTTAAATTTCCTTTGTTGCTCTTTGTTCAAGGTTTCTGTGGATAAAGTGTTAGACTGAGAATATATCATTTAGGTTGAGAAAGACCATTAAGAACATCAACTCCAACCATTAACCTAATGCTATCCAGCACACCACTAAACAGTGTCCCTAAGCATGACATAAACAAGCTCCACATATGTTGATGTAGACCAGTTACTGAGTTCTTCCTACAGCTTTGCATCAAGACTGAATGTTGTTTAAAACGGACTTTTGCTTCCTTGTTGATTTGCAGGAAGACTCTGCAGAGGGATCTGGACAGGCTGGATCCATGGGCCAAGACCAATTATATGAGGTTCAACAAGGCCGAGTGCCAGGTCTTGTCTTTGGATCACAACAACCCCAGGCAGAGCTACAGGCTGGGGGCAGAGTGGTTGGAAGGTTACCTAGAGGAAAAGGACCTTGGGGTCCTGGTTGACAGCGGCTGAGCATGAGCCAGCAGTGTGCCCAGGTGGCCAAGAAGGCCAATGGCATCCTGGCTTGTATCAGCAGTAGTTTGACCAGCAGGAGCAGGGAAGGGATCATTCCCCTGTACTTGGCACTGCTGAAATTGCATCTCAAATCCCTTGTTCAGTTTTTGGACCCTTTATCACTACAGGAAAGACATTAAAGCTCTGGATCGTGTCCATAGAAGGGCAGTGAAGCTGGTGAAGGGTCTTGAGTCCAAGTCCTGTGAGGAGTGACTGAGGGAGCTGGGATTGTTTAGCCTGGAGGAGACTGAGGGGGGACCTTTTCACACTCTACAACTGCCTGAAAGGAAATTGTAGCCAGGTAGGGGTCAGTCTCTTCTCCCAGGTAACAAGTAACAGGATGAGAGTAAACAGCCTCATGTTGTGCCAAGAGAGGTTTAGATTGGCTCTTAGGAAAAATTTCGTCAAGAATCATAACAGGCTGCCCAAGGAAGTAGTAGAGTCACTATCTCTGTAAGTATTCAAAAGGCATGTAGACATGACACTTGGGGGCATGGTTTAGTGGTGGGCTTGGGAGTGCTGTGTTAGTGGTTGGACTTGAGCCTAAATGATTCTTTGATTCTAGATTTGTTAATGTATTGACCATGAGCTTTATTTGATTGTTTTAAAAATTACAAGGACAGCTTGTATTCGTAATATTGTCAAGCCAAAAGATTTGTTCTGTGATAAAAAAATTACATGAAACAGGAACAACTGAGGTGGCTTCCCAGTAAAAAATTTAAGATCATTTTGCAAAAACTGATAAGTAATGGATGACATCTTTTTAATGAATATATGTTTTATGTGTTTTAAAAAGATACTTCTGAATAGTCTTGTCCAAATGCTACTTCAGAATGGCCCATTAGTCTGTCAAAACATACAGCAAGGAAAGACACTTTCTTGAATCTTGATGGAGGAAAAAATAAAATTTAGAGTGTGATAACCTGCAAATACCTGTTGAGTAGTAGTCATGCTTAAATATCAGGTCTTTTCAATATTGCACTTCATGGTATGGTTCCTGTATAAGGTCTTAAAACAATACTGTGTCCAAATAAGACCAAATTTTTTTGTGAGATTTAGTGATTCTGTTCTTAACACCTTTGTCTTAATTGCATCCTGTAAATTTTTGCAGGTAATGTCACATTGCTTGGGTTTTCCTTGTTGCTTGTTAAGCTTTCAGTAGAAAGCAGTAATGGCAAACTTATTCCTTGAACTGCAGGGCAGAGAGTTCATGTGTTGGCATAATGGCTCCATTTCTAAGATACCTGTATTGTGAACCATCTCAGTTACGGGAATATGCTGAACTGCGAACGGGTTTACTTAAGATCTTACTTCAGCCTCGTGGGCTAAAGCATGAAGACACACCTTCCATGCTGGAATGTGAGATTCTTCAGCTTCTGTGTGATTTGATTCCACACCTTCAGGTACAGTTGTTGCCTGACCCCGCCTTTTACAAATATATGATATCAGAGCAATGATAGTAACATTATTATCTTGCAAGTGTACAAATACAGCGTTCTCTTCCATTTTCTGTGGACCTGATTTGTTGATAGTACAAAAGGCTAACAAACTGTCTCTTTCTGGTAGAAGATAAAACTTTAATTGTTCAAATCTGATACATCTGATAGGATGGAAATTGAGAAACATGTTTACCATACTTATTTACAACTAATTTCCTCAGTAAACATATAGTAAACTTAGAAAGACAGTAATGAGAAAATGTTGTTAAATGGTAGGTTAATTGTCAGAAACATGCGATTTTTAACTTTAAATGGATAATATTAAAATGAAACAAACTGTATGACAAGTATGATTTAAGTACTTCTAGATATTCTTTTCTCTTTGTATTCTTTTCTCTTTGTGAGAGAGGGATTACTGGATCTGACAAAATTTAATCTTTTTGGAATATGCTGAAGCTTATGAATGTGTTTTTAAGTTGCGCAGCAGTACATGCTAGGAGCTAGGAATTTTAATCTTTATGTCCACTTTGGTTATGGACCTAGGATGTCGGTTAAGCTTAATAGCTCAGCTTTGCCTCATGCTTTAATGTGACATCAATTATGCTTTTTTGTACCTATGTACCTTTTCCTTCCTCTTATGATATTAGGACGACATCTTTAGTTTCAGATGTATTCAGTCAAACATGAGGTGCTATGGCCTTATTGGCATGGAGAGAGGGTTTGTTAATATAAGTAAGGTAAAGATAAGTTGGCTTGTTTCGAGGATATTTGGTATCATCTTTCTTGCGAGGCATTTTACTAGTAAAGTCTTCTTTGTACTCATAGCTACTTTTCTCAGTCCTTTGGTAAAACTATAACTTGTGTCATACATGTTTGTCTTGGCTCAGGTCAATTCTTTGTGATGACAGGTACATGCTGACCTTTTCTAATCATAGAGACATTTCTGATTTTGTCTTGATTCTACCTGAGCTTCAGTATAACATTGTGTCTTGAATGTATGACCTAGCTTCAGACTTGGTAACATTTAACCATAAAATGGCATTGAAGAAGACTTATAAAAAATCAGTTATGAGCCTTTCTTTCCTCCATGCACATTGGCACTTTTTTTTTAAAATTAGAAATCAGTTGCATATTTTTCAACTCGTATTAAGCTTGAACACTTTTTGTCTTGCCTGAGATACAACTTTCACAACAGAAAGGAAAGTATTCCTTCAAGAAGCCTGTTTGATGGACTGTTTTATAATCTGTCAGTTCCTTCCCCTTCTTTCTCTGAACTTCAGGTTCTTCTTCTCTTTCCTTTTAGCTTAGCCTAATTTAATCCTTTATGTGTAGCATAAATGTTGAAACACTTTGTCATTTTGTCTGACAGTATAAACCAAGCTGTCAGAAGTACATCTCTTCACCTGCAGACTTTTCAGATTATAAATTCAGTGGCCATGAGGCTTAAGATTAGAACAGATTATTTATAGAACAAAAAGGGAATAAAAATCAAGATGTTATGCTTAATGCTGGCTCCAGAGTTTGGGTTGGAACAGTTTGTCTGGAACTAGAATTTTCAAGAACTGTCGTCTAACACATGGGGACTTAGAGGCAACCTGCTTCTTGAAACATCTTTAGTTGGCTTTCAAGTATGGAGATACTTAATGCTTTGGGTATTGCACTTCAGCTTTTAATTTTTGTAGTAAGTAGCTTGCATGGTGCTTTATAAGCAGGTAAAACCTGCCTTTCTCTTTTGAAACATGTCTTAAAATCTTGGTTACATTATAGAGGAAATATGCTAGAGCCAGATGTTTCTGTTATATTTATTATATTATTATTCTGTTATAAGAATATTTACCTGCTCTATGAAATCGTCAGACACTTTATTTTTTTATGTTGTTGCAAGAATCTTGAGGACTGAATGAATTGCTATTGGTTTTGAGTAAAAAGGGATTTTTCTCATCAGCTACCATGAAATCTTTGTATTCTTTCACGTTTCTCATTTTACTTAAAAATATTAAATAGCAGTACATAAATTTTATTTTTTTTAGGGAATTGGATGAGGGATTCCATAGTTTAGTCCATAAATGAGTTTCTGTGAAGATTTTGTACTATTTGCAATGGAAACATAGCAGAGCTAAAAGAATTAATTCTAAATTCTGTGTATATATGGAAGGGGAACTAAATCATCATGTGTTTTGACTTTGTTTTGTTTTAACCACCTCTCTACAGCTTAAAGACTTACTGCAAGTTACAGAAGCCTTGTTTTATCTGCAAGAGCTATTCCTCAGCCTACTACGCTATCCTGTGTTTTGGAAAGTTCAGTTATCTGAGTTTTGTGTGCAATTGTTATGCTTCTGTGAAGTGTGTTTAGATGTGACCGGAGAATGCTCATCTTTGGTCTCCTTAATAGAGGACAACTTTGAGCTCTTAAAAGAGGTAAGAGTATATGGGGAAAAAAATAAAATAGTTTTATTAAATCTGAAGAATCTCATATTTAAGACAGTACAGACATTCATACGTGGCATTCATCTGCAGGCAATCAGTGTTGTTTCAAAAGCTTCTAATTTTACTTCTTGATTGAAGATCTTCAGAAGGTGAAAACTCAATTGATTCTGTATATATCAGTTAATCTTTTAGTTTAGGAATTGGTTTAAACTGAGCTAAAATGGTTTGAACAAAGTAACAAATTAAAATGTTGTAATTATTTAGTTAAAATACTGTTTTTGTACTGTTCATATTCTTCATTGATTGCTCTGTCACTGCATGTGCACTCAGTGGAATTCATGAAGATACTCCTTTCACTGTTCTGATAGTTGCCTATTTGCACTGTTTAATGACACTGAAACAGTGCCTTTTTTTTTCCTCATAGGTATTTCCAGTCAACCAGTGTATAATTGGGCTAGCGCTTCTACTGCTGCAAACACCAGAAAGTCAGCAAAAGCCTGTCTTGAGTCTAGGTAATGCTCTTCTTGTGAAATAGGAATCCACACTCTTAAAACTGTGTCTTTCCTTCTTCATGTTTATGAAAATAAACACTGCATTCTCCTGGAGTTGGACTGGATGGTGAAATGTTTTTTTTCTTAATAAATAGAATTTTTCCTGAATTTAAAAAGTAATGACATAAAGATAATTCTTCCTGCAACAGTGACTTTTCCCATGGATATGACTGTTTTTTAAGGTCCTCCTTGTCTTGGAGCTTATATGTTTAATTTTTGAATCAACAACAGGATATTCTCAGCTGAGGTTCATGCATCCTGAATGGTTTCTTTTGACAGGTATTGAGAGCAGGCCTCACAGTCATGGCAATGTTTGGCTGTGCTTTTGACTTAGCAGTTTTGATTAATGCAGTTATTCCAATAAAAGCAAAGGTCTGCTACATTCTATTTCTTGCTGCCATCAGGTACTTTGCTATAAACAACAGAAGTGTATGGGCCTCTTAATAAAATTGGAGTTTCACCAAAAAATCTTTTGCCCTTCAACTCTAGTATACACATACTGTAAATCTGGGACTGTTACTTTGCTTGACTGGAGTGTTTCCTAAAGATGTCTGTATCATGTCTAAAAGTACAAATTATGTTAATTCTTTTTTTCCTACTTGACTTTTTTTTCCCTTGACCTTGTCTTCAATAGCCTACAAGCTCCTTTCATGTTCAGAAACCAAGAATATCTCAACCACAGCCCTGACTTTGGTGATGCCCGTGCTACAGATCTTATCTTCTACAACAGTTGGAGACTGCCTTTTAGGGGATGATTCTGGAACTACCAGGCAGCAGCTGGCTGTAAATCTTTTGGGAATATTACAGGAGGAAGGTCTGAAGGATAAACAGGAAATGGTAAAGTGATAAGGGGTTTTTTTTCTTCTTTTGGGGCAGGTAGGGGAGACATTTAACAATTTTGCTGCATTATCCTTTAGCTTGGAAAGAGACTGCGTGTGTGAGCTTCTTTGGGTAATACATTCTATGGAAACACTTGGAAGTATGTATAGTCCATAAAACTAGACTATGAGGGAAGTGGAAGTGTGTTTGTAAGCTAAATATTGTTTTACTTAGCAAATAGGATTTTTTTACTTTAAGAGACTGTATAGATTGAAGAATTCACCTACCTTATAAAGCAAGTAACAGGACTTACAGAAAACAGGATTATGTGTATTTACTTTGTTTCTCTCAGACTTGCTTATTTTCCTTGTCTCTGTCCTTTTCCTTAGTGCTGTATGCGACTGTTAACTACCATTCTTTCTCCTTTGGCTGAAGAGAGTTACAGAGTATCTAAGTGTCATTTAGCATATTTTAGCTCATTAACCTTATTCATTCTATGCTGTTGGTTTTTTTGTTTTGTTTTCTTTTTGGTGTGTTTTTGGGTTATTGGTTGTTTTTTTTTTTGGTTGGAGTTTTGGGGTTTTTTTGTTAATTACTTGTGTCCCACTTCTCTGCCATCCACCACAACAAGTCTCTTTGATCAAGATATGCTTAGAAGTGGGGAAACTAAACTCCCTTTCTGCTTTACACTCCTGTTATTTTGCGTAAGGAGAGCGGTGATATGACCAGTTGGAGACAGAAACAGAATGCCGGTTCTGAGTTCTGCCATGTCTCCTTGTCCTGGAATACCTCACCAACTTCATCTTCTATTTCCAAAATTTGAAAAGGCAAGCCCATTCGTACTCCTAATGAAAAATAACTGTTTTAAAGTTCACTAAAGCTTACACTTCTTATTCTGCTCTGAAAGAATAGGTATGGGATGACTTTAAGTAGAACTCACTTCTTTTAATGGGACTTACTGGGTGACAACCTGTACAGATGCCACTGGAGACTTTTTTCAGTGAGGGATTTTTGAAGCACTTCGATCCTCTATGCCCTGTGTCACTGGCCCACTTGTTTTGTTTTCTGTTGTGTTTTAGAAGCTATTTTAATATCTTACATGACTACTGGGTTACTGTAGGACAAGATTACAGTACATTGTATTACACTGGCTTTCTGTAACAGAACTTTGTACTAATTCTGGTATTCTCTTTCTTCAGAAAAGCATGTGAAAGCTTTTATGTTAAGGGTTTAAATCGCTTTTGATGACTAACTTTTTCTGTTAGCTGTGTTAAACTGAAAACACTTGTCTTTGGTGGGAATTCTCAAACAGTCTCTTCACTTCTGTCTCACTGATCCTTGCAGAGTTCATAGCAGGTAGCATGGCAGATCTTTGGTAATACATGGTTAGCAATTAGAATGGGGAGACAGACACTTACTTTGCCTTGTCATTGTCTGTAATAAGTATGCCCATGACGTTTGGTTCTCAACTAAAAGATTAAAAAATATAGACTTTCTTTTCAATGTTCCCATGAGTTCAGTCAATTTTTATTGTAGGATCAGATCAATGCTAAGAGAATAAAATCTTGATTGTATTATTCTTAGACCTTCCTCGCACTGGAAATGGGCACAAAAAGAGGTAGGAAAAACCAAATGTTATGTCCACAGTGAACAAGCTTTGAATAAAAGTATTTAAGAGCAAACATGATTAAGTTATGGTATATTTTCATAGAATCACAGAACAGCCCAGGCTGGAAGATCATCTGACCCAGCCTTTCATAGGACGGGAGCCTAGATGAGATTATCTAGTACCCTGTCCAATCACATCTTTAAAACCTCCAGTGATGGGGACTCCACCATGTCCCTGGAGAGGTTGTTCCAGTGAATGATTGTTTTCACTGTAAAAAATGTCTTTCTTGTAATGTAAAGCTATTCCTACCCCTCTCCCAGGCAACTTGTGTCTGTTGCCCTTTGCCCTGTCATGTGATTCTTCATGAAGAGAGAGCTTCTGTCCTCTTAATAACTGCCCTTCACGTACTGGAAAGCAGTGGTGCATCCCCCTTAGCCTTCACTTCTGCGGTGTGAAAAGACCTAACTCATGGCACTCCTTTAGACGTTCTCCAGTCTGTCTGCATCTGTTTTGGAACTGTGGGGACCAGAACTGGACACACTACTCCATGTGCAGTCTGACAGGTGCTGATAAAGTAGGATGATCACATCTCTGTCTGCTGGACATGGATGCAACTCAAGATCCTGTTTGCCTTCTTAGCTGCAGCGATGTACTGCTGGCCCATGTTCAGTGTGTTGTCCATTGGGACACCTGTGTCTTCCCTGTGTTTCTGCTTAACTGCTCGTGTATCTGAATAACCCTTTCTTCTTCTTGACATTTCTGGCCAATTTCAGTTCTAGCTGAGCTCTGACTTTTGTATCTGCATGCCCTAGAATCCTGGAAAGGATCTCATAGTCCTCAATGGGTATTTGGCCACTTTTGTGTAGAGGGCATGCTGCTTCTTTGCTTTTAACTGCACACGCAAGTTACGTGTTCTTTAATGGTTTTTGGTTTTGGTGTTTTTTGGTTTGTTTTTTGCATTGATGGTAGAGAATTGTTCTACCTGTAGTCCCATGATTTTGAAAGTTAGAATGAGGCTAACCTTCACTTATGTTTTGCCATTGAGGGATTTATATATATGTATATCTTTGTGTTGACGGACTGAAATTTTCTACCTAACCCACTTGAATGGAATGCAGTATTAAAGTAAAATTATAATCATAGCCTGTTTTTATGCAAATGAAATAAAGGGAGAAGGGAGTGAGTACTGTTATGTTGAAGCAAAACCTTTGGGGATGGAATAGGGAATGGGAAATACCAATATAATATTTCAGGCTCTACCAATTTTAGCAGGTTTTTTGAGGCATTTAAAATAACAACAACAACAACGAAAACAAACAAACCCAAAACAACAACAAAACTCCTTTAATAGTCTGATCTTGATTTCAGGACCTATTATCTTCTAGAGGCAGGTAACTAAACAGTACATGTTACGGATTCTGAAGCTCTTCTTAGGGCACTGTATGTCCTTGGATAAAGTTTAATTACCTTTTTCAATAAATGGCAATTTCACATCTGTATTCAGAAGAGGTTTTTGGCTCCAAGTGATCTTGCCAGCCAGAAGAGAGAGCATTATAGACTGCTGAATTTTTAACATACACTATAGTAAAGTGTAAATAATGGAATAAGCTAATTTTAGTGTTATTTTTAAAAGGTAATCTAAAATACAGTGGCATTCTACCTTCTATTAGGCAAAATAAGTTTACATTACAGTGTGATTAAAATGAAATTCTGCATTTAGAACAGCTTTTGCCACTCAAAATCTCTTTTCTCTGCCCTTTAGAATCTGAATTCCGTTTTTGATGTTTATTTGGAGACCTCTTTTCAAGTACTTTCTTGACCTGATCTTTATATAAATGTTCTTCACCTAATCACTGCCCGCTAACTACTGTCTTGATAGTGGAGAGGTATTTCTGAAAACATTGTACTTTCTAAGGAAGCAGAGAATTAATAGTAAAGAAATGGCTTGTCTTGGATTAAACTTTTCTCTTTTAATGAATCACTTTAAACTTTATTTGCAGGAACTTTAGAATGTATATATTCTTACATATATGAAAATCCAACTTAAGAGGATTCCTCATTTTTATTTTACTACTGTCCTGCTGCTAAATGTTATCTTCTGTGACTGCAACTGTAGCTCATTTTGTTCTGAGAAACAAATTCGTTAAACAGAAAATGTAAAAACAGATTAACCTAAACTGTGATATTAAGTACTATTAAAAGTTAAGACAGTTTTCTAAAAATAATGTAGATGATAGTTAAACTTATGATTCTCCTGTCATTGTCAGGAACTTAAGCTTTTAATATACTCTAGTTTTATTATGTCAGTTTTAGTGAGGAAGTAGCACTCCAGTCACCAACAGGAACAGGAGTGATGGATGTCAGATAAAGTGGGAACTCCTGAGTATGAAATTATCAGCCCATTTGTAATTGTTTTGAGTCTTAGGCCTTCCTTCCTGATAACCAAGGACGTATTCCACCCTATCCCTTTATGTAAACAGAGGTATAAATATGAGGGGAGGAGATACTGAGATCCTCTTCCCTTCCGGTGAGCTTGGGAGACAGCAGGTCCCTGTGATTGGTCTTGCTCATCTGGGAGTTGAAGCCTGCTTAAGCTTGTTGTTTGCCAAGCAGAAGGTGGAGGGTGCTGGTGGTGTCTGGCGTGATCCTGCTTTTTTTCAAGGGAAGTGTTGAGATTTCATTTTACTAGTTCTTTATTTTGCTCCAGGTTTTCGTTTGTGCATATCTGTTTTGGTTTTGTCCCTTTTTGTTCCTTTTCCCTCTTTCCCTTCCCCTTTCCCTTTTTTTGGGGTTGTACATAGTATTCTCACTGTATATAACTGTGATATAGGTAAAAAAATATATATATTTTGGTATAATTCACTTGGTTTTGGTTTCTTTCAGTTTCTATAGCTTTTTTCCTTTGCCCAAAGGGGGAGGGAGGGAAAAGGCTTTCACTGGGTCTCGGAGACTTGGTGGGAAGTCAGCTCAAAACTTACACACCGTTGAAACATCCATAGTGCAATAATTCTTAGAAAGGATTTCAAAGAAATATATTGCAGTTTGTTATTTGCATTTATTGCATTGGGACCATAAAAAATGTTTTGGATGACAACTTGGATGTTATTTTTGTTTTTTTGTGGTACCTTATTTGTTTGATTGAGACTTTTATTTGCTTCACTTGTTCTCAGGTGTCCTGCAAACTCCTTTTTCCTATAACCAGCTCTTACAGTTCATTGTACACAACCTGGAAGATCATAGAGCTCCTGAAAGAGAAGTCCGCAGTTACTAAATGGTTATCTTCAGTGAAATCACTGCTATCTGTTAGCACTCCAGTCCCTGCCCATGTTTTTCTTTTGTTGGCTTATCTACTGATCCAAGAAAATGGAGACACTCTTCGTGTTGTGCTTCAGACTACTACAGAAATAGCCAAGGTTGATTGTTCTCAGGTAAAGACTTACTGTTAGTGCAATTTTTTTCAGGAATTGGACGGCATTTAGCAGCCCAAGAAGGGCAAGGCTGCCACAGCTTCATGACCTAGGTCCAACAAGTGACAAGGATATACCTTCATTCCTGGTGGGTACAGTAAGGATCCCTCCAGCAGTGGTGCATGGTCAGTATGTAGAGTAGCCTCTGGATCCAAGTCTCACCAGTTTCAGACATCTGGACATAAGAGCTTTTAAGGCGGCAGCTGGGCTGCCGTTCCTGATGCAGACTGACCCTCATCCTGCACAGAGGTGCACACACATGTGCCCTCAGCTGTCTGGAATTCACTTTTTGTGTGTCAGTTACAACAAAATATGTATTATGTCTGTGTTTTGGAGTATTTTTTAGTTATTTAGGCTTAGGAAAAAGACTGGCGTATTTGTTGATATTTTCTAGTAAGTATGAAAATACAACATGAGGAAGCTGAAAAGAGACTACCAAACCATTTCCGAATTCTGGTGACCTCATGAATTATTCTGTGTTCTTTTGTGGTTACTGGAAGACTGCCAAGTCCCTTGTGACATCTTTATTCTTGCTTCTTAAAAATATGTGCCTAGTGTCTCTCTGCCTCAGTACTGAATTCAAGCCAGAATTATGCAGGATGCTTAAACTTTTCTGCATAACCTGGAAAGATAAAGGGGGTTATCTGGAAACAGCGATGTAATGCAGGAGGCATTATACAGAAACAATCATATCTTATTTGTAAAATAGAGAAGAGAGAAGTATCGATTCAAATTTAATTTATACCATAAAGACAGGCTCCATTTGCTTTCTTTTCAAAGAGTTGACATGCTCTGCAGCACAAGACTTAAAAAAAAATTACAATATTGACTACTATTTAAGAACAAATTGGAAAGCTGGTAGCATAAAAATAAGCAACCTCAGTGTGTTTAATAAGCAGGCATATTGGGAGTAGAATACTTTTGCTGGAAAACGACACTTTTTATTTCTTACATGCCATTTAGAGCTCTGGCTAAGCGGAAGGGTGTGGAGCTAATCAATGACAAAGGGAAGAATGTAAAACTTAAAAGTAATGAAAAATGTGATGTGACCGTGCAATGTGATCCTAAGCCAGCAGTCAAAAATTAGTCTTTCGGTTGTATTATTTCTTGTAACTCCAAGGAACAGGGAAAACACACAACTTAAGGTAGCTTAAAAATGCTTTGTTGACCTACCTTTTTTTTTTTTTGCAAAGTAGTTATTAAAACTTCATTTCCTCACTTTAAGTTGGAAGCACCTAGTTGTGTTCGAATGGCAGGAGTAAGCAAAATGAACTGCACTTGTGTGTAAAAGCAAAGCTGAGCTGATGTGGAACCACCTGGGTAGTTTCTTCTTGAAAGTATTTCTGTGACTCAACATTCAAAACTAATATGAGTAGTACACCCCAACTATGAGGAGTTTGACAGGTCCAGAGTTACAGGTCTTTGTAAATTAACTAACTATTCTCTAGGGAAAGAGTAGATAAGACATACATCTGCCCTATTGTGGGAAAATGTCCTTCAGTTCTGATCCTAACTGCAGCAAGTAAGGCAGTTTTCTTGTGAGTAGCTAGCTATGTAAAAATTACAAAGTTAACTCCAGGCTTTTTGGAGTGGATTTCCTGTTTTTGTCTGTGGACTCTCTAACTAGTTTTGTTACACTAGGACTTTGACTTGTATGATAAATCAGTGACATATTACAGAAAGAGAAAAGGAATAATGCTTTGTTGATTAACTGTTTGATATAGTTGTTCAAAATGCAATTTGTCAGTCATTCAAAGAAAGTGGTAACTTGCTGAAAAAAAATTACTGAAGCAATATGGCACCTTAGTAGAATGGGCTGAAGTCTGACTGTAGGGAGTGACTGTTGTGAATTTATTAGAGGAATCTGGAATATTTAAATGAACAGTTTTAGAGACAAATCAAAGTGCAAGTTAGGCAGAATTACAGAAGCTTTAGACAGATCCAGGGACAATAAATTTAACCTGAAGCTGTGTTTAACATTTATGTGAATGGGTTTTTCTACTTTATTTAAGCCAAAGCTTTTGTTCACCAGTGCAGTAAAAAAGATTGGTGGACACATACCATTGAGGGGTCTTCAGAACCGCTTCAGAACTAAGAAGCCCTTCAAGCTCATGAAAAAGTCCTCCCTCGCGCTGGTAAGAATGGTTCATGTCCAGAGGCAATGAGAAGATGAAGTTCAGACTTCGTCATATTTTTTGTTTCTTAGTGATCAGCAGAAGTCTGCATGAATTAGAAACCATTGTTTAAAATGCAGAACTCTAACCCTGATTTGTCGATACTGTCTTACTGGCTCACATTTTCTTTGCTAACAGGGTGTGGAAGTGGAGAGCTTTTAGATTTTTTTATTTTTGTGGGCTTTAAAACATTTTTTTGCGAAATATGTAAGGTATTCAGGTCTCTTTTTCATAATATCACATAAAGCAATCAGTATAATTAGTGATACAGCAGATGTTCTGCTGAGTAATACTGGAAAATTTTGTGTGGGAAGAGTAATGCACTTAATTAGGATGATGTTTCCCTTCTCAGTCCTTGGTTAAGTGCAACCAAGGACACCTGAATATTCTCCAGTTAGCAATATCTACCTCATTTCTGTCTTTTAAATTATGTCTTTTATTGCAAAATATTTTAATGCTTTAAAACTTGAACTTACTGTCTGTCTCATTTGAACTGGGCATCACCTGGCATCTGTCTTGACTCTGACAAGTTTTTTTAGTTCTGAGCCTGCTTAATTGCTCCACAGAGATTATTACAGTGTGGCATTGTGCTGGAAGTTTATTACATTGTTTCTTGTACATGCAGTGCTCTCTCTCTTAGACGGGAAGAATTACCATGGACTTGTGATGTCTTTCTCTTGCAATAACAGTATAAGGGGAGAAAGCACTGAAGCTCCTGGGTGGGAGAAATAAGTGATTAATAAACTCCGTGGGCAATGTACAGGCAACTATCGCTAACATATTGATGGCAGAGTTATACTTTGGGAATTGCTTTATTTGGTTCTTTTTTTATTCAGTTCTACTTAAATAAATGGTGCTTTATAAAAGATGATGAAAGTAAGTGGTTGGAATGTCCTTTAAGGTAAGAAAGTGGAAAGCTCCTCACAGCAAACTTGTTAGATATTTTGAATCTTCAATTTCTTAGAACACTTTCTGAAGTATGCAGTGGACGGTGTGAGCAGCATAGTAGTTAGAAGGCTGTTCTGAAGAAGAGAAGAAGAAAATCAGAAGATGGGTATGGGAAGAAGAGAACAAAAAGTGGCTGTTAAACCCAACCTTATTTTTCAACAGTCATATCTGTATTAACTTGAATCTGTTCTTTGGTGTTAACAGCATTTAGACACTCTTAAAGCCAGATGTTTGTAGCAGATGTAGCGGGTATATTCTGAATTCTTTTAAACTTTGAATCATGTCCAAATCAAAGTAACCTTGGGCTAGAAGGCGTCAGCACTTAGTGTTGCAGAAGTTAAATGTCCACAGGGCAAAATTAAGAAGTGTCCACTTTGCAGCCAAACTTTGAACTACCTGTACTACGGAGGAATAGATAGAAGTGCTGACATGTCATAGTGAAGGTCATAGTATGAAAAGAATTGTATGGTGGGGTTTTTTGTATGTTTTTTTAAGTGATTTAGATATTCACTAATTCTGCTGCTAGTGAAATTCTGTTACTTTCTGAATCACAAAGTGACACAGTGGTTGTAGCTGTGAATATTGAATTGAAAAGCCACAAGTGAATGCCATGCAAAATCTGAGTTGAAGAATTGTGTTTCAAAACAAAACAGGGTCAGAAAGAGAGAACATGCATCGAGAGTGCTATCCTCGTTATTTTCATGTTTAGTACAGCTCTTTGCAGAGTTCCCTAACAGTAGCTCCCATTTTCTCAGTGAATGTTGGTTTTATAATGAATCTCTTGTCTCTGAAGTAAATTAATGAAGCATTTAAAAAACATTGCTAGATTTAAAAATTACTGCCATAATTGATTTTGCAGACATTGTTCTGGTTATGATTTGTTTTCTTTTTTTCTTTACCCTTTCCATTAAGAAAGGCTGTAGAGGGGCTTCTCTGCATGTATCTCCTCCTTCTCCACTGAGTGAAAGTGTTTTTATGGTGCAAGATAAGTGATTATTTTGGATCTGTTTTTAGTGGAGGCATTTTGGAGTAGTGGTCTGAAACACTGTGGAAGAAAGTCCAGAAATATTTGTTAAAGGCTGAGGATGAAGAGTAGAACATGGGCTCTTAGGCTATATTAAGTCAAATCACTCCGGAGACTGCTGTGACATGTGCTGTTAATGATAGACTTGATACAGTCTTTATAATTGGATGAATTTTCTTGTGCAGAAATTGTTATTTCACTCTGTGAAACCACTGCTGTGCTGCAAGGGGAAGAAATTAAATTATCTGACTAAGAGGTCACTGGTGAATAGTAGCATAAGATCTCTTATGGTTATTTGAGGGTTATGAGTCTGTAGAAGACATGCATTCTTTTATGGTCTTTCAATTGCTAGAATGAACTATTTTAGTGGTAAATGACATCTTGGAAAATCCATCTGAATGTGCATTATTTTGTGTTATTTGGGGTCTGGGAGTGCATTAAAAACAAAAAGGTAAAACACGTTTTTATTTGGGTAGAAAACATGTTTAAGGATGCATTGAACTGGATTTGGCTTGCTCAGGTGGTACGTGATGCTATTTTGTTTGTTTGTTTGATTATGTAAACTTCAGAGAGCTGTAGGGAAGCAATCATATCATACTCAGGTCTTGTGGACAGACTCTTCATGATTGAAAATTATTGGTTAGGATCCTTCTAGAATACATGAAACTTTTGAAAACCTAGCTTGTGTATTCTAAGAAGTGCTTCTGATTTTCAAGAGAAATTTATTTTATAGCTTTTATAAACAGAAACTTAGCTGCATTTGTGTACTTATCTGAAAAACCGATCCTTTCATTTGTCTGAATTGTCCAGTACTTTTGTCTTGCTTACTGGAGCCAGGAATGCCAGAATACTGAACACTTTCAAACACCTTCTCATTTCACTGCCTTGTCTACTGGACAACCTTCTTCCAAAATTCAGCCCAGAATTGATACCTGTTATCCTTTCTTAGCTTGTGCTTTTGAAGAAGAACAATTGTCCTGTAGCTTAGAAAAAAAAAAATCAGACCACCAAATCACAGAGAATGCTTCTCAGGCTTATTTCTTGCATAATATCACTTTGTCTTGCATGTTTAATTTTATTTTAAAAGGGAGAGTTGTTGAGAAACTTCAGCATCATTTTTGAGATGCAAATTAGTTTTAAAACCAAAAAACGTAACGTTGAAAACCCTTCTTCAGGTTGCTAATGACAGACTTGACCTAACTGCCACATCCTCTGGTAGTGTGGGGAATGCAGAAGGCAGTGTTGACAGGCAGTGTGCCTCCCACTCCTGCCTGCTGGGAGCTAATGAATTGTCAAATCAGCTTCATGGAGCTGTTACACCCCTGATGAAGATTTAGTATAAATATAATATTGAAATTAATTCCAACATTGTTTATCCATTCCATGAGGGAGATGGAGAGGAGCAGCTTTGCTGTACCAGAACATTTTGGGATTTTTCTTGATATTACAATTGAAATATACAGTTCAAAACAAGTAGACTTTAAATGACAATACCTTGTAACTGGCCTCACAGTAGCAAGGGCTTAGACTTCTCCTGGGAATTTTGTATATCAAACTTAGTATCTGTTTAGTGGATGTTAGTATAGAGATCATTGTAGAACTTTCATTTAATGTCTCTTTACTGTAGAATAAACTTCATAACAAAATTAATGTGGACACAGGACTTAAAATGCGCTTCCCATCACAGCTGATGAAGGCTGGGCTTAAGTAGGCTGTCTTTAAGCAGGTTTGATTTCTTTTATAAATAAGGACTATGAATATGATTTAGTTATAATTTATGTTGAATGTCATTTGGTCTGATTGCCATATGTGTCATCCAATGTAGCTACAATGTAGAAGAATGCAGGAAGTAGCCTGTTTACTAGAGAACTAGCGTAAGATGAAATAGAGTTGCCCAAGACTGCCTCTGGCAAAAGGAAGAAGTACTGTGGGAAATCATGAGTAGATTTAATTTAAGATTAGATTTAATCACATAGTGGTAAGAAGGTACACAAGCAAAAACTGTAGGACCTGCTGGTATGTTCTGACAAGTTCACTGTCTTATGTAAGGTGTCATGTTGACAAATTCCAATTTATGTCCTGTGTTTGTTTTATTTTAGGTTCCAAATCTTATCCCAGTTCTGGTATTTAAATTGGGAAGACCTTTGGAGCCTGCACTTTACAGGGATATATTGTATACATTGCCTACACTTGGTGTACACAAGGTCAGAATGAAAAATTTTTAGTAAAACGAAAACTGTATCAATGAAAGGTCATTTATTTATTAAAAAAAAAATTAGACTAAGCAATACATGGCTTGCTTAACTGATTTTTAAGCTTCACCGTAACTTTGTAGTACTTTGGAAGGGTTATGATATTTGTTTTAGAGTGAAATGTACATTATGCTTTACTGTCTATACTGTATCATCATTATATATGTCATGAGAAGATAGATGCCCTTGGATTCATTATGTTCTAAAGTTTTTTGGAAAACAACTTCCAGTTTATTTCTGACATTGCAGTTGGACAATTACCTCCTTGTTGTACTTGGTTGTAAAATAATTATTTGTAGATTAGACTTTGTCCTTGGGTATATAAAATAACAGTGACACTTGGTTAAAAAATTTCTTTCAGGTTTGTGTAGCTCAGATTCTACGTGCCATACACATGCTGGGGAGCGCACCAAAGCTCAGAGCAATTGCTTCACGGCTGATGACGTCACTGTGGGAAAGACAGGTTAGAAAATTCTTGTAGTTATTCACTATTACATAGTGAATATAGTTATTTTACTTATTCAATATAATAAGTCCGGTTGAAAAACTTCATTACCTCTAAACAAGGAAGGAAATTAATTTTGGATCATTGCTTATACTAGTATGTCATTATCAGGACTATAAAGTAAATGGTGTAAGTGGTGCCTATACTGATTCTGTTCTAGTGAAAAATTTCGTAGTATGTCTTTCATGAAACTTTCATTTCATGAGGTCTCAGGCTGGAGTTAGAAAGAAATTTTTTTTGAAGGGTGGCTTTCTGCTTTTTATAATATTCAGTAAGAACAAGACTTTAGTATTGTGGCTTAACCCCAGCCAGCAGCCAAGTACCACACAGTCGCTCACTCACTCCCCCATCAGCGGGACTGGGGAGAGAATCAGAAGGGTAAGAGCCAGAAAACTCATGGGTTAAGATAAAGACAGTTTAATAGGGAAAGCAAAAGCCATGCACACAAGCAAAGTGAAACAAGTTAATTCACTGCTTCCCATGGGTGGGCAGGTGTTCAGCCATTTCCAGGAGAGCAGTGCCCCATCACATATAACTCTGACTTGGGAAGACAAACGCCATCACTCCAAACACTTCCTCACTTCCTTCTTCTTCCCCTCACTTTATAAACTGAGCATGATTTCATATGGTCTGGAATATCCTTCTGGTCGGTTGGGGTCACCTATCCCGGCTCTGTCTCCTCCCAGTTTCCCATGCACCCCCAACTTCCTTGCCAGCATGGCAGTACAAAAAGCAGAAAAGACCCTGGCTCTGTGTAAGCCCTGCTCAACGATAACTAAAACATCTTTATATTATCAACCCTGTGTTTGGCACAAATCCAAAACACAGCCCCATAGGAGCCACAATGAAGAAAATTAACTCTACCCCAGCCAAAACCAGCGCAAGTTATATAACAATAATTTCCTTCTCAGTTTTTTTTTTAAATAGCAATATAGATTTGGTCTGCAAAAACCAGGTAGAGCTCATTGTAGCATTAGATTCCAATAATGAAGAAAAGCAAAATATGTTATACAATAAAAGTGGTATTTATAAGTCGTGTAGAAGTGTTGCCAATTGAAAATCGTTTTGAAGGTATGATGATAATAATTTTTAGATTGAATCTTTTCTAGGACCGAATTTACCCAGAGTTGCAGAAGTTCTTGGCGACGTCTGACATGCCATCTGTGTCTGTTGACAAAGATGCTCAGTGGGAAAAGCTGATTGCTAAAGCCGCTTGTATAAGAGATATATGTAGGCAGAGGTAAGTGCAAGTGTTACCCATCATATGTCTTTGTAAGGGAAAGCAATTTTTTGTCAGAAAAGCTGCATAATAATTTTTACCTACATTTGTGACATTTGTAATATTTTCCTAGTTGAGACACAGACTCAGCCACTCTTAATCTGAGCAGCTAGTAAGTTTGGAGTTTTCTGTTATGACTAATAGAAAGCACATATACATGCTGTGAAAATTAAATGTTCTTCATCCTGAAACAAAACGTATCCTGTACTGATCCAGGGTAGAAACTTTAGGCATAACACTTCCAAATTAGAAAAAAGGGAAAGATAAAACAATGGAAGAAACAACTAATGGTGTATTTTTTGATCTATTCAGAGAAACGTTGGGTGTTTTTTTGAAAAGCACATTTTGTAACATGTGCACATTTCTGGTCTTTATTCAGATATGGTACCACAGAACACCATTGTGCAAGTCTAACAGGATGATATATTGAACCTTTCCAGCTCTAACAATCCATGAATATCAGTACTTGATAATAATTTGCAGTTTCTGTAAAGATTTTTTTAAAATGCATTAGTATTTACTTTCTGGTTTTATGTGCACAATATCATCTTTTCCCTTTGTCATCTATCTTGGGTTCCAGTTTTCACTTTCCTTCTTGAAGGTCAGTTACTAACAGCTGAGAAGATTCGTGTATCTTTTAATCATCAACTGAAAAGCAAACTATTAAAGACAATACCCTTTCCTTTACCTCTTCAACCCTCTTCAATTTTGCCAAACAGCATCTTTCAAGAAATTTTTAAAGGCTGAAAAGCATGAGAGAAATCTCAATGCATTTGTAATATTCTTTTTGCCTGGTAAGTGGTATAGTTAAGAGTTCAGATGTGTGCACATTCTTTGTGCATTTAGAAATTGTTTGGAAGAAAATGAGAGCAAATGGAATAAGTCAGAATGTTCTATGCATATGAATCACCTAGCCAGGTGCTATTGACTGCAAACTCTTACAGAAATAGTATGAGGCACTGCTGAATCAGCACTTGACACTTCCGCCGTCACAACCCAAAAAGCTGAATGGATAATAAAAGACTGAAAGGCTAACAAGCAGCCCCATGCAGGCAATTGAAGGCGAGACAAATGGCGTTACAGCAAAAAAAAGAAATGGAAAAACGTAACTATCTGATGTAAGAAGGACAAAAGGCTTTTGGTGCCAAAATCTCCACCAATACGCAGTAGTGACTACTTGCAGAAGACTGCAGCAAAGAATAGCACATTTTCATTCTTAGTCACTTCTTCAATGATATAATCTTTTGGCATACACAACATGCTTGGACAAAAACTTCCATAACTTAACCACTTGGTGATGTTGTATTTGGAACTTGGTGCCTGCTGATTTAATTCTTTGTGTCACTTAGCCTTTAGAACTGTCTGTCATATCCTCCTTGTTCGTTTTTTTCCTCCCACTTTTAGGCTGGTTTAATTGTCACATAAACAAAACCAGCACTTAATGAATTTTTGTGTATAGGTTACAACTTGGGTGTATACAGGAATATTGCCTTCTATCTTCATGTTTTTTCCTTTAGACCATACCAGCATGGAGCAGACATGTTGGCTGCAATTTCCCAGGTATTAAATGAATGCACAAAACCTGATCAAGCTTCACCGGCTGCCATAGTACTACAGGGTCTCCAGGCACTTTGTGAGGCTGAGGTAAGATTAAATTGACTTGTCCCCGTGTTTTGTGTTTTGCTTGTGGTTCATGGCCTTTTTTCCCAGTTGGCTTTTTTTTAAGAGTACTCTGGATTGTTGCAGAATTTCCTTTTCTTCAGACAAATTTAATTCCTCTCTTCCAACATAAGTTAGTAGTTCCTGGGAAACTGTACGGTGAACTTCCACCACAGCAGGTCAGCCCTTCAGAGCTTCACAATTTGTTTTGAAGACATCCCTCCATGCGTCTTTCTTTGAGATTTGAAAAGAAAGATTGTGGGCACATAATTCTGATTAGCCAAAAAGTATGCAAATCATGTAATTTTTTTATTTCCTTACTGGCCTGCCCTGCTGGGTCTCATTCATAGAGTGTACCAGATAGGGAGTGAAATCACTTGCAGCTGCGAGGCTTCTGTTTTACTATAAAGCATTCATTACTTACTAATGAAAAGGACAAGTAAGCATTAGAACATGCTGCCCGGAGAGATTGTGCTATGTCCGTCCCTGGAGATTTTCACATTCCTTTTGGATACAACCCTGAGCAACTGGATCTGATCTTGTAGTAACACTGCTTTGAGCAGGAAGTTGGACTAGAAATATCCTGAAGTCTCTTCCAACCCAGATTGTACTGCGATGCTATGATATCCATGAGTTAGGATTCAAGGCTCTTTGTTTCCGCAGTGACATCCCAGACATCATCATGCAAGCATAGACATGCTGCGAATCACACTGTTGACGAACTGCGTACTACACAGGCCATCAGAGTTAGTGGACTAATTATATCCTGCAAGAATATTTGATTTCTCTGCCAAACTGCAATTTTAAATTTATCCACTAATTCGCTTTCAGTGGAGTGAGGCCAATCCAACAAAATCCAGCCATTACCACATTATTCCTTTGAAAACATTCAGTGGTTCAGAAACAACACAGTGAATCATCAGCAGTCTATAGGCATTAGTATTCAATATAGTTAAAAAATCTTCAGGCAATGACTACTAAGAAACAACTTATTAAGGGTAATTTTTTGTTTGCTTTGCTTTTGGTGTGGGGTTTGGCTCTTCTTAAGGTCACAGAGATTATATCACTACTGGTTTTGGTATTGAAACACTGTTTTCCCAGGCTGGATTATATTTGGACTTTGTCCTGCAAAAAAGCATGAGTTAGGTGTGTGACAGATGTCACATCTTACTATAATAGCCTCATTTGAGAATAGACGTACTGTACCACTGTTGAGAACTGGAAGACTAAAACAACTCCAGGTACTTGGGATGGAAGAAAGAAAAGAAGGAAAGAATCACTTTGTGGACTGGTACCAATTTTTCCTGTTGAAATTCTTATGGACCCTCCTCAATTTGCTTTGTTTCCCCCATTATATTGTAATGTTCTGGGAGACCAGACCTGCCACCTAACTATGCTGAAACTTTAACAGAGAATTCTTTTGTGGTTTGGTAAGCTGGGTAACCATTTGGGTTAAGTAATGTAGTCTGTCCCTTATTTAATATTTAGATTCGAGTTTGCAGTGCAGAAAGGACATAATTATAGAGATTGGTTTTGTTTTGGAGTTTTCTGTTTCTGCCACTGACTTAAGGGAAAGGGATCTAATCTCTCAGCTTTTCCATGTACAGTTGCTTAGATGTAGAATTTTAGAGAGCACCCAATTTTCAGTCAGCTTCTGCACTAGAATAATAAATTGTGTTTTCATATATTTAGTGTTGACTTAGTTCATGATGGAGCCGTATACACCACGTGGCTTTGTCACAGTTGAGTTCTGAGTGTCTCAGACTCTTTCATAAAAGCAATGCTATAATAAAATGTACTGTAACATTTTTCGGTTGACTGTTATGGAAGAACAGTTTTCCATTTTGTAGACTACAGTAATTGTTTTGTATAAAGGTAACAGCTTTACACAAACTGCATCCTACGTGAATAGCGTTAAGAGTGTAAGCTTAGCTTTTGTAGGACTTATAAGAAGGGCTAGATGCTCCCCCCACCCCTCTGTTTTTGTGGGATTTTTTTGGTAGGTATAAGAAAGGGTCTTTAATGAACAGTGCACAGTGACTTGCACATCAAAGATTAAAATACACACAGTTCTTGCCAGACCACATTTCCTATTTCTTGGCATATAGTTTGGTTTTTTCCCCAGTGATTTCAACAAAAGCCAATGTACTTCATATGAGGCTATCTATTCTGGCATCTAATTGATTTAATGTATCGAGTACCATGTGCCAGCCAAGAAACATTCAAGAATAAAATTGTTAAGTATAGTATTTAAATCCCCTTTCCAGGCTTTTTGAGGAAGTGGTTTCTTACTGTTTATTCCCTAACTCCATATCTATTTGTTATACTGATCAAAAAGAAACCAGCATATCAGAGTAATATAATGAACTGGAAAGTTTGCGGGAACAAATAATGATGACTGACATTTTGAAGGAATTACAAAGCTGAATGTTGTTTAAACAGTGTACATTTGAAAACTGTACTCCTGAAATGGTGGGTTTGTGTTGAGACACAGTCGGAGTATCATTACTTCTTGGGCTCAAGTCTCTGCCAGTTTCTCTTTCTCAGATCTGATTTACTCCTTGTTCTCTTTTTGACTTATTTTATGTCATTGGTCTTGTATATAGTTAACATCATAATTTCTGTCCGAACTCTTTAGCCAGTAATGTGGGTACAGTTCCTTGCCTGTAAAGATCTGCAGTTGAAGGGAGCTGCCAGACTCCCAGGATGAATTCTGTATAGGTGAGGGTTTTTCCCTGGATGGAATGAGTTAGTAAAATAAGTTGACTAGGAACGTTACTGGCCTGTTTGGAAGACACAAAATAAATTAAGCAAATCTGTGCTCCAAGTACTTAAAATCTGTTAGCATAAACTGGACAGCTGCTCGTGTAGTCCACAAAAACAATTTCCATTTTGTAGCTGAAATTTCAGTGTAAGCACTTTGCATTTGAATGAGTACATACTCTATAGACATAACAATCATGACCAAACTATTTTTCTGTGAAAATGGCATTGAGGAGTGATTTGGCTGTTAATCCTCAGGATTAATAGCAGCGCTTCTTTCTGCCTCTGTGGCACGATCACTTTGTCATGTCAGCTGGTTTTGGCATATTGGGCAAAATGTGTTTTGAAGAGAAGATGGTTTATTTACTCTAAATTGTTTCTAGATCATATTTATCCACTAAGTTCATGGGGCAAGCAGCATAATTTATAATAATCACAGTGTGTGTCAGAGTTCAATACTCTCTGACCAGGTTATTTTAGCTATTCTGTGCATGAAGGATGTAATGTATAATATCAAACTTACTTATTTGAAGATAGTTGTTACACAGAATTTCTAATTCAGAAGAGTGATACAAAATATAGCAAAATCACAATACAAATATAAGTTACACTTTGCAAAATATAGCAATTGAGGTGTAGAGTTCAGTCACAATACCAATGTGATTCCCATTGCTGGTCTCTATTATCTGCTCACTGTCATGATACTGAGCATCCCCAGTACCCAGGAAGCAGTATGTGGGTTGAAGCTAGCTCAGGCCTGTAGCTTGAGACCCACCCAATTGTTTATAGCTGTATTCTAAAAGAAAGGTCTTTTTTGTGTTGAGTTGTTTTTTTTGCAAAAGCTGTGGTCAGTCTCAGCCTGTGTTATTGTCTGAGCTTCATGAGCACATAATCTTTGCCCATGTGAACCTTCTTTCATTGTAGAGGTTTATTGGTCAGTCACAGTGTGTAGCACTTAGCAAAGTGATGGTATGCCCTTTGCTTTCTGCAAGTTGCAGGTATTTCTGTAGCTGGCTGGCATGTGTAACACTTTGCAGTACAGGATGGGTCAGGTGGGTTTTGTTGCAGTTCCTTGTTCTGGAAGTATTCTGATTGGGCAAAGAAATTTTGCACCTATTATCTTACAACTGTTAAAGCCATCATTTCTCCTTAAAAAGCAAATTAAGTAGTCCCTGCGTAACCTAATCAGTTGGCCTTCCTTCGAGAGTTAGGCTGAGCTAGGTGACCTGCAGAGGTCCGTTCCAACCTAAGTATTTGTCTGAATGTAGGATTCTGTGATAGACTTGGTGCACCAACCTTGCTGCGATTTGGTATGAACAGATATTTGTCTCAGAGGAAATACTGGCTCAGTATTGTGCTTGCTCTCCCCCCCACCAATCATATTGGTTTAAATGTTGTTCCCTACTTTTTTCCCCAAGATTTCTGACCCTTTTAGAGTAGTAGGTCACCTGAAACCTACTTTGTGTTTCCTAGACATCTGTAAAACTTAGCTTTGGGTTTTTCCCATCTAGCAGTCAGTGCTTTGTGTAGTGGCAAGCTTGCTATTTTAAAATAAATTTTGAATAACAAGAAAACACAAATGTAAAGCAAAATGTACTGTACCAAAAGCACTGTGTGGTTGTAATGTCTCCAGATGGCAATATCATCTTATTCGGAACAAATGCAGAATGCAAAAAACCACAAAGAACAAAAAGATGAAAACAGACTTATCAAAGTAGGACACTAGTGTGTCTAGATCTGTGAATGTACATTTTCTGATTAGCATTGATTCTTTTTTTTTCAGATAGTAATTGGCATACCAGTGTTGTAAAGTTTTCTTATCTTGCTAGTTTTCTAGAGTGGTTTGCATTTTCAGAGGACAGCTTTGTGAAGCTGAGCAGTGTATCTGGAATTACAGGGCTTTTCCTTGGGGATTCATGACTAGCAGATAAACTTGATCACAAGATATTTATCGCAGTTGCCCATTCCTCCAGAAAGACATCATGTCAAGGTTGTTACTGCTTTTATAACCTTTTTTTATTTACTGTGTTCGTTTATGGTGTGTGAAGTATCAGCCTCCCACTCTTTTGATCCCTCTACTCCATTGGTTCACATATTTAGGATTTTTCTGTAGGACTGCTATTACGTTGCAAGTCAAGAAAATACCTTCTGAAGGGAATTGTGCAGTCGTAAGCTTTTAGGCATTAAAAAAGTATATTTTTAAAGGAACTTTAGTGTTGCAACAATTGAGGGTGAAGGCCGTTAATGACAGGCCAAATTGCACTTCTGTGCTCAGTGATGGCTTTAATATCCTCTAGCTTTTGTGCTTATTGTGCACCAGATGATGTTTAGCTATTTTCCTTCTTCAGATCAATTCACCACTAAGTTTATTTGGGTTATTGCCCAAATATGTCTGAAGTCATATGAGATCACTTCAAGACCAAGTATTTAGTTGTCAGCAGTGTTTGGACAGGTGAGACATACAATAAATTCTCCTTTTTATCAGTGTGCAGCAAAATTTTTTTAGGTTGTGGTGTATTCCAAGTTGCACTACTTTAACTAAGACAAAAACCGAATCTCTTCTAAGTGATGCCTATACCCTTCAATAAAATGTTTGGCATTTGGAAACTCAAGCTGTTTCCTTTAGACAGTAGAAAAATTGAATTTCTGCTGGACTTCCACTTCTCAAAAAAGGCATATATCAAGAGATTTCAAATCAATAGAATTTTACTATAATCTTTGCTATTAGTATGAATGCTTTTTACATGCAGTAAAGAAATAAATCCTTTCTGTTTGTGAAAGAAAATTGTTAAAATTGATTCTGTAGTGAAAATATTTTGATGTTGACAAAAACACTGAAATACCATTTAGTCAGCGAAGTAGTAGATCCTGTATGGCAGTGATACTGTACTTAGTTTGTATGATGCTTATGTGATATGTGTGGAAAGCAATTGTCAGTTGAATACTGTATGAGGTATCATGATTATTGTAAGACTATTGATTATGCATGACTTAATGAAAGGCCAGTGTTTTTGGCATACCAAATACACATGGTCTAAAACCAATATGTTGCTTCAATGTAGTTGATAAAAGGCATTTGATGTATGTTGTTCCTTTAGATTTCACTAGCTTCATCTGTGTGGTATGCATATCTGATAAATCTGAAACTTCTGTTAGAATGCTGGTGATTTTTTTTATGGCCTTTTTTTTTTACCTGTTAGCTGAAGTTGGAGAATGAATTGAAACTTTCTTGGCTGGCTAATGATTTGTTAGTCTTCCTAAATTACCATATCAGATGGGACCCCATGAATATACAACTTTGTTTCTCCACATATTAATACACGGTGTATTTTCTCTTTCCAGAGAACTAACTCATTACAAACTTAATATTTCTAGATAGTTTAGTAACTGCTAATAGGTACGCCTATCTTTCTGAACACTGGAAGAGCTTTTTTCTTATCCTTGCAAACAGTGTGTTTTGAAAGGAGGGAAAGAGAGGTATCATTTTCACTTGGAATTTATTAGATGAGGTCTTTCTATCTGTCAGTGATCGTTACCATAGAAACACACTAATGGGTTTGCTATTCTTGAAATGGATTCAACTTGAAATGGATTCAGTTTTTTAAACTGCACTCTAAAATGTGTTTTGCAGGCACTTAAGTGACTGCTTAATTTGACAATTACCTGCACTCAGGTATACCAAGGGTTCTGTTTTTTCAGTGCAGAATAATACTATCCTTCTTAGTGCCTTTGTGGAATATCTTCATAAACATATCTTTATTTGATTTCCTTTCATAGATCAATTTCTGTTTCTCTATGTCTTAGTTTTTTGTTGCTTTGTTTGAATTTCATACAGCTGAAAGAAACTTTCATGGCATTTGCTCAGATTGTTTAAAGAAGGGTTTTGATTTGCGGTTCTGGTATGTTTTTCCCTTTAAAAGACTGAGTTTTGGGGGGTGGATGGGAGTGGGGTGAAGAGAGAAGTAGTTTCTTGGGGTTTTTGGTTTTATTTGTTGGGAAGGGGGTTGTTTATTTGTTTTGTATCTTTTCACTGTTTAGTACTCTTTTTGTTGCTGTGGAGCCTGAAATCTGAAAGACAGATAGTAACAACAGATGAATAATAGACAGAATTATTCTAGGTGTGGTGACAAAAATCTGAAAAGTTAAGTCCTCCACAGGTAGCCACATGAGATTTGATGAAATACTGCATGGAAATTACTTAATTTTTCACTAAAATACATGGTTCCTTACGAAGAGAAAGCACGGGCAACTGGAAAAATCTCACGGAAAAAAGGAGAAAGTTTTAATGCCAGTAGTGCTGTCTAGTCAACATTCCTGTGGGACTTGACTGCTTTTTGTGAATTCTGTACAATTCTACAGCTAGAACTGTACCATTGACTGATCATCTTCCAGACTTTTTTCAGTGCCTAGAAATACAAAATGTACTGAGTGCTTGTTGAGCTGCCATGCAGATCTTTAAAGGTGAAAATAAGCTGAGTGAGGCCTGTGTTGTACCCAGGAAGAGCTATGTAGGACCGATTATGTAGCACTGCTGTGCTGTAGATATAGTGTAAATGTCTATTCATTATTTTTGCTTTTATAAAAGTTGTTCTGAATAGCTAGATAGCAGTTCAGTATTAGGAATTAGTGTTTAGTGTTTATTGTAGTTTGACAGTTTCCAATGACTTCTGTATTCCTGAAGTTTTACACTTTTCATTTGTTCTGCAAATTTTGTTGGCTTTGACTGTTTTTAAAGATTAAAGCAATTTCATTTGGAGGGCTTCCAGGGGAAATATTTTACTGTGTTGCTTCCTCTGCTTTCCTCGTGTTGGATTCTGAGAGACAGCTTGCTTTTAAGCTAATTTGACAAAGTTAAGTAGAGCAGTAGTGTTGTGTGAAGATACATCTACTACAGCTTTGCATATTGCTAACATATAATTTTGCATAACACATAATATTGCATATTCCTACTGAGAGATGCTTTCTCTGGTGAAGTATTATGCAGTATTTACTGCATTATGTCAATTGATAAACAAGTGAATTTTTAACATGCATGCTATTTTTATGTTTATGAACTATATTCCTGTTCTCCAAGTAGGAAGAGTGAGAACAAGCACTGGAAAGACGTTTTAAGTCGAGTTGAGATTGCTGTTAGTAATGGTGTCTCCCACTTTCCTTTCAGGTTGTTTGCATCCGTTCTACATGGAGTGCGCTGTCGCCAAAGCTGAGTTGTGATACAAGACCCCTCATTTTAAAAGCTCTGAATGAATTGTTTGCTCTGGTTCCCTCATTAACAGTGAATACAAATGAATTTGAGGTATGTACTCATGGACTAAGGTGAGTCTTTCTTTTATTATATCTTTGTATATAGCTTTTAAATGAGCCTGCTTGTTTTTAATTTATCATAATGCACATTCCATACAGTTTCACAATTTTTGCTTGCATTAGTGAGTCCTGGGAAATATGTAAGGAATTCCAGTGCAAGGTTAATCTGTGGTTTCCCTCTCCCAGAATGTGAGGACAGGTGAACATGTCTGGAGTTCAAACCTGTACCCTTTTTTATAGCTCAATGCATGTTGATGTGGCAGCAGTTTGTTTCAGGTTACTGCCCCTATTTCAACTGCTTATTTAGCTAAAGAAAACATAAATGCATATTTTGTTTTCTTTTCTAGAAATTCAAAACCCAAGTTATCAGCTTCCTCTGGAACAACACACAGAACAAGGTAGGTGATACAACTGAAAGTCTTGATTTCTGATGTCAGCAACTGGACATTAAGGTTTGTACTTTTCTGTCAAGACAGTGTCAGTAATCTCATTTCCGAATAGGGTTTTCTGCTTGTTGCTGTTTTATAATCACAGTAACACTGTTTTTGAAGCAGTGTACTGCACATGAAAGATGATCCTAACATCTGCCAAGGAGAATTATAACACAAACTAGTTTGACTTCCCCTGGAAGATTTCAGCCTCAACATGGTGAAGCATTCTTGACAAAGATGCTACTGTGACAACTAACTCAATTCTTTTGTAGAGTATTGTAGTGCAGTGGGAATGTTTAACTATAAACCACCGTGGGGCTGGTGGAACTAGTGTGTTTTAGTTTAAATGCAGCTTGTGTATTTCTACCTGAAATACCCTCAGAATGCTTGCTATGAAGCCTAGATAATTGGTCTTCCTACTTTGCATTGGGTATATATCAAGTAAGCAATTGAGAGTGTGCTTCAGAAAAACATTGCTATGGGGTTTTTTATCAGCATTCAGTAGTTACTCGATAAGCTCTTTGTATGTGGAGTTTCCAGTAGGTAGCAATAGTATATGCTGTGTTTCTGATCTTCTTTTTCTTCTTATTAATTTTCTAGGATGCTCTGGTAGCCATTTCAGCCTATAAATCACTGTCATCATTTGGCTCTGAAGAACATACAATTCTTCATCTTCCTGAACAGGTAGCCATATTGTATGTTTAAATAGTAAGGACATCTGACACCTCCATCTGACATGGGTTATATCCTCTTGAAAGGGATATAAAGGCCATGTGCCTTCTCCATCAGACAACGAGAAGAACCTCATGGAGGAATACAAGCTCCTGCTCATGAAATGAGATAGTATTGTCTTGATGAGCACGAAAAGGCACAAATGAAGCTCAATGAGGGCTTAGCAGTTATTTTGTTAGTTAAATCATCAGGTTTTGGGGATTTTATGGTCTTCTATTAATGCTTAACTAAGCAGATCTTGTGATTGGTGCTTCATCCATTGCAGTATAGTTACGCTTAGTGCTTTTGTTCCTGAGATGGGTAAGTCAATTTGAAAAATGGGTGCTGTTTTTGGAATTAAGCTGAAAAGTTTTCATGTGTTTTTGTTCTGAACTTTTACTGTATAACATTTTGCTTTTTTGTCAATAAAGTAAGTCAGAAAGGAATTGAGGTATTTATTTGAAAGCTATTTAAGTATCTAGACTGCTGTTAAACTCTGAAACTTCTGGTCAGTTGACTCAGTAACCTTACAAAATGAAGGAGTACAAGGTCATCTGTGTGACTTTTCTTTAAAGTAATGTTGTACAAGAGACTAGGCAGTACTCAGTAGTACATTGGTACTTTATGGCATAGTATATGCTTCTGTAAGGTTTTATTTACAAGATAGGCGTCATTTGCATATTGCAACTGGCTGTTATGAAAAGGTTGCAATAAACAATTTTAAAATTAAAAAGAATAATTTATATAAATCCATTAGAAGATTTCAGCATAAACCTTACAAATGAAATTATATTTTACATAGAAGACCATGAGATACGATGAGGGAAACGTCTAAACACTGCTGCAGTACTAAATCTTTCACAGTAGTACATAGTTCTGTATTGTTGGTACTTTACACTCATTAGAAAATGAGTAAGTATGCTTTAACTGAAAGCAGTGTAAATATGTTGCAGTTTTTCAGATTCTAAAAACTAGTATGTAAAAATAACATCTAGCAAAAATGTTCTATGTATATTGAAGTGCCAGTATAAAACATTGTTAAATTGAAGAAGAATCAGAGTGAAAATAAAATTTTATGAATTTTAGTTCAGTCTGTAAGTGCCAAGATAAATTTTACTATTACTGATGTGGATTAACATACCCTGTGATTTTTATCCACTGCTGTTGCTTTTCAGTAAGGTAGAAGCTTTTATTCAGTCAGCTTCAAATTAGTAAAATGGAGTTAAATTAATGAAATGGGGAACTTTTCATATTTAGCTGGTATTTTTGACTCTTGGAATCATGAATGGTAATGAGGATTTGGAATCTTTGTGCTGACATTTAGTTTTTGTTAAATCCTGCAGGCACGACCAGAAGGTTACTTGCTGAAGGAAACAGACATGAATGAAGATGAAGAGGAGCAGGAGGCAAATCTTTTTGTTCCAGGTTCTTCATATATCAAGCTGTTGTCTCTAACACCAGCTTCTGTTTTAGGAGGTATAATATATCCAGTATTTGAGGTTACTTTGCAGATATATATATATAATCACAGTAACTGTACAGACATGTGACTCTTTTATAATGAAGTGTCATGTTAAAGTGCTGCCTTTTTATTTGTTTGTTTCTTAACAAATGACAGAAAAAAATGTAAAAGTTCAGAGGAAAATAAAGCCCCTAACCCATTTTTAGGAAGATGCTGTGTCAGAGGTCCTGATGATGGGGAAAAATGCTTACAATTAAAAAACTCTTATCTGTCCTACGGGGAAAGCTAGTTTCATATTATTTACTTCAAGTACCCATGACTTCAACAGAGTGGAATGAGCAGATGTTTCAAAAAGGCAGCTCTGTATTTTAGCCCAGCACAGACTGAAGTAAAAAAGTGTTTTTTAAACAGAGTATTAATGACATGAAAACAATGCTGTTTACAAAATCTGCTTAATTGATGAAATGTTAGTGCTATGCCTAAATCCTAATTGTAGGGATGCATATTGATATTGAAGTATGCATCAACAGATGGCTGGTTGATGCACTTGTTCTGAAACCTGTGCAGTTGAATCACCTTCAGTATTTGGGAGTTTTGCTGTTCACTTGATTACTTTCAGAAATGCTGAAAGTACTTTCACTTCCAGTTACAAGATTGAGATGTTGTGCTGGGACATAGGCATTGTTCTTTAATTCTTAGTAGAATGCCTGGGATCTTGATGTGTGATTGCAGCCTATAAACATTGCCATGAGATAATAGTAGTGCTTTGTAGTACTTTCCCCCAGTGGGGACTCCTAAAAAGATCCATTCATCAAACTCTGCATGCATTGGCATCTGGAGTATGTGCAGCCTCACCTGGAGAGTCTTAACTACTAAGTCCTGGAAGCTTTGTGGGGAAGAGTGATATAACTTACTTCAGTGAAGGAGAGTGATGTATCTTGACAGAAAATGCAAGCTGAGCAATGAGTGCTGAGATAGCCAACTTCCTGGGAAGATGGGATGCCAAAATGGATTTTAAAGTGAACCGAATGAATACAAAGATGCACAGACTGGTATCAAAATATACTTGAATCCAGACATTCAGGGAATAATTTCTCCTTAAGAGGTGTCTTCTAATGCTGATAGTTAACACAGAGAGCAGAACAAAAGTTGAACAAAAGCTTTAGTGACTGGCAGGAGTGATTGTTGTGATTTAATTGCTCCAGTGAAAGAGTATGAAACTGGATTCATGAGACATTGTCCAAGACAGGCCTGAGAGCCACGAAGTCTCTGTTCTATGGGAGCTGAATCTGTGTCATCTCATCTGCTGGAATCCTGCTGTTACACATTATTGAGATTAGTTCAGTACTTTCTTACTGCTTAGGAGTAGGACTGAGCTGCTTTTTAAGAAAACAAACTCTGTTTCTGAGTTTTCCCTGAAGTCCTTCTTAGTGCACATCAAATCAACTGAAACTTCTAAAGGAAGTTTAGCTTGCTGCTTGTGAGAGCTCCCTCTTTGCTTTTCTGTATTGATTCTTTAAACTTTGAATTCCTGCTTATTTCTGTTGCCTCCCTCTCCTTTAATCCTTGCAGGAGGAGAAGAATCTTTAGGCTTTTTTCAGACTCTGCATGTTTCTTTATGAAGAGCTGAACAATTAATGCTATGACAGCTGCAGTTAAAAAGTTCCAGCTGAAAGGTGGGCTTGGTGCCTTATTACTGAATTGTGGGATTTTTCCAAGTACCTTCTTCAGCTGTGTGGGAGGAAAATGTCTAAGCTTGCAAACAAATCTATAGGGACTATTTCTGCAACAGAGCTGAGGAAAAATTAGAGGCAAACTAAAAGTAGATTTTTATATGACAGTTGGAACATGCTGCAGTTCCAGTTTACTATAGCTGTCTGCTTATATGAAATGTTGGAAAGTGGAGTTTTAGATAGCATTTTCTCTCAAACTCCTTTAAAACTGATTTCAGTTTTCATATTGTTTTGAAGCATTGGAGTGCACAGGATATCAGAAGGGTTATAACAGCCTTAATTTTTTTACTTTAGTAGTTTTTATTCTGGATGCCTGAGACGTGTCTCAAACTTGTTACTAGTAGTAACTACTAGTTACTACTAGAAACAAGAGATTTTACTACTACTACTAATAATAATAATAATAATTTTGTTGCTGTGATGTTTGTTGTCTTTTTTTACCTTCAGATTGATTTCAAGCATTAAAATATTCTTGCATTTACTGCACATCTAGTTGTTTCACTAAACATATCCAGATTTTGTAGTTTGAGTTTTACCTGCCGGTCTAGAGCTTTGGGTTGTGTCTTGCCTGAAGAATTGCTTTTGAATGGCTTGGAAATATTAAGTCCTTTGGCATAATCAGCAAATGCAGTAATATGACAGCAATGACATACTACTACCTGTACTATGTTGTCTCTGTCAATATGAATGGTTTCCAGCAGAGAAATAACTTCCACTTTCAGTGAATTTCTTTTCTATTGCAGCTACCCTAAACAAAAAAGTTTTTTTATGAAAATCACAGACAGGTGGGTGGGTAGTGTTTTCATGTCAATAAGTATATACTCTTCCAATAAAGGATTGGGTACAAAGAGTTTCTGTCTATTATCACTGTAGTGAAAATTCCTAAATTCATTCTGCAGGTTTTGTTTGAAGAGTATTGGCATTATAGGTGGAGAAAAAGGATCCCCAGATGAGATGCCCTTCCTGACAGGCTACAAAAACATATTGGATTGAGACTGCAACTCCACTATGGAGTTGAAATGGGAAATAACATTGCTGAAAATCAAGGGAACTTGCTGAAGATACAAACTGTGAGAAAGTTTAAGTATACAACTGTTTTATTCCAAGATGACATGGATGTTTCTTGAGCTTGGAAAGGATGAATGAATGCTTCTAGTTCGTAGGCAAAGCAGGACTGCATGGGATTTATGAAATTGGCCAAGGTTTCAAGCCTAATGTGTAACAGTTCTTATAAATCCCCTTAAAACTCATTTGTGTAGTGAAAGCACTAAGAGCCTTATCATGTTTGCAAGACATGCTGGTACAGTGTTGGGTCTCAGTTGTCATGGCCAGTCTTCGCGAACGAAGATTTGGGAAAGGTCATTAACCCTTCGAGCCTGCGCAGTGGATTTTTTAGGTGAGACACAGCGTGCGCTGAACTGAGCCCTCCCTTTAATCCTGAGGTTCATCTGCCGGGGCCGAGCGAGCTTGGACGGTGGCAGCGAGGTCCTCTGGACGTAGGTTTGTTTAGAGTGACCTTCTCTTAGATGGATGGCCTTACAGGGCTGACGAGCTCCATCTGCCCGGAGGAGTTCCCTGACCGGGAATCGAACCCAGGCCACGGCGGTAAGAGCACCGCATCCTAAGCACTAGACCACCAGGGGGCCTGGGTTTCAGTTGTGATGTGGTAACAAACACCATGCAGTCATATCTGTGTACATACAGAAATATGACCTGTTTTTCCCAATGTGTACCTCTAGAGGCTGCTTCAGATTGACTTTGCAAATGGACAATAACTTGATATTAATTCTGTATAATTTTAAACCTGGTTAGGCTATAAAATGCATAGCTTGAAAGCACAGAACCTAATAAAAATTTGTACTGCTATATTAAAAGAAATTGAGGTCATACTTCTATCTGTATCCCCTATTTGCATATACACACTCTTTCTGCATCTACCCTCTTTGCATTATGGTTCTTCTAAATCTCTTTAAGAAAAACCTGTTTTTAGAGTGTACTTCACTGTGTTGCTCAACATCAGTTCTATTTTTCATTATCCTTCTGTCAGCATGTGCTGCTGTTACTGGTGTATCAGTAAAAAAATGCAGTCAAGAGCTCATGGAATAGTTAGAGCTGTTTTCCTTCCCAGCCTTGAAAATACTTAGGTCAGCTTTGAATAAAGTAGTTTTTTACTGGAATTCCTCACGTTTCTTATTTTCAGCAGCCTCCCTTGATTTTCAGCATTGCTATATCCCCACTTCATTGGAATTAGAGGTGGAGGAAAAAAATCCCTGGATGTAGGTACGCTTGCTACAACATCAAATTTAGACTGCTGCTCCACTATAAAGTTGAAGTGGGAAAGAAGCACTGGTTTCATTTTGGGTTTTCCAGGGTTAGTTATGTCTCTCAGTCATCAGGCTCTGACAGTCTCTTGCCTTTCTCTTCATTGCACTGCACTTCATCAAGCATTTGAAGAGTTTGCAACATCACTGGTGAAACAGGAGATGACCAACATGCCCCGTGGTGTGTATCATTCTGCCTTGAGAGGAGGGACAACATGCTCAGACCAGGGGAAGACAGTGGCAGGTGTTCCAAACTTCTTGCTGAAAATGTATGAGAGGAACAGGCAACCAGGCATGACACCAGGCCTTGCAGGTAAGCTATGACTTTCTTGAAGTTAGACAGGTATTCATGCTTTGACCCAAAGATTTATCTGAATCTGAAGGTGAATCAGTTTTAGAACAATGATGTCTTATGCCACTTGGATATGCTTGCATATGCTTTTGAATTGTTAGCTTTATTAAGTTAACTTTGCTTTGGATTCTCCTCTGACTTTTGCAAGACTTCTGAACTATTAGTGCAAGTATTGGCATTGACCTTTCTTTTCCCCTTCCCTCCCACTTTAAGCTGGCATGTTGCTGTGTTATGACCTTCCAGTCCATATGGGCAAAGATGGCAAGCCTATTAATAGATTTCTGGCTAGCAGAGGGCGCAGTTTCCAGCAAATGTTGGTCGCCCTCATTCATGAGGTAAGTTGTTGCTGGCTTTTCTTCACTTTTCAAAAGTATTACACCTCCTTCCCTCCCTCATTTGTTTATCCTAATTAGCTATTGATATCAGGTAGCAATGGCATGTATGAATGTATCATAATTAACTAAGCTTCCTGTGAGGGACAACTAGAATCATCAAGTCCAACCATCAACCTAGTGCCACCACGGTCACCCAGCTTCACTAACTTGAATTGAACGTGTGAATACTTTTTTTTTAAATGTTCACTCTCAAAGTGCCTCTTCTAAAAATCAGAAGAACAAACAGAAGGTGACCTTTGTCTTTATCTGCCTTGCAGACTACTGTTCCTGCCTGTTACACACCTGTTGTGCGTAACCGATTGTAGATGAATAGCAGGTCTGAACAATGATGGGACTCCATGGAGAAACAACATCTACACTTTGCTAAGACTTGCTATTTTATTCTGTCTCTTAAGTGTTTCAGCTCCCTGACCTATTACACATACGCTGCTGAAATCATGCAGTTACTTTTGATGTGGTTTTGGAAAAAGGGCATGAAATAAGCCCCCCCTTAATCATTAAGGAAAATAAAGTGCTTGTAATTGCATCTTTCAGAAAATTTAGAATTACAATACTTTTATGGTTAATACGAAAGCTGATCTTTGAAAATTTTGAACAGCAGTAAAAGAAAAAAAAATCAAGTAATTAAGCTGGATCCAGGGAAATAAGTGTTCCTTTCACAATTTTATGCCAATGAAAGCTGTTTTTACTACAAGTGGAAGTGTGTTAAACTCTTTAGAAGTTCATAAAATAATTCTGTTAATACAATCATTTTATATTGCTGTAGAGGTTAATTACAAGCATCTGGGACAGTGATCTGAGTCCTGATTTTGGTTTGTGACTGTCACCCAACATATGTGGGGCTTACCTACTCTGAAGTTCCTCTGTGATGCTGGTAAAATCACTGCCACCAAACACCTTCTATTAGGAAATAAGTGTAGCATGGGGTTTGAGTGGGAAGATTGTGGAAACAGGGCTTGAAGAGTTTTCTGTTTATAAACTAAAAGTCTGATGCAGAACACATGCATCTACCATGGATAATGTGCAGGGGCTATGTTCTGATCTTGTGATGCATCTTCAAGACTCTCTCTGGGCTTTGCTCTCAGGTCCTTTTTCCTGCATGTTCACACTGTGATTATATTAGTTAACTTCCTCAGTCTTTTTGAAGCAAGCAAGCCAGTTCCTTCTCTAACAAACCTGTCTGTGGCAGAGTTTACCTGAAGTTTCCAGTCAAGTGATGTGAATGTGTGCCGTGCTGAAATTGGCTGCTTCTACCTAGTGCAGTCTTCCCACTCTGTACCATCACTCAAACATTTCCATTTGCTAGCATACACATCAAATCTTTACCTTCCATACAATAGCATAGTCATTCTGGTCCTTCAGGACTGAAAAACCACAAAAAGTAATAATCATATCTTGTGGACACAGAAATACCACGTGGACCGCAGTGGAAGTTAAGCCAGGTGGTACAAGGACAAAAGCCAGTCTGCACCCATTGGACTGGAGTATAGAAATCCATCTCTGGTGCTGTGTTACAAAGTCAGTGTCAGCGAGATTATGACGTACTTCATATGTCAAGTTCTTCTCTTAAACTAGAAAAATAAAAAACCCAAGCACTACTTTTGAACACAGTTCTCAAGGTATCTAACCATGTATGCAGATTTAATAGGTATTTTCCATATTGACATCTTTACTGCTAAAGAATGAAAGCAGAAACTGAATACCCCTCATCATCACAAGAGTGTAAATGAATGTTTTAGATTGTTTTCTAACTATTTGGTTGTCCAGTGAAGAGCACCAGGGGAATTCCACAGGGATATGTCAGAGTATGTCAAGGGAACAGATGTAGAGTAATGAGGTATTAATGAAGCAGGGGCTTCCACAGTATCCAGAAAGAAGATCTTTGCGGTTTATGTAATTGCTTCATTCAGTGGGACCAGGGTTCAGGACCAGAGGTTCTGGAGAAAAGCATATTTAATTGCGTTACAATAAAAGGCATTTATGAAAGTTTTATATATGTTGAATTACAGTGGGATAAGGATCAGTTCTAAACTACGTTATAAACATTTGCCTGTTGCCCTGCTAGAACACCAAATAAAATCTCTGGAAAACAAAATATAAATTTACTTTTATGTACTAACAGCGATTATAAAATCCAGCAGCACATCAAAAATTGACTTTTTTTGTGCAAACAAGCTACCTTCATAGAAACACAGCCTTAAAATGCTTTGCTGGACAAAATATGGGGGTTTTATTGAATGTGGTGAACTGGATAAAGTTAGTGAATATATACCAATGGCTGGAGACAGAAATATTTTACTAAGTATCTCAGTACTTTACCAGGTCAATTGATTTTCTAGTAAAACTAGAAATAAATCCAAATATGTTTAAAATATAAACTTAAGCACAAAATATTTTCAGACAGTGCAAATTGCACCCTTTTAGTGAAAATCTACAATAATGATAAAATCGTGATCAAGAATCAGTATTTCTGTTCTTAGTTTACACTGCTTTTAAAGACAAAGTTTTTTCTTGCAAAAAAAGCAAGTACGTAGAGACAGTTGGAGTCAGGATTGTCAGAAAAAAGGTGTTTGGGCCTTTGTCTAGATGAGAAGCCAGTCCCTGGGCTCATCAGACTAAATTTCATGCCTTAGCATTTACTTAGTCCTCAGTGTTCCTCTGGGGAGCAGAGTTTAACAGTAAAACCAGAGAACCTAAGCTATAAAGCTGCCAAATAGCAGTGCTGGTAGAAGGAAATTGGGTTAGTAGGAACTAGGCCTGTCTTTTCCCTGCAGCGGCTATAGGAATTAATGTGTTTTTGTAAAGTAATTTCTTCAGAGTTCAACACAGCATATTAAACAGATTTTTTAGGGGGGTTAAATTACCAGAATGACACTTTTTTGCTACTGTTTTGACTCTTTTATTGGGAGTGGGGTGGATATGGGTTAACACTTACAGTGACTTTTTAATAAAGCAAGAAGTGTTCTGTTTAAAAGAAGTCTTAAAGTTGCCTTTGAAGCATTGAATTCAGCATAAAGCTCTGAATAAAGTGTGAGGTTAATGTAAACATCAAGAAAATACAATTAATTGGGAGATATCAGGCATTCATTTATTTTATCTCTAAAAATGTCCACCAGTTGCCATTTTCTTAGTTAGGACTGAGCAGTCATCACCATACTGGGATTATAAAGCGTTTCTCTTTTCAGTGATTTGATCTATGCTCAAATAGAATATGAACCCACAGATTGCATATCTGTCGGTATCTTTGCATGCTTAGTTGCCATTATTGAACTTAGTTTTTTTTACAGTGGGGGCACGATGAGGGGCTTGAGAAAATCTGTTTCACCTTTGAGATTCTTTATGTATAAAACTGTGATGCCTGAGATCCTGCTACCAAAAAAATGAGTTACATGAGGTATGCAGAGGAAAGATTTTCTTTGTGTATTTAAAAGCCTTTGTAACATACAAATAACAAATACTTGGGTTTAGCTTGCAGCACAAGATAACTTAATATTCAGTCTTAATGGGCCAGACTTATTTTATCTCCTAGTTGCTGTTCTAGCTGAGGAATTGGATGCATCTATAATACCTCTCAGCAGCATCAGATTAAGATGCAGAAGAGTTTTTTGTTATTATTTGAATGGGTATCTCATGGGAAGAAGAAAATATGTTAAATAATCTGTGGTATGTTTGAAATGCTCTATTGCTCTTTAGAGGTCACTGGTGACTTAAAAGAGGAAGATTATCATTCTCCAGAAACAGGGATGTGCTGTTTGATAGATTATTAAACAGAGCTTGTTAACCTCGCTCTGAGAGGACATGTTAAGCTACTGTAGTCACAGTGGTCAGAAGTTTTATAGACCATGGGTTTTCTTTTTTTTCTATGGCTACCTAGATCCTACTGTACAAGAAGTCTCCGAATTTATCACGGTCATCTGAACTAGATTAGCTAATAATTACCTGTGACTGTTTCAGGTTTTGGAACTAATTCTTCCTAGGAATGCATAGGAATAATTTCTTACCAGATTCACTTATCTGTTATGAAAATGAATGAGGATGAATAGTCACATATGTTCACATTATGTACCATATGTCTTGGTGGTTCTCTTAATGTATGTTTTGGAAAGTAATTAGGCTTTCAGCCAGCTACGCATCTTTTTGTTCTCTAGTGGAGGTGAAGGCAACTTCATGCTACATGCAAAAAGCACAGAGGCAGACTGCTTTTGGCAGACTGATGTGGTAAATGGTGGCTTTGACAGTCTGAACTGGTGCATCTGTTTTTTAAATGAAGGAGGATGGTCTTGGCTTTGCATGTTTCTCAATATTCAAGTGCTTTCTATGTGTTCAAAATAGCTCCAAGTTATTTTGCCCTAATGATGAGTCATATTTACAGACACAATTACAAAGTTGGGTTCCAGTGGTGAGTTGTACAGTATTAAATACTCCTCTACAAGTAATAATCATGTTAGGCATTCTGTATACTCATGGAAGAAGCATTCCCTGCTTTTTTTTTGAAGTGTGTTCATTAGATGTGCTGTGATGACATGCATCTTTGAGAAGTCAAGTGGAAAGCTTCTTCCGTACATTTCTTTTCTTGTTCAGTTTTGTTGTAATCAGGATATTCAAGAACTTATTTAAACCTAATATGTGAAGTACCTTAATAAGACAATTGGATTTTCTGGAACAGAATTCACTGTAGTGTATTCTTCTGTGCCTGGATATTTCAGTGCCTGGATGTAGTTCAGATTATGAACTACTTTGTGCTGATTTCTACTACTGAATTTACTCAATGTATTTCCTCCAGTGATGAAACAGTAGTCAGAAATTAAGTTTGTTGACAGGTTTTTGCTGTTCTCCTCCTCAGTCTACTGCACCTCGGACACAGTCAGTCAATTTTTTTCTCACAAAGTAATGTTGGGGGGTGGATTTGGAAGTGTATGCATGCAAGTATGTTAAAAAGTGCCTCTAAGCAAAGTTGAAAATTAAAAGAGATGCTGCTTCACTATTACATTTATACAGACATGTAATGCTAGTGTTGTTTATGAAATCACTGAGATGGCACTTTACGTGTCCCATATGAGAGGGGCATTTAAATACATGCCTAAACATTTCAACTGACATGAAGGTATTTAAAACACATTTTCAAGAACACACGTTTGTTAGAGGTGAACTGAATTTAGGGACTATGTGAGTTGGCAGGGCTATCAAGGTGGAAATCTGTTGTACTTTGTAAAAGAACATACTAGGATTCCCAGTCTCCCTGCTGTACTGCAGATTTTAAGATAGGCCATAAATACTAATAATATCTTAGTTTCTCGGTTCTTTAAGCAGTATTATCTCAATTAGATACCCAAGGAAATGGTAGAAATGTGCTTAATTTCACTGTTACCTGCATTTTTTTGTGTGTGCCCTATGCTGGTTGTGTATCAGTGTAAAACAAGTGATGAGGCAGACCCCCACCTTGCCACAACCTCCTTTAAGGTAGTTTTAGAGAGTGGCAAGGTCACCCCTGAGTCTCCTTTTCTCCAGGCTTAACAACCCCAGCTCCCTCAGCCACTCCTCATAGTGCTCCAGACCCTTCACTGGCTTCTCTGAGCCCAGGACTTAACACAGGATTCAAGGTGCAACATCCCCAGTGCTGAGTACAGGACAACAATCACTTCCCTGGTCCTGCTGGCCACACTCTTTCTGATACAAGCCAGGATGCCATTGGCCTTCTTGGGCACCTGGGCACACTGCTGGCTCACGTTCAGCCGACTGTTGACCAGCGCAAGTCTAAACGGTGTAGAAGTCTAAAATAGTTTGAGAGTAGAGGCAAAGGGGAAGACTCGACTTGCTACAGATTCCTTGGGAGCCCAAGGCAAGCAATTCTAACTAGGACCTTGATTGCTTATCAGTTTTTGGAGGAATTGATAAGCAGAGATGAGAGGGGTGTGTGAAGAAAAGTTTGGCTAAAAAGAAAGGACTAGTGTTAATGTGTCATTTAAAGATGAGACTTCCTCTTTTACTGCAGGGCGTATTTGTATCAGCTGTGAGGTGGAGTAGGTAATCTCTCTTGGTTGACTTTTAGAATGCTTTTATTTGTATAGAAGTATTAGTACTTATTCACAAGTCTTTAAAGTTCACTGCTAACAGTGGGCATGAAGCTTTAACAGTGTCCTTTGTTTTTTGTTATAAAATCCATGTAAAGAAAGAATATTTACTGCATTATATAGATCATGAGGGGTGTAAAATAGAGGTGATAAAGCAGGAAGACTTAGGAAAATAATTATGCAAAGGCAGGTCTTTATCTTAGTTAACCGTTCTGCCTTTAAAAGTATCTAACATTTTCACAAATGATGAAGAAACGTTTGCCAGTTTTAAGTGTTGTGCTTATTGCCAGATACAGTCCACTGCTCCCTCTGGGTTCAAGTAATTGTTGCAATACCTGGAGCAACCAATTTTGACTGGGCTGGGTAATGAAGTTGAAAGTAACTTGGTGTGGGTAAAATCAGAAAGGAGAATGAAGTACATTACTATTCTAATTTCGTAGAGCCATGTGTAATGGCCTGTGGGAGTGAGGGAATGATTGCCTGCAAATCATAGACTGGAGAACGTAGAATGTGCATATGCTAGGCCTCATGTAACCACTTCTGACCTTTCTGGTGTGTTGCACAGGTTAACATTCAACCTTCTGAATGGCACTGCTCCATACTGCTGCCACAGGCCTGGTTAGGATTTATGAGTCGAACCTACAGTGCAGTCCTGCAGGTAATTTTGAGGTATATCATATTGTGCACATTAATGCTTATTCAAGTGGTATGAGTTTTATTTTTACCAGCAAGAACACTCGTACAAGTTACAAAAATATGAGGAAAAAAACCCTTGAGGTGTTTAATAATAAAATTTATGAAAAGAGAATAAAAATGAGTGTTCAGTTAATGGCAGTACAATCTGGGATACTTTGTAGAAGTATAACTTCTGTTTACAATTCAGGTTCATGCAGCTTGTTCCTATGTCAACTTGCAGAATGTGTCATTTCTTAGAATTTTTAGAAGATGAAATTTTAGCTAGAGCTCTAATCTGCTGCTTGGGTAGGAAGCTTATAATAGTAGTACCGCTACTATAGGGGGCAGAGGCTATCCCTATTGAGGGATGATTCATTAAAAAGAACTTAAAAAGAACTTCCCTTAATCAGCAGGTAATGCTGTCACACTGTAATAGCTTGTCTTCCAATTATGTCAGCCTAGCTAATGATTAGGAAATATCTCAAATTCTTTCTTTTATTAGGTTAACTGACCTGATACCTAGATCAATGTAGTATCATTTGTTTTTTCAACAGGAAAATTATCTAAAAAAGTTTTAGCAAATAACTGCCTTCCAGAAGGCTTTCTTTGTGGTACTAAAAGGGCTTATTTGTTTGTATTTCCAGGCCACATCAGCTGCTTTCAGTGCAAGCAGCTCAGGTTGCTGAGCGAATTCTAGAAGTTTTGACTGCTGTGCAGCAAAACGTATGCTTCTGTCACATTTTCAAAACAAATTTTGTCTTGGCCATCAGCAAAATACCAGATTCTAAACTAAGCAAGTCTCATTACGAAGCAAGCAGCAGCTATTCAAATTGCAGTTTTATGTCTTGGGGGACATTGCTGCTTGCATTTATTTACTTTCCTATTTCACTTCCCTTCCAAGACAAGATTTCACAAGAAGTTTGGCATTTACCAGGCTTGTTTCTGAAGAATCTGTAGAATTTGTCATTTTACAGGACAAACAGAGGCTATTTTTGTTCCCTCCTACTTACTCTTTATGCTTATATAGTACATTTCATCCAAGATGGCCAATAGAGACTACGATATAAGATGAGTAGTCTGGATAGTACATAATTCAGTATTTCTGAACATCTATACTGCCTTCTTTTTAGTCAGTGTGTTGTATATGCTCCTTTGATCTTGGTGGAGAGTCACCTATTTAGTGTTATCTGAATTTACAAGATTCACTGTATTGTATTCTCAAGTTGTTATGTACACCCAAACTACAACTGTTCAATAGCTGATAAAACACAGCATATCTGCCTGTATTTTTCACTTAAGGCTTAATAACCTACTAAGGAACAGTAGCTGACAACCAAAACAAGTTGAGTTGTAGTTGTCCCACATTGGTGATGGAATGTTAAAGCAAAGTTGGTTAATATGTTTAGATAACAATTGTTAGAGACCAGAATCCATATCACCGCTTTAAATGTACAGAAAGAATGGTGTAGGAGGTTACAGGGAGGTTGGAGTCATACAAAGGAAAGAGATAAGTAATTCTGCTTTAAGGAGTGCATCAGGAAAGTGATGTTTTGCTGTTAGAATCCATTTTAGCTGGCAGGCTTCTAAAGCTTATTCCATGCTTGTTGTACCCCTTCCCAAGGGAACTTGTCTCTGCACGTACTAGATAGATGCCTCAGTATCTGTGGCTGTTTATGCCATCTGCAGCTTGTTTTTATCACTCAGAATAAAAAATGATGAATTTTTCTCCTTAATGTAGTGTATATTACAGTGAGATCACTTATGAAGTAGCCCTCAGTTTAAGAGCTACATGTGTTACCTGAGTGTTCTCTGAAGAAATCTTATGGTGATTGGCCATGTAAGATCCACTTTTGACTTATTCTGCATTTCTACAGGGGAGGCAGGCAGAGCTGGAGATGCAGTTAAAACATGGAAAAGAGGATCCTGAAGAGGTGCAGTACAAACAATTTACAGCCTGGCTGTGGTAAGGAAGTGCCTGTCTGGTCCTGATCTCTTGTAATGGCAAGTGAGAGGACAGAGGAGGGCAGGATTTCAAAGTCTTTAATTTTGCACATTTTGAAGACTGTATGAGCACTAATAAAAATCAACAAGCAACTACCAGGTACGGTGACCCTGGTGGGGGAGGGGAGTGGACAGAAAGACCACTGGGTAACTGTAAGTATTCTCATATGCACAGATTCACAGGTACCTTCCCCTCTACAGAGCCTGAAAACTTTATAAGTTTATTTCCAGTGAGCAACTGGAAAGAATGGAAAAAATTGTTTGTTTTGTAGCATGTTAAAGCAGGATTATGCACATATTATGATAAAAATTTCCTTGTTGAGACTTAAATGAGCTGTCTCACTGAAGATGCCTTGATATAAGAAGTGTAAGCCATAGTATGATATATGTTGTGGTGGACTGACACACAGTTCATATGGTAAATTGGCATATTGAACTTGAGGACGTTATTTAGAAGGAAGCACAATGATGCACATCCTGATCCGTATCCTCGACTACTTCTGTTTCAGTCAGGTCAAAAGTGTCTCAGTTTGTCAGGATTTAGCCATGTACGTGCATGGCTTGGAGAAGGTAGGAAGTGGGAAGCTTCACAGAGAGAAAGAACTACATATCCATGGACAGTATAAGTATCTGTTTCTGTGCTTGTTCATCAGTGTATTGGGAACAAAGTATGTACAAACAAAACTAAAGTACTCTTTGTTTCAGTCAAAAAAGTGTTACTAAGTCCCACTCAACAGGAATACAAAATTTGTGTCTATTTTATGGCAGCTAATTCTGGATTAGAGGCGTTCATCATAAGATCCAGAAAGATATGGTATTGTAGAAAAGATTATTTATGTATTAGTGGCCTGATCCCTTTCTTGATAGGGTATAAGAATGCCTGTAACAATGCTGCTTTTGTAGATTCTCCTGTAGGTTCTCTTTTGTAGGTGCTCCTAAAATAATTTCAGCTCTGTATTTCCTAAATAGTATTAATGTAAGCTATGTCAAAAATTAAGAGAATTCCCTTTAACAGGAAAGAAATCAAAGCAGTAAGTGAACTGGGAGCTGAGTATTAGATTTTGTTTCTTTTCCAGTTCCCACTTCAGAGAGCTTCAGAGCTCTAACTTCAGTAGCCATTAAGCAGTTCTGTTGCCCACTGGGTTTAACCTTGTTGTGGACAACTTGATATAAACTTTAGTGTTAATGCTTTATTGTGTAAGTACTGTGCAATTCTGCATTGGTATTTATCGAGTTGTAAATACTTCTAGTGTGGGTAGGTTTGACACTGTGCGAAAGCAGTGTGATTAGGAAGGAGAACCTGGGTAGGTTTCTTTGAAAGCCTGATGTAACTCAGTCTTATAACGTACAGCCCTGTTTTAAGAGACATGCATCTTCAGTCTTCTAATCACATGTTATGAAACTGTGATTGAAGAGCTGTCTTTTTCTGTATGACATCTGTGGCCATGACAGTATTGAATGTTGTAATATAGAGGATCTCTCTCCTCACCCACACCTGCCAATATAGGAGATTTATTGCATCTCTGCTTCTGCCTAGATGTGAGTGCACAGCTGCAAACAAGTAGCCTTTTATAAATCAGCTACAGTAAGGTGTAAGAAATTGTAACTACTCCTATGGCTTTCATTTAATAGGTTCAGGTTACTGTATACCTAATAGCGTAACTGCCCATAGAGGTTTCCAAAATATAGTAAGTGTTGAATAAATTGTAATGGTTGACCATTGTAAAACATTCAGATTTTATTATGCTAAGACATAGCACAGTGATCTGGAAACTTATGTGTTTGATGTGCTCCAAAAGCAGATTTATGGCTATTGCATGAACCAGCATTTTACAAAAAGTGGTCCTAAGTCAAATAAGAGCCCTTTATAAACACTGGGAGTGCACATGAGCACGAAGAAATGTTGGATGGTACATAAGTATTTTTACAGATTAAATGCTTGTAATTTTTTTTTTGTGCTAAGTGTTCTGATAGATAGCCTGAATTGTTAACCTAGAATGGATGGATACATGTAAGGCATAAGTGGAAGTTAGCTAAGTTCATACTGTAGTATAGTGAATGTGGTGTAAATTCTTTCTGTTCTGTTGCAGGGTCAGAGATATGTTGACCAATGTCATCAAAGGTGCTTCCAAGTAAGAACTGCTAAATTATTGTGGATTATTTTTTTTCCCATATTTTCAATAAAGAGTAAGACACTGCTTTTTTCCTCATGGATCTTGTTAAGATGATGATTTTTAACTTCATGAAATTTAAAGCATCCAGTTTTCATGAGTTTGTAGATTTAGAAGTTTCTCTCTGTTTGAGGTACATCATGAAATGTAGCCTTTTAGGAGCTGATGATAAAAATGAACAAAGGTTCCATACATAAATTAGGAGATTATTTAAGGTGAGAGATCCTGAAAGACTTGAAAATACTAAAGTACCTAGCTGAAATTGTCTGTAGGTATCTCTTACCTGAAAGGAAGTAGTTTCAGTGTTCCAAACAACAACGTTCCACCAAGACTCATGTGTCTTATTTTAAAAATTAGAAATCCAGAAAATATTTTTTTGTGATAATGAGATTTTTAAATCTGGAACACATGCCCAAAATTGCAGTATAGGTGTATTTTTACAGCAGCAGTTGAAGTTTTTAGAAACGGAAGACTGATGAAAAGATGTACTGGTCTGTAAGTGGTCTAGTACAGTTGTATTGTTCAGCTGCTTTTGTCAAATAAGACAGGATTATATTGCAGTATGTTTTGCTGGGAATGACTGGGATATCAACCTATATCTTTTTATGAAACTGAACACAGTTATATTCTCTCTTGTTGACGGATTTTCTTTCTTGAGCTCCTTAAAAGTTTGCACTGTTGTAGAAGATAGTACTCTTTGAAACCTATCATTTACTATGATATTAATGTTTTTGTAACACAGGGAGATAAATCAAAACTTTTTTTTCTTTAAAGCTGATATTTCAAGGATCGCTGCTCTGCTAAATCTCCTGATGCTGTTGCAGTGAAGTGACACCTGCCCCTCTAGCATTCTCCATTAGAAAAGATTTTTGGTGTGCCCTCTGTAGAGATGGTACTAGCTAAGACAACTGGTGCATTTCTGTGAGTGCTACTTGCTCTGCAGGATAGCAGTCCTCATTATAGTGGAAGGAAGCTTCTGGTTTTTTACAACTTTGTGTGTGCTTGGCTTTATATAAAAGACAGACAAGAAAAAAAAAAGACTGAAACACTTCTCTCCCCCATTCTTCTTGAATTCCTGAAGACTAAATGCAATAGATTTTTGCTGAGCTAGAAGACAGCTCAATAAAGTTTCTAGGTTCAAAGGCCTCCTGGACCACCTGTAGCATAACTTTTCTGCTCTGAGATGTGTGTTTCTACTAGCATCTCTATTGTATTTCTTAACTATTTGCCTCTTTCTCTCCAGAGACAGTCCAGTGGTGAAAGGAAACTCTATTTTTGCCTTAACTAGTCTTGCAGTCGCTGTAGCTAAATATGAAAGCAGCCTTTCCTCGGACACTGAAGGGGTGCCTGAGGTGAGTCAATCTGTGAGAGAGTCCCTATATTAGTAGGACATAATGAAATAATAAGACCAGGTGTTTGGGGGGCTGGAAAGTGGGTGTGAAGTACTTCACCTTTTCAAGTTCAAATTTCACCCTGCTCAGTGAATGCCATCTGGTAGCTGCTGTGTGATCTATACAAAAGCAGACCAGAGTGTGAATGTGCCTTATCACAAGACGCATAATGACTAACTCATTTATTTGTTGGTTTTGACAAATGAGATAGAGGTCATTCTATGGACACTGAAAACTGAACCAACCTCTTTTCTCATAATTTTTGGTTTCACTGAATGATACTTAATCAAAAGTAGTGTCTGGAGAGTCAGCATTGATAAGAATATATCATGCTACTTACAGTACATAGAAATGACAAAATAGCCTCATTCACAAAGAAGTACAAGTGGAACATCAGCAGCTGAGCTTCTTTTTATGTAGAACTTGATTTAAGAAAAGAAGAATGATGAATATTTGCGCTTGATTTTTGCAGACTGAACCGGATTTTATTCCCATGAAACACTGGATTTCTATGGTCACAGAGACCCTCTTGAGTATTGTGAATAGTCGCTACCAGCCTAAAGGTCAAGTCTTCCCATGGTTCTACCAGGTACATGCTGTGGTATTAGAGACAAGGCAGTATATCTGTATTTCATACCTGGAGTTCTTATCATGAAGTTTCATGCTTCTCTTTGAGCTGTAGTAGTTATAATACAGGAAAATCAAAATTTTTCTTGCTCTTGTTCTTTTTCTTTCAATGCTTTTATTTGTGGTTGCCTTAAATTTTTGTCTTTATTATCAAAATGGTAAAAACCACATGTAATGAATAAAGGAAATTTTAAAACCAAAAAACCCCTTATATATAACCTAGGATTTTTGGCTTGTTTATGCAAAGCAAAACCTTCAAACATGAACAGTCTCTCCTTAGACTCCGCTGTCAAACTCCTGAGGGATTCTCACGCCATTTCTGAGGACTCTGAAATGCATACTTTCTGAAAATCTAATAGTTATGGAGCAGGTGATTCTTATTTTACAATATCTTTTGAACCCCTTAGGGCCAGTAGAAGTTGTATCATATGTGCTTGCAGTGTAATAACCAGCCTGAAATTCTCATGCCATTTAAGTGTTAGGCAGTTCTCAAGTAGGACCTAGAGATGGACTGAAAGCTCAGTATAGACCTTAAAGAACAGGTATTGCTAACCCTTTACTATCTGTGGTCAAATGACCAAGTTGGAAATTCTTTGTGTCATAGATGCAGAGGAGAACTTGGGTTCTGCAAGGCCAAGTAACAGCCTGCTAGTGTATCATGATGATTTTTAACCAGAACTTCAGTAATTGCATTCATGAACTACGTTCAGTCCGGTAGTGAGATTTTATTATCAAAAGGTGAAAATTACTGATGGAACTGAGTTAGCTCTGGCATGTGACCCTCTGTCATCACTGAAAGGGGGCAGAGATCACCAAATAAATGACTGCTAGCTTGTTTGGGCATAAGAAGATTCAGCACTTGGTTAGCATGAGCAATTCTTGACAAATTGTTTTATGATTCATGCCTTTGAAAATTATGCTGTTTAAAATGGGATTTTGAGATGGAAAAATGTTATGTTTCATTTCTAAAATCCATCCTTTTAAAAAAATAAATCTTAGAATTTTACAAACATAAGGCACACAATAGAAATCACTGTCTTGTGGACCGCCTTGCATCCTGATGGGATATTTTTCTTTTCAGAGTTGCATGTGGAAGATGATAAATATACATTAGGCTATCACTTACAATCAGTCCATTACTTTATAAGTAGAGGCAGTTGTGTGGACTTTACCTTTCAGAATGGAAAGAAAAGGGATCTTTCTTTTAGAAAGCAACTCTGCTGGTTATCACAGAATCACAGAATGGATAAGGTTGGAAAGGACCACAGTGGGTCATCTGGTCCAACCTCCCTGCTCAAGCAGGGTTACCCTAGAACATGTGGCATGGGGTTACATCCAGGTGGTTCTTGAATATCTCCAGTGAGAAGACTCCACAACCTCTGTGACCAGTCTCTTTGCCAGTGCAAAGTCATCCACACAGTAAAGAAGTTCCTTGGCGTGTTCAGGTGGATCTTCCTGTGCATCAGCTTCTGCTTGTTGCCTCTTGTCCTGTTGCTTGGTACCACTGAGAAGATCCTGGATTCACCCTCCTGAAACGCTCCCTTCAGATACTGGTAGACACTGATGAGGTGCCCTCTCAGTCAGCTCTTCTCAAGTCTGAACAGGCTCAGCTCCCTCAGCCTTTCCGCATAACAGTCCTTTAATCATCTTTGTCACCCTGTGCTGGATCTACTTCAGGAGCTCCATGTCTCTCTTATTCTGAGGAGCCAAGAACTGGACACAGCACTCCAGATGTGGCCTCACTCAGGGCTGAGTAGAGGGGCAGGATCACCTCCTTTGACCTGCTAGCAATGCTTTTCCTGATGCATCCCAGGATTGCACTGGCCTTCTTGGTCACAAGAGCACTGCTAGCTCATGAACAGCTTGTTGTCCACCAGGATCCTCAGGTTCTTCTCCGCAGAGCTGCTCCCCAGCAGGTCGGGCCCCAGCCTGGAACTGGTACCTGGGTTATTCTGTTCAGGACTCTGCATTTGCCTTTGTTGAATTTCAAACAAGTCTCTGCCCATCCTTCCAACTTGTTGAGGTCCTTCTGAAGGGCTGCACAGCCCTCTGGGCTATCGGCCTCTCCCCCCAGCTTTGTGTCATCATTGAACTTGCTGAGGAGGCATCTGCCCCTTCATCTAAGTCACTGATGGAGAAGTTAAACAATACCGGGCCCATTATTGACCGTTGGGGGACACCACTAGTGATAGGCCTCCATCTAGACCCTCTGCCACTGATTACAGTCCTCTGAGATCTGCCATTCAGCCAGTTCCCAATCCACCTCACTGTCCACTCATCCATTCCACACTTCCTGAGTTTGCCTATGAGGATGTTGTGAGAGACAGTGTTGAAGGCCTTACTTAAAGTCAAGGTAGACAGTATCCACTGCTCTTCCTCATGTATCCAGGTAATTGTCCAATCATAGAAGGCAACCACTTTGGTCAAGCATGATTTCCGTTTAGTGAATCCATGCTGACTGCTTCTGATCACCTTCTTGCCATCCATGTAAATAGGGAGGGCCTCCAGAATGAGGCTCTCCATCACCATTCCAGGGATTGAGGTGAGGCTGACTGGCTGTTAGTTTCCTGGGTCATTCTTCTTGCCTTTTTGAAGACCAGGGCGACATTTGCTTTCTTCCAGTCCTTCCAGAACCTCTCCTGATCATCATGACCTTTCAAAGAAGACCATGAGCAGCCCAACTCTGGTGTCCATTAGCTCTCTCAGCACTCATGGATGCATCCCATCAGGGCCCATGCACTTGTGGATGTCATGATTGCCTAGGTGTTTTCTAACCCAATCCTCCTTGACCAAGGGAAATTGGTCTTCCTTCCAACATTCCTTTACCCTGGTATCCTGGGTCAGAGATTCCTGAGGACTGGTCTTGTCAGTGAAGACTGATGCAAAGAAGGCATTCAGTAATTATGCTGTATCTGCATCCTGTGTTACCAGGGTCCCCGCTCCATTTAGCAACAGGCCCACATTACCCTTAGTTTTCCTCTTATTATTGATGAATTTGGAGAAGCCCTTCTTGTTGTCCTTGACATCCTCAGCCAGATTTATTTCCAGATGGGCCTTGGCATTCCTTTTCTCATTTCTAGTTATTCTGACAACCTCTCTATATTCATTCCAAGTGGCTTGACCCTGCTTCCTGCATGCATGTAGGTCTCTTGCCCCCTTTGTGTGAATTCTTGCATTAGGATGCATCGCTCTTGAGGAGTTCCAAGGTCTTGTGATATTTTGTCATTCTAGGTGTGATGCATTTAAGGTAATACTTTTTCCAACTTGCTAAATTCTATGTGTGTTATATTTAAATAACACATAATGGCTGGTTTTTGTTTGCTCTTCTGATCATTTTGCTGGATATTTTTACAAGGTGGATGAAAACTAATGTAGACCAATGCATTTAGCTGTTAAATTCTAGTTGCATACTGTCTTATCATTTGATTCATTTCATACTTAACAATCTTATTTATACTTAGAAATTATATTCTGAATTGCCCTAGTTTTGTGCCGCTTAGAAGGTAAACCAAATGGAAAAGTTACAATAGGCAGTTTCATGAAATACTATTTATTGCAAGATTGAATACATTTGTGTTGCTTTTTTGCTCTATAGGTATTTATTTTAAATTCCTGAGGTGCTGAGTGTTACTACCTGGAAAGGAATTTTATTTCCTTCCTTCAAGAGGGAAGGGGAAAGAAAATCCTTTTTTTTTTTTTTTTTCTAGAAATCCTATTCAGGTGAAAATACTGCTAGTATTATAGCTCGTTCCTGTGCAGCCACAGCTTTGTCTCTCCTGGTGCCAGTTTTTATCATATCATGCAAGGAGAAGGTTGAGGAGATCCTGAATATGTTGACTGACAGGTTACCTGGGAAACCAAATGCTGATGAGTCTCAAGCTGTTCAAATCCACATGGGTCTTGGTTTGGGGATGTTTATCTCACGTTTGTATGATGAAAAAGTCAGGTAAGGATTATGGTGTGTAATGTAGTTGTGCAAATAACTTCTTTTTTTCTGCATGTGGCCTGAAGTTCTGAGGAATTAAAGTATTTATAAGTCATAGGCAAATGATTCTTAAGGGGCTTTGCAATATTTCTTAAAAAATGCTTGTTATTATCAGTCCTCACCCCTTGCCCCACCCCTTGCCAGAGCTGTCTGAGTATTTTTTCATTCTTTCAGGATGAATGATTGATTTTCATAATATCCTAAGATAAATGTTCAAAACAATCACTTAGAAGAGCCACACATATGCTTTTAAATGGGACTAGCTGCCCTAGAAGATTTAATTGTAAAATAATTCATAGTTCTCATTGGTTTCTTTCTAAGTAGTGCTCTGGACACTGGATAGTATCCATTTACATTGTGTGAATTACACATATGAGGGTGGAGCTACAACAGAAGTAGCGTAATGGACTGTCTTCAAAACGTGCTGCTACAGCTATGTAGGCAGCAAAGAGATGTTTTGCACTTGGTAGAAAATGCCTCGTTTTCAGAAGAGTTGGCCTCAGTTGAAAATTTCTGATGATTCCAAAGAAATTAAGAAAGTGAGTTCAGCTTTATACTCCTCCAGTTTCTTGATTTCTGGGGATCCTGTCTTCGTATATACCCATAACAAATGTTTAATTGGCGCACAAGCACAGGTATTGAACGGATTTGACTGGTAGTTGTTAATTTACTTGGTGAAGCTCATGTTTCCAAGGCATCTGCTTTTAAAATACTGTGCAGCATTGCTCAGTTATACTCTTCATGCTTTAGTGTCTAGATGCCTTGCTGCCACTGACTCGGCCACATAGTTTGGGAATGGACTATCTCTGGATGATTAATCAGTGGTGACAGCTGAGCTACACACAAGCGTTAAAAAGCTCTTAAAGAGAATAAAGGTAGATCAGCATGGTATTTTGGAGTATGCGGATCTTTATTTTGAGGGGTTGGGTTTGTTTGGTGAGGGATGTTGAGGTGAATACATTTATCTAACCATTTCTTATGGACTGTTTTTACTCTTCCACTATCCTGTATATTTTGAAAGCCTAATCTCGAACATTCTTCAAAGCATTGACTTGCAACAACAGCAAAACTCGTAGGGATGTCGCTATAGATAATATCAGGTCATAGGTTCCATTAAGAATGTCTGTTCATTAATAAAACTGTGTACATATTTTAGAAGAAAGGAGTCCCTATGACATCTTTGGAGTGAGATGTAAATGCTTCATTTTCTTATCAATAGGTTAGGCAATGAGATGGAGGGAGATTTACAGAACTAATAGTTTAAAATGTCATGAGTTTTCAGCTTATAAATAGTTACAGGTCTAGCTGAGATCATGTTTTATCAGAGTCTTCCTCTCATTGGATTTTTTTTGTTGTTGTTGTTTCTCTTTTGGTTTGGTTTTGTAGTGATATACCTGGTCAACAGATGAACTTGGTTCTGATGAAGTCCCTGGATATGCTGGAGGACTGCTGCTTTGACACCAATCTGGAGTACACGTGAGTTTCCTTTATTATTTATGAAACCTTATTTTGAGCTCCACCTTTTTAACTCATGCTTTTATTCCTTAATTCTACACAGAAGAGTATAAAGATAGGATAAGGAGACAGCCTGTTTTCAATACTTCTACAGAATCACCAACTCATACAGTCTGGAAAGGACCTTTGGAAGTCCACTTGACTCAGTCATGGACTTGGGCTACATTGCCCAAAGCTTTACAGTCAGAGCGTGAAACCCCCAAGGTTGGAGAACATGTCTCTGGACCCTGGCTCTGCTTTTGGACTGCCCTTATCTCCATGTGAACATCTGATGTTTCAGCTTGGGCCCACTGCCTTTTGGCCTCCCACCATGTAAGAGCCCAGAAACATATCCTCAATTCTTTTCTGTCATTGCTTGAGATAACTGCTAGGTGCCCCTCAAGCGACACATATATGTGTACAATACAGTGTGAGCTACAGGAGCAGCTACCTCATTTAGCAAATTTATCTGGGAGAGCCATGTCATTAATTTAACAGCTGTGGATGGCATGTTGAATACTGAATGAAACAAATATATTTGATTAAACCAACTGAAGCTATGCCTCAGATGTCCCAAGGAGAGCAGTGGTCCACCAACAGGGCAAGAAATTATTGAAAGGCATTGCACGATTACTAGGATTGACAAACCTGGAAAAAAGCACATCTGTCAGTTGTCATTAGACATCTAACATAACATGGTCATGTGTTTCTTCCACAGTAGTCATTTCCCTTTCAAATCAGGGAAGAACTGCAGTATCTTGAGCGCCTCAGTGTGGGTGCATAAGGTTTTCTTTGATTTTGAGCATTACTTCCCTATTCACAGGAAACAGCAATAATTCCCTTTTGCCTTTGCTCTCCCTTCTCCAGGGGACTTTCTGAAAAGCTGTGAGGTGTCACAGCTGTGCACCATTGGGCTGTGAACCTATATAGCTTAAGTGAGGATTTGTGTTGTCTGTTGAGTGGCACAGAGTGAGACACACAGTGCACAGGGGATGTACCAGCTATGCCCCTTTGTTATACCTATTGCTGCTAGTTTGTGCAGCCTATTAGCTGGAGATCAAGGCCTCATGGAAAAGCCAAGCCAGACTTCTCCGATGGTGAGAGATGCCAGAAGAATATGAAACAATGGCAAGCAAGAGAGGGAAGATTGAAGGGTGGGGTAGTTTTTTATGCCTGTGGTTTTTAAAGGTTAAGAGTAAGTTGGTGTCTAGTATGAGCATTCTCTGTAAGCAAACAAGTAGTGTAAAGCTGTAAACATTGTGGACTCGTCCAAATTTTGCATTTCCGCACTTGTAAACTGCTATTCCAAAGGAAGGTCCTTTCCAGCCTTTTCATCCAGTGTGACACGGGCGTGGCCAGCTGTGAGACGTGAGCATTACACTGACCTTCTCATCAGTGTTTCACCCCTTCTAAACTGGTGATTCTCTTTTTCTCTAAAAACAGGCTGTCTGTTTTGAGCTTAGGTTTGTCAAGCAGCACAGGTGTGGGAGTCGGTGCTGGCTGGACTCAGATTGCCCCCAGTGGGAGGCAGGGCTCCCAGCACCCTGGTGCTCTGGCAGTATAACACTCAGAATGTGCTGGTAAATCTGAGGTATCATGTGAATAAAATGCACTTAAATACTCATTTTATGTAGTTCACAAACAAGGTGGCCAAGTGAAAGTAATTGTTAGTTTAAAAAAATTGTTAGTTTTAAAAAGGGGAGCAAAGTTTTAGTCTTGCTTTAGTCCCCACTATGTTTTGAGTCTCTATTAATAGAGTCAGTAATATAAAATTATGTAGCTCTAATGAGTAATTCCATCTTCTGTGTAGTTTTCTCAACAAGCAGTAGTGTAAACTTGGGTATAGAACTCTTGTGTATAAGCCACATCCTTATTTTTGTTGGCTGTTCATGAATTCAGATACACAAGTTGCTTAAAAAGGTTTATTTGATTTTCTTTGCTGGAAAAAGATACCACTGCCAAGACACCACTCCAGGTCTTCTAGCCATGCTCAGTCATCTTCATCCACAGTTACTGTAAAACATTAGCTTATAAATATGACTGAAGTTATTCTCAGAAGTTTCTTTTTCACCTAGCTGAGTAAAAGCAGTAACTCTTTCCATTTTTAAGTTGGATAGGAGAAGCTTGGAAGAATGCCTAAGATCCTAGCCACGTTCATTTGACTGCTCACTGCCCACTACATGCATTGTCAGGGAGATGTGTGAGGGGGAAAAAATTATCTTCAGATAAGAGTTGTTTCTTTGAGCTATTGTGGATGCGTGCCAGTGAGAGATCACTGTCAGAGTATTCGTGATGGCAGCCAGAACTGTTTGAGAGTGTTCTGACAAAACTGATGACTTGGAACTTGCTATGGGTGCACAGGTACAGAATTTAATAAGAGTTCTCTGTTCCAGAATGGAATTTCTGGTCAAATATGATAAAGAGGCAGAGACTATGAAGCTGTTTGTGCCAGATGCCCTGTTAAATTATATGCTTTGAAGCTGTGTTCTTGTTGCAATTTTAAATATCCAGAGCATCAGTTAGTCGTGCTAGTTATGCCTGCCCTGATGAAGCTGATCCACTGTTGCATATGCATATGAAACAACCTGTTGCAGGGGTCTGACAGCACCAGATTCTAATATAGCCAGTGAATCTGCAATTAGTATGTTTAACGGGGATATTCAGACTTTATACGATCAGGATAAATCACGCTTAAAAGTTTGGATCCGTACTTCCTTCATACTAGCTGATGTAGTTGTTGTTGGAGTTATTGGTTCTTAAGAGGCAGAAGGAATAATGGGCTGTATGTGTAGGATTTGTTATTTAAATATACATTTTCTTCTTATGTTCTTCTTTCATCCTGTGTCTCCCAAAAAACGTGTGTGAAATAAAAATCATTTGTAAAATCGACTATGGTAAGTAATTATACACATAGGGCTAGAAGTCTTCTTACCTAGCAACCTATGTTGGGGTTTAAAGAGAGTTCAGAGCAGCCAAAATGTACTTAATTGGTTTTTCTTTTGTTTTCTCTTAAAGCACTGGATGTATTTTAGGAGTAGGACTTGTTCTTTCGTTCATGAGCCACAGTAGCCAAACAGAATCGCGAGTGCATGTTTCCGCTTCATTGCGAAAACTCTGCAAATACCTGGACAGCAGTGAGGACCAAAGCAGATGGGTCCAGGAGGTATGAACTCTTTCAACACAAATTTTAAATCTTCCTTTTACTTTGTTGCCTCCCTTTAATAACTATAGTCTTTTTACTGAAGCTTTTTCTGTCTGTAGTACTGAAGTGCTTGATTTGTGTTTTTTCTTTCACAATATGTGGGTTTATATCTGCTGAAAAAACAATAATAGTAATAATAAAATAACCTGTAATTCTACACAGACATTAAGAATCTGCCTGAAAAGATAACAGCCCTTTGAAGGGCTTCATTAATTCCTTAACCCTAAATTAAATTGTTGAAAGTTGGGTCCTGAATAACTGTGGATATGGGTCCACATTGTACATATGGATATGTACAATTGTTTACTGCTCATCTGATCTACTAGAAAGCAGACAGCATGTTACTCTGAGAGAGAACCTTAATGCTAATACTTCCTTCTTCAATATGCCCTCTGTATCCTTTGAAAGCTGCTGTCACTAGCTAATGTGAATCTTGTACCTGTGCATGCTGCTATGGCCCTATTTGCTATTGTCTTTGTAAGTGTGTTTTAAAGACTTAAACCGAGTTCTGCTAAATTTGAGCATGCATTTCAGGGTTTTTTTCCCCCAGGATATGTCCTGTAAGTCTTGATACAGCCTGTGCACTTAGCCTATAACACTGTTGAGGTAAAACTTGATAATGAAAGCTGGTGAAATTGAAGAGTTTGCAACAGAAAACAGTCAGAACAAGCAGGTGTTTTGCACCCAAAAAGCAACCCTCTCTGTACGTGATGTATGTAAGCCCTCAGCAGCTGAACAGTTGAGTTGCATAATCCTCTGTTTTTCCTAAGGGAGTTAATAGGGACTGATAGTATTATTCTCTTCCTGCTCTTAGTATTGTTCTGAAAGCCCTTTATTAAAGGTCTTCTTTGATGGAGTTTAATTTTTGCGGCAGTAAGTCTGTGTTGGGGATTAGCCATTTGCAGTTTATGTTTCATGCATTAAAATGTCTTACAGCTATGAAATAATATATCTGTCACCAGAGATCTTCAAGTGCATTACTGAGTTTAAACTGATTTCAGTACAGCAACTTCTGAGATTAAAGGTAGCAGCTGTTTAACATCATGAGATAGTTTGGGATGAGAAGCAAAACCTACCCTTTCCACATAAAATCTCTGTAAGGAATTGTACAGAAAATTACATGAATAAAGTTTGGCCAGCATCCTAGGATGAATGAGAGGCACAAGAGGCTCTTCCAGAGCTGTAAATGGCTGGGATATAATCCTGTACTTGAGAGGTAATTTTGGCCTGCTGTAGCAAGAGGTGCAATCTGAGCATTACTGCTCCAAGCCAAATTGTTGTCCATCCTGCACAGTAGGTAGGTGCTCTCTACTTTCCCTATAGTCATGTGTTCTTCTGCTGCTTAACTTTGGTACAGAGCAGGTTAAGCAGTTGGCACACTTGCCTTGTTACCTTGTTGAGAGTTCAGTGTTTGTTTCCTTATTCTCCATAACCAAGACAGAAAAAAAGAAAAACAGCGTTGCTGGTGCATCCTTCTGCAAGGACAGGAGGCTAGTGTTGTGGGCTGTGTGTGAGGGAGAGTTCTACTATGGGCTCATTTTCTGGCCTGGTGGACCTAATTGTAGCCCTTATGGGATCACAGCATGCTGAGTATGCTTACATAAATAATGATCAGCGACTTGTGTTGAGGAGAATACCTACATTTGTGTGGGAAGTCAGAAGTTTGACCTCTGTAAAATCAGAAGTACTACCAAGCTTTAGTTGTATTTGTTTAACATTAACATTAATGAAGAATCTTTCAGAGAGAATAAACATTGGAAAGTATAAATTGACAAAGTTATGTCTTCTTATCATGCTGGCAGGTTATTCATTGTGAATGTTGCTACAGTGAATTTTATTAGAATTAAATCTTTTTCAGGTGCTTGCATATTCAGTGGCCTGTTCCTGTGTCTCTGCTTTCAGTGTTGGAATCATAGAAGCAGCTGAGGCTGAGGAGGCCATGAACAAGCTACGGACCTTAGCAGAAAATAACCAGCAGGTGCTTGGGTTTTGCTTCAGTTCTGTTTTTCTCTTATCTATTTAATATTGGATTCTGCTTTACCTAGACTGTAAGTCTAGGAATTATACTGATCTACTTTCATCCTTAACAAGTGTTGAGTGTGCTGTGCATACGATGCGATTACCAAGGCTACCACTTGATTCACTGATGTGTTGCCTACAGGTGTAGGCAATTACCAGATGGTGAAATAAAGGCAGGTTTTACGTGTTTGATTTCATTTAAAAGGGAAGTTGGTATTTTTGAGTTCGTCATGTCTTTAGTCCCTATATCCTGCCAATTTTTGTCTCTTTTATAGCATGTTTCTTAAAAATCTTTTTCTTGGTAGAAAAATACGTCAACTGTGCTCTTCTGAATTTTTGCTTTCCCTTAGCCTCCAGACAATACATCATAACCTTAGCCACAGCTTCCTCCAGATGTATGTTTCATCCCTAGTGTCCTAGGGTACCCCCAAAAAATGCAAAAAATAATCTCCATATCTTAGTGCAGGTTCTTTTCTGTTAAATGTTTGCCAGGAAAAAAAGGAGCCAGGAAGAGGCAAACATTGTGAATCAAAGCCTGGTATTACGCTAATCAGCTGTTCAGAATGTTCATCTGAAAAATAGGAAGTCAGAACAACCTGTGCTACAGCTTTTTATCGCCATATCAGAAAGTTTGCTCTAAAGTAAAGACTCTGTATGCCAAAGATCAGTATTTAATCTCAGAAAATCTCATGATGTTTGACATGAGAAAACACTTGAAATAAGCAAGCAATCCGGTGTTTTGGACAATGACATTGCTTCTAATTATTGGGAAATAATAAGTATTTAGGTAAGGTTTCCATAATAAATGTTTAAAAGAATCCTTTGTAAGATCTGTTTTTTAATGTGTCCTTTTCATCTTACAGATCTACAGTTTTGCTTTAGCTTTAGGTGCAGTAGTACATGGATTGTCATCTTGTGGTCATGGGAAAGCTGAAGACCTGAGTAACAGACTGATACCAGCCTGGATAAAAATTGTGCTTGCTGAGGTAAAGGAGTTTGAATTAATATGCTGGGTTTGTACTTGTTGCTTTGAGTTGGGTTTTGTTTGCTTGTTTGTTTGGGGGCGGGCAGTGTGTCATTTAAAATTAACAGTAGGGACATAATTTTCCTTTCTTCTGCAGGAGTGGTGCTAGGAAAAGTTACTGCTATCTAAACATACTGTTTAATTGATATTTGGAAGCAAAAATACATCTTTGGGCTGTTTGCTAAAGGAAAAAAAACCTGTTTCTCTTCTGCTCAGATGGTTTATGAGAAATGCTTATCTCAATGAGATCTTAATTTGGACATTTTTACTAATTTGTAACGATGTCCAAGGATAAAATCTAAATTATTAAATGAAAGTGTTTTGTGAAATTAGGTGGTGCTTGTCAAAATTAGACTAAAAGAATAGTGATTATATTGCCTTAGTTGCTACAATAATTTTAATTTATCTTGTTAGAAAAGTCAGATGTTTGAAATCAAACTCCAAACTTACACATTAAGATTGCAGCTGAAGGTAAGTATCAGTAAAGAAGCAGTGTTTTAGAGTTGAATTGCACTGGTGTATTTTGTGGAGTACAGACTGTGCTAGGAAAAAAAGTGATTTATCAATCTGCGATGATTTCAGATTTGGGGGAGTGAGAGAGAAGCTCTGTATAAAGCCTTCACTCATCAAGAGACGGATAAATATTATCTACCATACTGGAGTCTGACCTGAAAAGGCTGTTAGGATGAGAGGTGTACAATAGTTATGGTTTTTAAGTTGGAAGAAACAAGTATTTTTTCCTACAGTAGTGTTGTGTGATAACAATGACTCACTAGTCCTGAATTATTCTTCCAGGGTTCTCCAACAATGGAGCGTCTGGCTGCCGTCAGTGGGCTGGTTGCACTGGTGGGTTCTGAAGGAGGCATGATACAGGTGAGAACATGCAAGCAAATGGTACCTTAATCTCATGGAGAAGTTTGGCTTGAAGACAAGATGGAATGCATCTTCTCCATTTTTACGGGAGTGATTATATACCAGGGCATCACATTTTTGCAATAATTCGTATTGGGTATGAGCCAAGAGATATTGAATTGCAGTGGGTAAAACTGGGTCTGTTCCATGTTCCCATCATATGGCCCATGTGCAGTGCCACTGGGGAAAACTTTCCAGCCATGTGAGCTTTCTCCTTTTCTCTTCCACTCTGTCACAAAAAGGCATGTGTGCAAATGTAATCTGTCTTTTCAGGACCTGTTCTCTGTTTTGTTACATCTTTTTTTTTTTTTTTTTTTTGGCAGCTGAAATCTGAGAGCGTGCAGTCCTCACAGTTTCAAAGTAAGCTGAATGAAGTCATCAGAGCCCTTACACAGGTAAGAAGGTGGTCTCTCTTTCCTGCTTTGGATAATCCACTAGTGTACTGTGACACCTTGAACAAACAAGTCAAATTTGTTTGAAGAAACTACATAATGTCTGTGTCCAGCTTGAATGAGGCAGTGTAGGGAAATTTGTTCAACTTGTGGTTTCTTGTCTCAACAGATAATCAGTTTCTCAGGACAAGTTGGCCTTCAGACAAATGCAGCAAGACTTCTGGGATGCCTTCACATGTCCTGTTTGTCTTCTACCCGGAACAGGGCATCCGGTAAGGTGTTTTATTATTGCTCCTTAAAGAACATGCAGAAATAGCACATCGCTAAAAAGACATCAAGGGACACGTTACAGGCTTGACATGGCAGCCTTATTTAGTAACATGACAGCCTTTGAACTGGAGGTCTCATGGTCCTGTGTGCCAGCTCTAAAGGTTGAAGTGTGAAGCAGGAATCTGTGTGCTCAGTAGGATCTCCTGCATCTGCTTCTACCTGCAGATTGAAAGTAAGGTTCTAAGTTGTTCTCATCAAACTTGTATATTGCTTCTATATTTTTTTTAATAGGATAAACTGTAAAGAAGTTTTACACAGAATATGGCGCATGTGTTCCACACCTACATTATCCACTCTGTGCCTTGAAAATGGATTAATCTATTCTTTGTTTTAACACTTCCCACTGTATGAAAAAGTCCATACTTCCAAACTAGTCCATAACAAGAGCAAGCTGACTTTTTAGAATTGTCTTCTAGAAGATATCTTCTCTGGTTAGCTGAAGTAAACAAACTAGTGTTATGTGCCCTAGTCAATATATCATTACCTTCTGGTGTTGTTTCAATATCCATTGGTAAAATACAGGCAGGATTATGTCATTGATGAAACTATAGGCAGAAACTAATGAAGTTGAACCTGTTCACTTTGGTGTGAACTAAGTTGGGAACCAATAACAGAAAATGTAGATAAACTTCCTCATCTCAGAAAAAAAGATTGTCTGAATTTTGACACTCATGCCTGAGGTTAGATAGGTATAGAATGTCACTGTTGTATTAAATTTACTAAAATTTTGAAGCTCTCCCTTTCAAAGCTCAACTTGCATTGCCCAATATTTTTTTAAGGAAGTTCTTATCCCTGACTTTTTAGTTGGTGAAAGAATTTTTTTTTTTCAGACCTGGCACTTCTCACCACTTCTCACCACCAGAAATGTTCTTGCCTTAGAAGTGGAAAGGCAAATGCATCTATCAGTCTTGTGCTCCAAATACAGTCACCTACAGAAGTAGTTAGCTCAAACATTGCTCAATTTGGTCTTTAAAAGTACATGGGAGCAGAAGGTTATAATTTTTTGCTGATGATGTTTTAGAATATAAACAGTCCCTTTGTCTTCACAGTTCCTCCAGATTTTAGCTACTTACCTGTAAACAGCTTTATCAGGGCAGCCATTGACTTTGCCATTGAAAGTGGAAAGAAAGGTAAGAAAAGATAAAACTATAGTATTCCTCTGGGAAATTTCTTATGACTCTTAAGGGTGACCCTAATGACCTGCTTTTATTTGCTAAGAGAACTTTTCTAAATACTAATTTGGATGTTACTGATGCGGGATATTTTAACACAAAAATGAGTAACACTCAAAAAGATAAGGTGGAATTGTGTAGCTAGGTCTTTAGTTTTCTCCATTTAATTTTTGACTTCTTTTCCGGGGGTGAAATGATGTATCTTCCCTGTGGGAATGAAAGTCAAATCACTTTAAGCATTAGCTTGTGTCCTTGGGAATACTCCATCATCAGACCAACTTTATGCTGCTCCTTACTTTGGTAATCCTAGGTTAAGATTCTCTGTAACAGTGGTATTCTAACAGGTTACTACTATGTGTGATAAACACAAAGGAGCCTGAAGAAAGTATGGTCTTATATGAGGAAGGCTGATAAAGGTAGATGTCTTGGAGTAAAGTCTTAAGGGAGATAAAGCAGGGAGGATTACTCCTTTGTGGAGCTAAGTGAACTCACTGCTGTCCTAAGAAGCAAGTTTTGCTCCAAATGGATGTTAAAAATTGCCCATGCTTTGCCTCCAGGAGAACCGTATTAACTTGCTGTGTGGAAGTAACACAGTATGTAGCAAAGGTTAGCACTTACCTGACAATTTTCGTGGCCTGCACCAATAAGATGAGGAAGGAGAGCAGCGTCAGAAAACTTTGCTGTTCTCCCAATAGCAAATGCAAAAATACTATCTTACTAGATGAGGAATATCTGTAATTAACTCATAAATTGACTCAAGAACAAGTAACCAGAAAGTTTCTGTTTACCAGTAACAAAAAGCCATTTTAGACAGATTAATTTTAAAAATACAGCAGTTGATTATAAACAAGACATAGCTAATTCTCAGATGCAAAAGGAAGTAACAATGATTTCATAATGCTTTTCAGTTCTTTGTTACAGCTTGAACTTCAATGCAGTGTTCACAGTTTTTGGCTGAGTTGTTCAGCCAAATGTCTGTGTATAAAATTCAGGCTCTGATTGAATGTTCTGTTCTAGGTCCTGAAGCTGTCCCAGCTGAGCTGGTGAAAGCAGCATTGGCACCCATTGCATTAATTGGAGAAAGCCATCAGTATCCACCTGTAAACTGGGCATCAGTTCTTTCTCCTTTGATGAGGCTAAACTTTGGTAAGATTAATAGTTTTCTCGTAAGTCTTTTGTATTTGTCACAAGACTTCTTTACTAATGCAGCATTCACAAACTTTAGAGTCCACTTAGGGACTTGAAGTTAGCGCAGTTATTAAGTGTTTACTATGCTTTCAGGACCAACTTTTTAATGTTTGCAAGCATGTATTTGTGATCACCATGTGGACACTGCTTTAACACAAGAAAAAACTAAAGAAGATCAGAACTGAGAAATTTAGAGCAGTATTAGAAATTCCCTAAAGCACTGGTGAAAGTAGTCTGAATATTTCATTTGAATTATTTACTGTAAGAAGAATCCATCATGAAACAACATGAAATTGTATCCTATTTTCAGTATCTGCTAAATGCTTGGTCCAGTGTCCATGTCAGAGGCTACAGGCAACTTTTTCACATATTTGAACTACTTGGTAGTTCATCTAGCTATCACTAGTTTGAAATATACTCTCTACTAAATTCCACTGGCTGACAGCTTTAGAATAATTGAAAGAATTTCCTATACTGAGCTCTGCAATACTTATGAATAGCTGAAACTTGTTAAATGTATGAGGGATTTTTTTTCATTCCTGTTTTTCGCTTAGGAGTCTTACTTTTGTAAATGAGGGAATTTCCATAGGAAACAGTACATTTGTTTTCTTTTTAGACTTCAGACAGCATCATAGTCTACATTTTTATGCATAAGTTTTCTTCAGTAGTGTTGTAGAAGTTGCACATCCTTCTCTAGATTATAAATGCATTCAGAAATAGGTCTTTCTATGTGCTAATGAGCATATTCATTTTGTACTAGAAAGTATAATGCAGAACAATTGTATTATGACCTAACAGTCCACCTAGAAATGTGATACTCTTAGACACTTTTCTCTCCAGCAGCTGTATCATGAATATGTTTGTGAAAATTAGACTACATGCTCAGTTCTGTCGGATACTCTATGTTACTCATGTCTGAGAATTCATGACTGGTTTTGTGAACCCGAAGTGTTTCACAGATTCTACTGTGAAGATTTGTTCACATATAAACATGGAAGACAACAGATTGCTTTCCCGTCTTCCAGGGTTTATTGTAGTTGTTGCTGAGCAGAAACCATATTACATGATTGTAGTACTATGTTTTTCTTATTCAGTAGTGCTCTGAAGTGAACAGTCTTAGGCAAATCATGCATCTTATGTGTCATAAGATATATAATCTTATAAACTGTTCAAGATAGAATTATTCAGTTGTTATCTTGTTAAAATTTCACCCTTTCCAAGCTCTGCAAATTATTTAGTTTCTTTTATAAGATATTTTATTTAGAAGAACCTGACACTGCACTCTTAAATTTTTGCTTTGTTTATGCACTAATGTTAGTGAACTTTATAAAAGTCATACTGTGTTGATTGTCTCTTTCATTACTTAAAGAACATTTGCATTTAAGCAATATTTAAGCTTTATGCTGATGTTTAACAGTAATGGATCTTCTGTCTAATGGGTCAAATGCCAGTATAATACTTAAATTGTTTGCCTTATGTTGCTGTAGCAGTCATGAACTATATTGAACCCATGCCATTGCTCAAAGTACCTCTTCATCATCTTTATGACCAGTCACTCTATTAAGAAAAGGACTGTACCGGTCATTAAGAGGACTTTAAAGAGAAAAAAGTAAGGATTCCATAACCATCCTAGTTTCTATGCAAATTAAGGTCTTCCCATGTGCTAACCTGGAAAATGTTGCAACCAACCACCCACAGCGGTAATGGTGATTAACCTCTGTTTGTGACATATTATATGGACATGGGGTACTTAGAAGAGTAGGAACATGTGAACAAATGGTAATTACTCCTGCATTTGAGAGGAAGGGATATTGACTCATCTTTCCTTCTGTGGATTAAATCTTATCTTTATTTGGTGAAGAGGGTTTTTTTTTTACTTTTCTTAGCATTCCCACATTTTTGTTCTTGAGTGAATTGAAATTAACTTGGACAAATGCTGAGATTTCTTGCTGGAAGTGCATGAATGGGAAGAGGATTCTTCTAACATGTTAACATTAAAAGCCTTAAGTAGCACTTCTAGAAAAATAAGTTGTAATGTAGTGCTCTAGTAAAACAATAGCCCTTTTATTTTATGACTTGAGAACAAATTTAAGGCGGAAATAATTTCTTTGTAACTTACGTTTGTTTTCTTCTGTTGTAGGTGATGAGGTAAAACATCTCTGCCTTCAACTGGCTGTGACACAGGCCCAGTCATCTAAAAATGCAGCAATGCTTTTGGGCATGTGGGTGGCACCTCCTCTTGTCTACAGTCTCAGTGTATGTATGTCAGAAAACTTGTGGGAGTTCAGCACCTCTTTCCTATAGAATTCCTCAGTCATGATATTAAGAATGTCTCACCAGAAAAGGATTACTGGTTTCACAGTTCTTCAGAAATACTGTTTAGCAAGTGTTTATAATGAGAGAAATGTTATTCTGGGGCCTTGAAATTCAAGGCAGACTTAAGATCTGGTACACTGGTTTTACATTACTGCTTAAGACCTTTTTCCTCTCTCATTTTGTGCTGTAGCTCTGACAACCTGGAGACATAAGAAGAGATGGTATGTAGGGAGAAAAAGTATCTTTTATTATACCAGCTGATTGTATTAGAAAAAGGTCCAACTTAATCTGTGCAGAAGCTTACCTGCTTCTTCTAGCATTGTCTCTTGATCTAGTAAAATACATTATGTCTTGAAAGCGTTGTCTTAATTCTGTAGATTATTGACAGCAGGAGCTCTGGAACACACGCAGACGATCAATATGATCAGCAATGTCCAATTTATTATTTAAATGAGTTAACTTTTATACAGTTTAGTTTCTTCCGGGTACGTGCTTACAACAAGGTGATCGGATAACTCAGTCTGTGCACGCGTCTCATGCCTTCAGTTCATTTGTTCTGAAGCTCTGTCCATGCGGCCTGACATCATACGTGCCACCCAAAGTCCCTCCTATCGATCCGCCTTTAGGGACTTTCCAAGATTCTGCAGGTGTCTCTTTATCTCCAGCTTTCCCACAACTTTCTACTATAAACATACTATTTTCTCATACCTTATAACTATAAACACACAACTAACAAGTATAAACTCACATAGTTTCACACAGTCTGTAAGTATAAACACCACACAGCTTGCAACTTCCAAAGTTATGTCAAGCAAGACCTACAAAAATGCAGGAGAAATTGTTCACACAATCCTGATCTCCCAACAGTAGATACCCAGTAGTAGTAGTTAGTAGAGACTAACCTACAGTATGATCAGATTTGGGCTTATCCTCCATTATTTGGGCTTATCCTCCTGTTCTTCTGGAGGTACAGTGTGGACTCCATGGTACAGTATGTAAAACTCTCTTAATTCCACAGTAGGCTTGACTGCACAGTTCTGTCAGTTTATACAAGTTCAGGAGCAGGTTTGTGACAATTCTCAAAAAATTCATTGTGTATTTCTGTGACCTATTACAGTTCTTCAAGGGGTGTTTTTGTCTTATATTTTTTGATTCATTAGTCTTAAATATGTAAACAGTTGGTGGAAATGATAAGATATATAATTGGTAAGGTATCAAAAAAAAAGATTTTGTTTCTGAGCACCACATTGCCAGCTGCAGTGGGAATTTGAGGTCACAAAATCAGGTTAGCCAGTGTGTAAGCTCTGCATTTCTTACCAGTAGGTATTCATTCTTCCTCACTAGCTGGCAACATTAATGGTGCCGTGACTACAATACTTCTGTCCTTGGCTGTCTAAAGTGTCTGTATGCTTTGTGTAGGAATGCAGTGGGCCCCATGTAGTAAAATCATTCTATCCATACAGAGATGTGGTATTTAGGGTTCATTGAAAGTAAGTTCCTTGATTTTTAAGGAAAACAGAATGTTGACATGTTTGAACTCATCAAAAGTGGGAGGAAAAAGTGAGAGGTATTGTGATTTTAAGAGTGCTTTTTTAAGTGGTTTTTAAGCCACTTTTTAAATAATTTCATCCTTTATAACAATAGTTCAAAGTCAATGAAGAGGTAGAATCTGAAACTGAGTTAAAGTTTTTCCTTTTCAGATGAAAACTCAGAAGTACCTTTTCATGTCGCTGTCCCTGTGGATGCAACACGTTGCGGAAGACAAACTGCAGTCTTTTACAGAAGTGCTTCTGATACAACAATTTGAAGTGAAGAACCGCACAAAACCCCCAGAAATTTGCCAGTGTGTTCTACATGGGCTTATCCAGGCAATGAAACTTCCCAACCCTGCCCAGTTTTGCTGGAGCTTTCTGTGCCAGGCGGTGGAGAAAATATATGAGCTTCTTCCAAATGAGGTTCAGGTAAGGAATAAGTATGAGGTGTATGAACATTGTAGCTAGATATTTTTAGTGATGGTAAGTCCCATCTTTTTGCACCAACCCATCAGATTTGAAAAATGAATTAGTTGTACAATTTTTAATGATAATAGTTAAAATAGTAGCATAATTTCAACTGAAGTTACTTTTGGTTACTTCAGAATATGACATTGTGAACCCAGTTTAATGTGTGCTTCTCCCTCGTAAGTGATTTGGTAATGGAAAAATACACTATTAATGCTGAAATAGATGTTATTGAAACAGAAGCAGACAACAATTAGAAGGCTTTATTTTTTTTTTTCTCCACAAGCATTCAGTTTTTCACGGTGATTTAAAGAAGCTATCTAGCTACAGGTAGGCAGGAGGTAGAAAATACCTCCAAGGAAGGGCACTTTTTCATTAAAAATAAAACAAGCTCTTTGAAAGTATTCAACTGCCATTATTCTTGTATAATAAAGTACACTGAATTCCCCAGCAAATACAGAATTTCTAAAATAGATTAAGTAAAATGAGTCTTGAGACTAGAATACTGGAAATAGACATTTAAATATGCATTTACTTTTCTGTTTGCAGAGAGATGAACTGGAGATGTATATTGATGTAGCAAAATGTATCTCAGAAATGGCTGATTCAGAGGTTGATCGCATTGTCCAGATCTCAAAGGTAATTATGTTTTGATTCTGGTCTTTTATCACCAAATCACGCAAAACAAGCATACTTTATCATTTTGTTGTCACCAGACTCTTTTAGCTCATTAACAGCATTAATTGTCTTATCTGCTATGCAAGTAAGAGTGTTATGGATCTAATCTGCAGGCAAAAGTGCCTACAGCAAAAGTGCAAAGAACCCATATCCAAAACTTTCTCAACTGAAATACTGCTGTTTTCACCTTGGATCTTTGAACTTGGGAGAATTTTAAATAAGTTGGTCAGGTGGGGGTTGGCCTCTTCTCCCAGGCAACCAGCAATAGAACAAGAGAACAGAGTCTTAAGCTGTGCCAGTGGAGATTTAGGTTGGACATTAGGAAGAATTTCTTCACAGAAAGGGTGAATAGGTATTGCAATGGGCTGTCCAGGGAGGTGATGGAGTCACTATCCCTGGAGGTGTTTAAGGAAAGACTGGATGTGGCACTTAGTGCCAGGGTCTAGTTGACAAGGTGGTGTTTGGTCACAGGTTGGACTCAATGATTTCAGAGATGTTTTCCAACTTAATTGATTCTGTGATTCTGTAAAGTTACTTCTGTTAGCCACACAGGAATGATGTTAGATCTTCTTAATCCCAGATTGATGATGCAAACTGCAAACCGTGGTCCTCTTTGGTTAACATAACCACCTACTTGAAAAGGAGTGTAATTGTATCCTGGTGATTAGCTGTTCTTGAACTGGTGGATCCATGGTTCTCTTAAAAACGTGAAGTAATTGACTGGACATCCTTTGATTCTTGACTCTTGCTATATTTGCATTCACACTTAGAATGTTTCCTGATTAATATGGAATCAATTAGCAGTGGAATTCTTAGAGCTGAAATGCTAAGGAAATGACCTGTGTGGAAACACTTTATGGTTTCTGAACAGGCTTTTATAAACAAACATCCACGACTTAAAGCTGTGCTGTTCTTTTTGCTAACAGACTCACTAGAGAATCAAACATTCAAATAGTTAGAGAAGCTGAACTGTCATTTCCTTGTATTTTTTAGTTCTTATTTCCACACTGGAAAACACCATTTAAGAAAACCTCTTTTTTGTCACTGCATTGAATTTATCTTGCAAGAAAACTTGAATCTCCAGAACTGTCAAGCTGACTCATTTCAATTTAAAGGGGAATGTAAGATTTAAAGCAACATGAAAACAAACTGTACTGAGTTACACTTTGCTGGATTATTTGGACCACTGTAAAGTTCGAATAATATGTACAGTCTTCTGTTTAATAATATATCTTCAGGAAAAATGAGCCTGCTAGATATTCAAAGAATGCCGCATTTACCGTTCCCACAAGAAACACCCATTTCAACTTAACATGTTTTTTAATTGCATTTGCAGAACAATATAGAGAAGGCCACATTCGTGAAAGTGTATTTGGTTTCCCAAGGCAGACTGTCTCTGGTGAACTTGAATGCTGTGATTGATACTGTGGCAGGATATCACCAGAAAGAAAATATTTTATGGATGTTCTTGTATAGTTTTTATCATGCTCGTATTATGAGACATGAAAACACAGGTAAGATCGGGCTTAAATAAGAATCAGCAAGACAATGAACAGATATTGATAAATCTACACTGATGCTTTTAAAATAATTCTAAGATGGTTTAATCCAAGTGTTTCCAAATTTATCCATATTAGAAACCACTGTCTTCAGAATTTTTGTATTCTTCAAATACTTGTATCAAACATTGCTTTTATGTTTTTCTCCAATTCTTTATTTTTTCATGGTTCAGCTACAAGTTATTTATCTCATCAAGATGGTTTACAGACCAGAGTTTTGACTAGATCCTTGTCTCCCACTCATTTCAGACTCTCAGTGTAAAGCAGTGTAAGGTCATGAATGTACATTGTACATCAGAGACCTGTAATAGTGCCACTCTGCTAACCTTAAGATGTAATAAATGACTTAGCGGGGTGTGTGACACAGTAGGTGGGGGGATGTTCCCATGAAACTGATTGAACCAGGGAGATAGCCTGCTTTCCTGAAAAGCTTGCTCTGAATTAACACAGGAAACAAATCTGGTGGGTTAAGGATTTGGAGTGGCTCAGCTATGGGTCTGACAGAGCACTGAGGCTGACACAAGAGAAGTAGGAGAATCACACAGAAAGATAAAGGAGGAAGAAACAACAGAAAGAGACAAGAATGACGTCTCATTTTCATGGCAGAAGGGTCTTTGTCTGCCTGTGTTCACAGAACAACTTGAATGCATTATATTGCCAGATGCCTTAGCTGCCAGCTGTGTTTGAAGAACTTCAAAAAATATTGAGTTTCAGTTGAGTGAAGTGAGGCTTCCTGGGTAAAAGAGGAGCAGCGTGAAAGAGAGCACTTGTAAAGATTACATGGAAATGGTAGCATATGAAGTGACATGGTCTCAAAGGTGAATTAATTTGTAGGAGATACAATAGGTTATGGACAGCAGAATCTGGATCAGTGAAATGTGTTCCGTCCTTGGGTTGAATTGAGGGCTGATTTTATTTGTGTGCCTTGGCCATATTTTACTGATCCTCTCAACACTGTAGGAGCCTTTTCACAGCACTGCCCACATTCTTGCCCAATCTACAGTGACATTAGTGCTAGACTTAGATGAAGTACTGGGGCAAAAACTTGAGGGAGACTTTAGAGTTCTGTGGTCATGTATGTAGACTTGGTTAGTGGGGTCTGCAGGCTGCCATTATGTGAAACAATTTTTGCTCAGCATTCTTTTCTCTGTGTGTTCAATGTGTTCCCTGCATTATAATCAAAGTTTCTGTACTCTTTAAAGGCTCATATGTCTTCTCTCAGTGGCAACCATGTTGGTGATCATTATTCTTCTACAGTCAGTACTTTCTATAGTGATTTTCTGTGCTTGCTTTTTAATGAAAATCAGTGCATTCTAGTGTTTTGCATGAGTCAATGTTCTTATTCTTTTTCTAGGAGTTATGAAAAGAATGGACTGGCTGCTAGACCTGATGGGCTGCATCAGCAATGTAGCATACAAGTCAATACTCTTACAAAATGTCAATCTTAAAGAGGTACATGCTGTGAAAATAATTTGCAACAGGAAAAAAGGAGATTCTGATATATTTCACATTCTTCCTCGGTTATAAGTGTTATTCCCCATGCTTTTATATTTTAGAAGATTGTGATCTTTCCTCCACAGAGGAAGATCATTCACAATTTTTGTGAATGAATGTGTGTTTAGTAAATGAATAAATATTTAAAACTCTTACTCTAAAATGACCTTGACATTTAAATTATGATAGAAGCTAAAGGAAATAATTACTTCACATTTACTGTATTTAGAACAATTGAAGGAAAATTTTGAATTTACTCGTAGAACTGTCTAGGCAGGTCAGAACTGTTTCTGCTGTTTCTGAGGGGGCTTGGACAGTTTTAGAGAAGTAATGTTGTTTAGGTCTTCTGTTTGAGGACAAAAAATAAGCTGCTGCTTAGATCAGAAAGGCATTTGTTACATTGCTATAATATTTCCCAGCCACCAAAAGGGTGAGCATCTCTGATTTCACTCAACAGTCAGGTTGCTATGAAGAAGTTATTTCTCCATTTTAAATGAAACGTTTAATATAAAGGATGATTTAAAAAGAGTGTGCTTCTTCTTTTCTTTCTGTTGTAGACAGTTTAGTTTGAATTTAGAAAGAGGCATAAGCTGTTTCAAAGCATGGAAGAATATTAAGCACTTTTTTGTTCTTACATTTTGAGTTTTAGCTGAATTTTCAGATGATTGTTTTGAAGAGCAAGTCGCTATCTGGATTTTGGTTCTGTGGTTGGTTTCTTCCTTGGATGGATTTTTTTGTTGTTGTTTTAATGGTTTTTTTAATTGGGCTTTTCCCCCCCTTTTGTATTATTCATTTAATAAAAGTGCATTTTTGCCTTTTTCCTGTTTAGTGCATAGATTTTCTCCTGTGGCTGTTTGCGGCTTCTGTGGTGGCCTGGGCTGACCATGGTGCACCATTACTGCTTGGCCTCAGTGCTGACTGGTCACCATGGAAGCACCACACGATATTACCGCAGTTATCTGAGGATCACATTGGCAAGCACCCAACTGACAAGTTTGCTGTGCAAGAAACTCTCACTCTCCTTCCAAGCAGCATTTCCCTTTTGCTGGCTAAAGAGCCTTGGAAAGAGCAAACCCAGAAGGTAAAATTGTGTGTAGTGGTAAGCATTTTACAAGAGTCAGAAAGGACCCCATTTTTAGTAGTCAGCTTGGGTCTTAGGTAGAGCAGTTATTTCCTCTACATTTATTGCATATGAATTGTTATATCACTTTTCTTTATTTTTAATCAGATGTGAATGTAGTTGCTGAAGTAAAATGGGAGGATTGCAAAGAAAAACATAATTCCAAAGATGGGAATTAAACTCTTTAGAAGGTACAGTCATGATAGGAGAGTTTGGAGCTGCTGGTAGCAACTCAGTCTTATAAACACTGAAAAACAGACCCCCTGCAACAGTTGGTCATGCAACAGTATCAATTAGGGGCAATCAAATGTCTTCTTTGTAGTTTGTATCATTTGTTTTCAAGTATGAGTTGAAAATAAGTGTGGAAAATTGTGCCTAATTTGTCAGACCTACTGTAGATTGCACCTAGTTGATATATGCGGAAATGCTGTTATAAACCTTTAGATTAATAGTTAGCTGTTTTGTGGAAACCAGAATCTGTTAGGAACTCATTCCTCTGAGCAGGTTCCTGTGCTCAGAGCTACCACTGAAGTCAGAATTCAGAATGTGGGAGAAATGCAGGGCCTAATTAGGCTTTAAGGAAGAATTTGAGGTCTTGCCCTGAAAATCATCCTTATAAGTTTGAAATACTACATTGTCGCCCAGACACCTCACACTGCCAGAGAAAAGTAGCGAAAAATGAGAGAGGTCAAAAGAGGAACAAAGGCAATGAGAGTTCTGAGGGATTTGCAGTAGAACATTTGGACAAGAGACTAATAAGAAAGAATCATATTATTAGGTTAAAGGCATGAACAGGCAAGATGGTGGCAAACTATTTACTGTGCCTTCTTCATTGCAAAGAATTATTGCTGTGATAATGAGAAGGAACAAAGGGAGTTTCAGATCCAGCTGTGGGAAAAATTGCCCTGACAGTGAGATGTACTACAGGGCATTTGGATACTCTGGGCAGAAGCTTCATTGGTCACTGCCTCTGATTAGATAATTGAATTTAGCAGCAATCAGATGTTGCCTGTCAAACTGAAAAGAATTTGTCATGTTTTGATGCAGAGGCTCTTTTAATTGAGACTTTTCTTCATATTTCAATCTTTAGTTTATTGACTGGCTGATCAATATGATGGAAAGTCCTAAGGAAGCATTATCAAAGTCTTCCATGGACCTGCTGAAAGGTAAGATACTTTTAATTGGGTCCTTATTTTTCGAAACTATCAGGACAGATCAAAATGCAGTTGTTAAAAGAAGTGAGATGAGCTGTATTTTGTCTTTAAGAAAACTGTCACAAGTAAGTTAATATTCTTGTCTGTAACACCTTCTTATATTTGCTGTCTCATCTGCTTACTATGTACCACTGAGGATCCTAAGGACCTAAAGGTACATCTAGTCCTACAGGCTTATTTCAGTGATGGATCTGTCCGTTGTTTTTGAAGTTACTCTTAAAAATAAAATGCAACATACTGTTCAGAAACACTCCAATACTAGAAGAGAAATCACATAACTTAGGTGCAACTGAAGATTGCACTGTAGGGAAGGGATAGGAGATGGACAGTGACAGCCTAGTGAAGTGGTCTGAAAAAAAAGGAAAGAGGAGTGAGGGTTGCTGAAAACATATCTGAAAATAAAGATGGAAAGTAAATGATATTTTGAATTGCAGTAGGAGCCTGTGGCCTTAACATGAATCCCATTGCTCACCTACATATGTAGGATTGTGAATACAATCAGTGCAAGTCATTTTAAGAGGACACTACAAATATTTCCAAGTGAAGTAAGTGCTCTTGTGCTTCCTTCCATTAACACAAGCCACCTCCTTTGGATCACCTGATTTTTTGGACCTAAACAAGGCTTCTTGAAATCCAGATATAAGTTCTTTTCATTACTAGGACAGTTAGCCTTGTTTTGAGGGTCTGCAGTCTTCAGTCACTCTGATAAATTTCCCTGTTGTGTCTGCTGATCTCCACCAGAAGCAATGCCAAGGGCTATTGGCGAATCTCCTCTGTATATCAGAGGATTCTGATAAACACAGTAGATTCTCAGTATGCCCTGATTGAGATAAGTCATTGTTCCCCTTGAGCTTTGCACTGTTTTTTTGCTTTTACGTGCTAGAACATGAAACTCCCTTCTGAATAACTAGACTGTTACTAATTTGGCTACTGGATTTTGTCTAAACATATATCTTTACAAATTGAATTAAGGAATCAGTGAGTTGCACAGTTTCGACTTTGTGCTTCTCTTGTTCCCAGTGCCTCCTATCTCCCCTCTTGCATAATTGCTCATTGCATTCAAACTTTCTGCAGTGTGATTCATCTATGTGCCTAAGTGATAGACTAATTATTAGGTGATGTGATGTCATTTCAGTAGGAGACATGCCATTTATGGCATAGGAAATGCCTAGTACAACATCACATTTCAGAGGGATGTAGAGACTAGTGTACCTTGCAAACAGTGTCAGTAATACTAAAAAGTCATACTAAAAAGTGGAAGAGTCATGAAAAGAGTCAGTAAAAGGAGAATTAAACCCATACCTGTGTTAGTAAAATTAGTAGGGAAAATACACTCACATCTTTTCCAGTCTGGACTGCAAAATTAATTTAATTTTCCCCTGTCTTCACAGTTACACTTCTGGCCTTGAGATCTCTTGCAGAGTTCAAGAAGAAAGCAGTATGGACTAAAGCTTATGGGTGGTAAGATACAGTGCACACTGCATCTTATCCAATGAAGAAAACTGTTCATACTTGAAAACATAATATTATGACTCAGGTATCAATAAACCAAATTCCAAAGACGTTTCCTATCAGAGGGTTTTGAATTGTTTTATTTTACCCTTTTGCCTCCTTATAAAGACTCCTAAGATGAAAACAAATATTTTGGTTTTAACTGATGGGTTGGTGTTCTTCTTCAAACATGCTGAATATAAATGAGAAAGACATATTCAGTTGAGTTTCAATTGAGTTGAGTGACACCTGTGAACCTTGCAAGCTGGAGTGGAATATTCCTTTAGTTCATGGAAGCTATGTAGGAATAGATGGAAATAAAACAAACTTGTGAAATTTGTTTGGATGTAGCTTATTTACTGAAATGTGTTTTAGTGTAACAGACTTCTGAATGAGCATTACTTTTTAACTGATAATCCTTTTTTTTTTTTTTTAGAAATAACACTATGTTCTTGTGCAATAGTGACAACACATACATAGTGTGAGCAGTTACAGCAGGTGTATAGTGTGAGCAGCGTTTCTGAAAGGGGTGGTGTGTCTGTCAATTTTGCAGTGGCTTTATAAGGATCACTGAAATAAGTCAATGATATGATGGCTGTTAAATCTGCAGCTCCAAGACAGCTGCAATTTTCTTTCCACTTATTACTAGTTTTGTCTCCTTTACCCTTCTTTGCACATAAAAAGAATTCTTCTCTGACTCTAGGAAAAAGAGACAATACGGCAATTCTTTTCCACCTTTACCATCTTAAGTAGATTAGCTTGTGCTATTTTTCTTATTTAATACTTTTCTCTTTCTGAAGGAACAGAGAACTTTGCTACTTTGCAGTCTCGCTAAGACAGATCTTAAAGAGGGTTTGTATTTACAAATCCTCCTTGCTGGAGTAGACAAAAATTAACTCAATATAATTGCTTGGGCACTGTTCCTTAATGTCTTTTGAAACAGTACTAGTGACAGAATTGTTAATTTTGATCAGCTTGAAGGAAATGTCACCACCCTACATCTAGAAGACACACCTCATTGCGGGAATTCTCCTATTTTCAGGACTGGTAACATTTCATCTGTGAAAGAAATTCTCCTCTGACTTCTTGGTCACATGGTCTGTTCAGCCTGTAGAAGAGAAGTCTGAGGGGAGACCTCATTGCAGTCCCAACTTCCTCATGAGAGGGAGAGGAGGGGCAGACACTGATCTCTTCGTGTGGTGACCAGTGACAGGACATGAGGGAATGGCCTGAAGTTATGTCAGTGGAGGTGTAGGTTGGATATTAGAGAAAGGTTCTTCACCCAAAGGGTGGGTGGGCACTGGAACAGGCTCCCCAGGGAAGTGGTCACAGCACCAAGCCTGACAGAGTTCAGGAAGTGTTTGAACAATGATCTCAGGCACGTGATGTGACTCTTGGGGTTGTCTTGTGCAGATACAGGAGCTGGACTTAGTGATCCTTGTGGATCCCTTTCAGCTCAGAATATGCTTTGATTCTATGATTCTTGGCAGGAGCGGGGGGGGTTGTTTCTCATCCAACAAGGCTACTGTGGAATGGCAGTGGGCTTCCCACAGTGATTGGACATTTCTTCAGTGATTGAGTGTGTGGAGGATTAGTGCAGTACTTGTTTGTGTTTCCAAAATAGTGTATAATTAATTGTAATTTCATGCTGCATATGCAGCTGTATATGGAGAAGACTATCTAAAGGTGAATGTGCAGAATGACTCACTGAAAGCAGTTGTCACTGAGTCAGTATCTTAGCTGATGACGTTTCTATTTGTGTGTATACTTCTAAGTAACATCTAACAAAGCCAAATATGTCACATTTTAATAGTGCCATCTCTAATGTACTGTTTCAAGCTAACTTATACCTTTACTTATCTTAGTTTGCATGTGTAGTAGCATTTTAATTCAGATGAAATTTTTGTCTTTTTTAAAGGGAACCACTGGGTGATGCCTACTTGCTGTGTTTTAGTTTGCGTAGTGGAGCAGTATATAAACATCTGAATTAACTGAATTTCTACTCATGTGTAGTAAAAAATGTAAGCCAAGGGATGGCATGGCATGGCCTGAGGGTGGCAATGCTAACACAGCTGCAGGGAGCACTGAGAGTTTAGAAGCATATTGAAATTCTGGTACACCAGATATAAGATATAAGAAGTAAGCGGGATGAACTGGAAGCATTAGCCAGCTCCCAGACCTGTGATATCCTTGGGATTAGTGAGACTTGGTAGAATGAGTCCCATGACTGGAGTGCTCGGATGCAGGGCTATGGGCTGTTAAGGAGGGGTAGGCTGGTCAGATGAGGCAAAGGAGTTGCACTGTGTATGAGGAACAGGTTTGACTGTACAGTCCTTACAGTTAAGGCTGAAACCCCCTGGGTGAGAATAAGGGGGATGGAAAACAAAGCAGATGTCATTGTCTGCTGTTGTTCAGTCATCCATGACGCCAGCACTGACTATTTAATCTATAGACAATGAGGAGAAATCTCTGGATCAGTAGCCCTTGTCTGACAGGGGGAGAGCTGTAACCCCCACTTTAGCAAGACCCAGAAGGACCACTCTGCATGCAAGTCACAGTGTGACACAGAATGGCCGTTTATTGGACATGGACGCCGGCTTATAAAGGGAGAGCAGGGAACTTGCTAGAACAAAGGGTGGAGACTGGGAGAAGTATTCAAGGAGCGGCCAATCACAGTAACAAGGGGTGGAACTTATCTAAACATGGACAAATGAAAAGCCATCTATGGGGAGTACTGCGATGCAGCAGGGTCGGACAAATAAGGAAAGGGTTTACATAGAACCAATAGGAGAAGAGGTAACAGGGGCACAGAGAAGGGAATCACACATTCTCATAATAAAACATATTATACCAACAAGGGAACAATTGTATAACTAAGTAAAACACTGGAAATAGGCATTCTCGTGGTTATGATGATCATATCTTGTGCATGACAGCGTAGGAGCACTCTGAGATATTTTTTTCCTCTTCCTCTGATCTCTCCTCATTAAGTCTCTTCCACCACTCATAGGACTCTCTTGGGGCACCTCCAACACTTGTCCTTATGGAAAATTTCAACTTCTCACACATAACTGCGACAAGCAAGTCTGAGAAGTTCCAGAATTATGCTGAAGATAATTTCTTCTCACAAGTATTCAGTGAGCTAGCTAGGAAAGATGCCCCTCTGACTTGTTTGTGAATAGAGAAGGACTCATGGGAGATGGGATGGTAGGTGTCTCTTTTGGCCACAGTGACCATGAAATGGTTCAGTTTAAATTTTTTGGTGTAAATGAGAAAAAAGGTCATCAGAATTGCTACCCTGGATTTCAGGAGAGGAAATCTTAAGTGCTTTAGGGAGCTAGTTAGTAATGTCCTCTGTTCAGCCAAGCTGCTCTTCTGCCTGTCTTGTTTGACTTTTGGCACAGCCTGCTCCTGTGCTTCTAAAGGGTGGTTCTTAAAGACTGACCAACACTTGTGGATCTCTAAGTCCTCAAAAGCAGATTTCCAGGTGGGTTTTTAATGTCTCCAGAGAGGGAGACTCCATGACCTCCCTGGGCAGTCTGTTCCAATGCTCTGCCATGCTCAATTTGAAGTTCTTCCTCATGTTGAGGGGGAACTTGTGTTTTAGTTTATGGCTGTTGCTTCTTGTCCTGTAGTTGGGCACCACTGAAAAGAGTCTGGCACCACCTTTTTAATATCCACCTTTGAGATATTTATATGTATTGATGAGATTCCCTCTCAGTCTTCTCCAGACTAAACAGGCCGAGCTCCCTCAGTCTCTCCTTATAAGAGAGATGTTCCAGAACCCTGATCATTCTTGTGGCCCACTGATGGCCCCTCTTCAGTAGCTCCTTGTCTTTCTTGAACTGTGGAGTCTAGAATTCAACACAATTCTCCTCAAGTATGGAGGGCCAAGTAGAGGGGCAGGATCACCTCCCTCGACCTGCTGGCCACACTCTTCCCAGTGCACCCCAGGATACCATTGGCCCTCCTGGCCACAAGAACTCACTGCTGGCTGACGTTTAACTTGTCATCCACTAAGACTCCCAGGTCTTTCTCTGCAGAGCTGCTCTCTAGTAGTTTAGCCCCCAGCCTGTACTGGTACTTGGGGTTATTCCTCTCCAGGTGCAGGACCCTACACTTGCCCTTGTTGAACCGCATTAGGTTTCTCTCTGCCCAACTCTCCAGACTATCAAGGTTCTGCTGAATGGCAGCACAGCTTCCAGGTTTATCAGCCATTCCCACCAGCTTTGTATCATTAGCAAACTTGCTGAAGGGTGCATTTGATGCCTTCATCCAGGTTGTTGATAAACAAGTTGAATTAAGACTGGATCCATTACTGATCCCTGGAAATGCCACTGACTACAGGCTTCCAACCAGATTCTGTTTCGCTGAACACAACCCTCTGAGCTTTGCTAGTTCTTCATCCACCTCACTGTCCATTTATCTAACACACATGTCCTGAGCTTACCTACGACGATGTCAAAAGCCTTGCTGAAGTCAAGGTAGACAACATCCACTGTTCTCCCCTTGTCGATCCATCCTGCCATGCCTACGCCCCAGGAGAACATAAGCTGCCAAAGATTCTCTTGCCATTTTTAGACAAGTGGATCCCATCCCTCTCTAACAGGTTACAATCATTGAAGTACAACTCTTTGTCATAAAAGCCATTGTCTTAAACATCTTTTTGCCTGCCCAATCCAGAGCTTTCCCAGAAACTCAGGTGAGGCATTGGAGCTGAAGGTACAGTGGCCTGCTGTCGTCGCACATGGAAGTCTGACTGCCTGGATCTCCCAGTTGCCTGCCTCAAGTTACCTCTGTACCAGAAGGAGGTGGGGAATTCTTCTGACATTAGGTTCATGCCTTTTTCTTGCAGTTTGGGTTTGAGGGTTGTAAGGTATGCAGATACTTTACCCAAAAATGCCAAGGCAGTGGAAAGGATTCAGAAAGGTTTATTTCAAAGACAAGGATGCTAAAATCTTACAAAAACCTCACAGTGCTGCAGGACAGCACTGGGCCTCAGAGAAAAGGCTCCCCTGCTCTTCCAGGGCTTTTTTTATCCTCTCTTTCTCCTCCCCCACCATCTCTGGCCCAAGGAGGCCCTGTACATGTCTGTGAAATTAATCTCTCCTGCATTCCAGAGAGAGCTTACTCACAGCTCTCCCTGCAGCTTTCTCTGAAATGCAGAAGGGATAGGGAGAAAAGCTTCCTAAGTGGAACAGCAAGTTCTAGTTTCCCCTTACGAATTCTTCCAAAAGCATATCTATGCCTACAGGAGTCCTCCCCATAGTGAATTTCAAAGAATCCTTTTCCTATTCTAGCCTTTTAGACTGCTGCAAGACTCAGTGATATAACAGTTTT